CCCGCCGTAAAAATATTTCCACGATACTAACGGTTTGCAAATTGATGATCGGACGAAACAAGAAAATTACTCTTTGTTTTTTTTTTCTGTTTCATATATCCATACCAATCTTTGAAACTATTCTCAGACGAAAACTCGCGCGTGACTGACCTACCTTTTACTTCTAAAACTAAGATATAATACGAAACCGATATCAAAGCAAATAGCGTTACACAATCAAGGTATAAAGCCAAGTACATTCGACTAAAGGCTGGAGCCGAGAGTTGTTGAGATTACGCGCGTTTTCAATAAAAGTTGAATAAGTAAAAATTTATTGTCAAACAGGGAAACTAATGGAGTACCTTTTTTTTCTTTAAGATTCGACGTAATGCTAAAGATTTTTTTAATGGGAACCAACAAAAATAATAAATTGGACAAGGAGTCAGCGTACTCTCGGATACAGCCGTGGTGAAAAGAATTATGAGATAAGAAGGCCAACAGAAGAAATAATAAAGCCAGTTGTGAGAAAGGGCATGGTACCGTTCGAACTTTCGGAACAAAGATAAAAGAAAGACAAAAGATAACGAAAAAACATTTCTTTTTCAACACAACTGAATTATTTGGAATGCATCTTCTTCTATAAAATCATCAATGATCATGAGAAAAAAAAGTAATGATCCACGTGGGCAAATTCTTAAAAATTCGACAAAGCGAATGAAGATAAGAAAGAAAAAGAGAACTGTCAATGGGGTAGGGAAGAAAGAAGAAAAAAACTTTGAGTTATAAAAAACGTAAATAAAAGATCGTTTGAGAAATCGTGTATCGAGCGGTGAATGTGTAATTTATACAATGAGTACAGTGGTACAATGAGATTATATGTATATATATATAAACAATATATATGTATATCTCTCTATATATACATATATATGATTGTTATGTATTTTTTTGTTTGATTAAATCTTTATATATATATATATCAAGTTCCACACATTCAAAAAGTCGTGACAAGATTCAGCAAACCACAAATTTCTGCAAATATCCAATAAATAAAGGTTTCAAACATTATTAAAAGTTCTCTTTGTAATTGCGTATAGTATAAAGAATTGAACGATCGGTCGTTTCAAAAGCAACATGACCAAAACTTCAAGCCGAGTTATAACGCGAAGCGTGTATTAAATATGATCACAAAAAATTCGATTGTCCCATCAAAACAATTAATCCCGACTATTATAAAAACCCAATAAAGCACAAAAACGATCGATCGTAATTTGTTCTTTTTTTTTTTTAAATTGTCATTTATCTAAAGTACACGCCGTGCTGTAGCAACGAATATACGCAAGTATAAAAACCTCCTCGTCTCTCACTGTGTCTAATTCTTTTACTTTTTTTTTTAAATGTCATCCAATTTAAATTTTTAAAAATTCCCATATGTATTTACTGTTTACCTCAAAGCTTTCTGCCCTCTCCCTGTTACATAGTAATACTGTATGACTAGAAGCAGCGGTACGGATTCACTGCGGAAGTCCCATAAAAATAGATGCCAGTAGACTTCCGGTCGTGTTAAAAATCCAGAAGGCAAAGTTATCAGTGCTATCAGTATTATCGGTATACTATGTGCGGAAGTCCCATAAAAATAGATGCCAGTAGACTTCCGGTCGTGTTAAAAATCCAGAAGGCAAAGTTATCAGTGCTATCAGTATTATCGGTATACTATGTCAAAGAGAGAGCTTTTTAATTTTTTAGGTCATATATATATATATATATATACTATATGTATAGAACAGAGGAGATTTGTTACTCATTAGTCTAATTGCGTATGATTTTTGCTCAAGCTCAGCCACCAATGGTTGAACGTGATTGGTATAAAAAAAATTTTTGTCTTTTCTTTTTTTTTTCCGGTATCTGTACTCTATACATTAAGGTCAGCCCACACCAAATCGTTTATGATTGTCTAATGTCAATGCGGATTTATTTCTCAGTCCGCGTTCACATTGACAATTATAATGCGTTAATACGAGTCGTGTCGTCAGTGCCCACGGTGCAAAACACAATCGTACAATTTCCAGTAACGATACGATACGATCTTTAGAAGAGGAAGAGAAAGGAAAGGAAGAGAGCAAGAACGAAAAAGAAAGTGAGAGGAACAAAGAGAATTTTTTTTCTTCCTTCATACGTATACGTCAGTGGATCTTGTTCGGACTGAGGGAATTTCCTGTACGGATATAATATGTTTATCTCACACGAGCAATTTCGACGATTCGTCAAGTATGGAAACGCGATGAGAAACAAGAACCGGAATTGAGTCTCAAAAATATGTCATCGTTATAACCGTGGTTACAATTATACATGAAGAACCCATGTAAGGATAAACGCGATAAATTTTTTCATTTTTTTTTTCTTTCTCTTTTTTCCATTATCGCCAACCGTTATAGATCATAAGGCGCGGCGACCGAGATTCAATTAATTTAGTAGACACAGGAGGAAAATTTATATGGAAATTTAATGCAAAATTTTCATGACCTACAATTTGGTCTTTTTTGAGATCAAAGATTTTTAACTGGATATCTTTTCTTTTTGGTTTGCGTTACGTTCTTTTTTCTTTTCTCTCTTTCTCTATTGTCCATCGAAATGACTTGTATCTCCGTCACCGGGGCCGCATCAAAAAGAAACCACTTGGCAAACACCTTGGTGCCTCGAATTTCTTTTTTCCTTCAGTGTCACTCTTTTTCATTTGTCAAAAATTCTAGATCCATTATAAGCTCACTATTAACAGTATTTTACGTGTTACTTGCCGACGTGCACATGCATTTTGAGAACGATACGCGGATTTATGTAAGATTCACACTTTTTTCCCCTCAATTTTAAGACTATACTCGCGAATCATAAATATAATTTACAGTTAATACAACCTTCAAAATAATCGGTGACAATCGTGAGAATTTACAAAAATCCGCTCAAAACATTCTGATGATAAAAGTAGCAGCTAGACAATCAGTTAAAACGTCCAATCGCTACGAACAAGATATAATTTGTCAGAGCTCTCCTCAGTGGCGACAATACAAAATTTCAACGATTTTTCAACAGCAGAATCAATTTTCTCAATTACTGGTCTTAGTATTCCTATAGCGCATATATTGAAGATCCACGAAGAAGAGCCAAGTGAAAAATCAGAAGAAAAATAAGTATTTTAATAAAAATTCTGTCAGACATGTAAAACATGCGAAACGTGCAAGTGTCACGATACGCGAGAGCCATTAAGTTAAGTAAAACATTAAAAGAGAGTACCGCGCTCTTAAATATACCCAAGCAATTCATAAAAAGGACCCATAAAAAATCCCATACCAAATTACACCAATAAATCAGTTTGATAAACATTGTACAATGGCATCTCACGTGTCGTGCTTCATAGCCTAGAGACATAATTGAATTCGACATGCAACTTTAAACGTATCTACTAGCTAGCAACGAATATTCGAACACGCGTACAAATACTGGCAATAAGATAAACAAAACTAACCCGGAGCATCGACATATTAAATGTAATCTCATGAGATGGTGCCACATGACATTACATTTTATTGAAAGTAAATCACAATATTTTCCTTTTTCATATTCATCTTTTACATTCTTGTTTCCTTATCTTTTCCTGACTTTCTTTCTCTGCTTAATCCATGCTCGCACCGTACGAGCACGCATCTCTGGATGCTACATAATTATTACAGAATATGTCCACATGCCAGAAGGGAGTAGGAAAAAATTGAAGTACGTCTGACATATCGACATCACGATTGCAGCAACTTCCATTCGTGCAAATTTCACTCACGAGTTTACATTGTTCATAAACAATAGTCTACGATTTTTATAATTTAATAAGGCAGATTTCTCTTTGCATCCTTTTCATATTTTGTTTCTTTCTTTTTTCCATAGGGAAAACTCATGAGTGTCATCCTTGTAAGCGAGCATGCACTATTGTTAAAAGTGAGCTACCGAGGTACTACTATCGAGTAGAAAAAGTATTTGTAGATATGCCGAGCTTTTTAAATACAGCATTCGTGTCCACCACCACCCCAATAAGGCCCACCGTGTCACGGTACGTTTCCTCGCAAGCCAACAGCACCACTGACTGTCTTTCAATAACATTCGATAAATTCTTCTTGGAAGATATAGACTATTAAGGAACAAAAAAATATATATATATATTAGTAATTTTTTCTCATGAAAAATTAATAGTGCTTAACAGTGCACATTTGTGGTACATACTGTTGGCAGTAGCGGCCGTACACGGTGGGCACGTCGTTCTTTATAAAAGGGCAGCGCTAAACGGGAAAATGTAACTAAAAAATATAAAAGAAAAACAAAAAAACGAGAGACAAGAAGGTTATACAAATGATAAGAGAAATCAAGCATTCAGCCAAAAATACCACGGTCTCAGTACGAAATATATCGTTACACCCATATCAATATCTTACGTTCATATTGATTTGGATATTATATGGCAGCCGACGTCTCCAATTCAAAAAGTATACTCTCAGCTTATGTGTCTGTTATCGCGTGTTCGTTCGTGAGGAACTTACTGAGCCGCAAGCCGCAGTCCTAAATCACAACACAAAAATAAAGAAGGAAAGAAAAGACCCCAACGAAATTATCCAAAAATCAAAGATGAATGCTGCTACCTCCCAAATATGTCACTTTTTCCTTTCATTGTGGAAGGATACTTCTTTTAAATATCAATGGACAAAGAAGCATCCCCTGATAATGATGCCCTCGTTGATCTTTGATATTCAAAATAATTCTAATTATCTGACGAAACATTATCTAATTTTATATTCATAATGCACTAATAGTTATATCCCTTTAGTCATTTACTCTTGTTTCCTATAATATTTCACTCCGTCACTAACTGAATCTCCATCCACTCTTACACTTCTGTACCAGCCAAGACTGCATTACCCATTATACTACACTGTGACTGCCTGAAAGAAAAATTAATGAAAGAAATATATTAATTTTATCCGATAAATTTGGTTGACTGTGAACTTTTTGAATCGGGAGGCGCACGGTGCTTATATTATTAGGCGTGCCTACCGTTATGTATATACATACATATATACACATTAATGATGTGTGTATATATATGTACGTAATATATATATATATATTATGTAGGTATATAAACACGTAGTGAGTAAGGTAGTATATAGAGAAGGTTAGTTTAGATACGTGGCTTAGGCTGCGCGAACGCCGGTCTCCCTGGCTCCACCTACTGACTTGGATCAAATCGTCACTGAAATGGTCCGCTGCAAACATATTCACAGCCACCATTGTTTGTAGCTTTTATAATCCTCCTTCATCCGGTGCATCCGCATCCGCTATTATATCACCGGCCGTCGTCACTGAGACGATGTACTTTTTCTGTTTGACCCTCCGGACTCCTTCCTTCACTATCAATAGTGCTTAACGGCTAGATCTTTCTTACACGCATCATTATCATCGACACCATCTTATATTCCTAGAAGGTTTCTCCTTTGTATCTCTTATAGATTAGATGTTAAATAATTAAGGAGCGACGTCGCGGATCGAAGGTACATCCTCTACTGTCTTTGCGACCGTCTGACTGCTCTGAGATAATACTTCCGTACGGCTTTTCTTAAATTCTTTTTTTTTTTTAATATCAAGTCCTCTCACGTTTCTCCATCCTTTTGGGTATAATTGCTTTCCTTCGCTCCGCGACACGTTCCAAGAGTGTCTCGATGGAATTAAGTCGTTCCTCATATTTAACTGTCTCCTCCTTATTGTGCTTTTACCTAAAACGAACGTTGCAGATTGACGTGGGTATATTTAAAGAAATGATTTAGAGTACTTTTCATTTATGCTTTTACCGTATTTAATTCTCTCCAGACACTCCATTCGGCTTTTCCATAGAATTCCTTAACACGTCGATTAATAATATTAATTAGCAATATGCGAGACTGTCAAATCGCAGGTTCGATACCGGACAAACGACTTTAACTTTATCTTAATCTTTTTTTTTGTTAAAATTTATTGTTCTGAGATGAAAACGCAACTCTGTATTCTGTTTAACAGCTCGAAAACAGAATAAACAAAAAGATAAAGAAAAAATATATATACTGCAGTTGCATCGTCCTGGTCAACTCAACAGGCAAAGATTGTGAAAACATTAATTATTTTTATTGTTTCTCGCAATTAATTTAACCTAAAGTTTAACGAATCGCCTAACGGATATACCGACGACAATGACTTCCAGAGTCTCTTGGGCCAAGAGTCCTTATTTTCTATATTGAAGATAAAACAGGCATCCCGTCATTCATTTAGGATTGTGGGAAGCAAATTCTCTTTCGCAATGAATCCAGAACTATGTGGGTGTCATCCAATGAATAATGGAAATAATTCCGGTTATGCGGGGGCTCGTTGTAACTCAAGAACTGCACAACTTCCCTTTGCCATAAGAAAATCAGTAATATCACTCAAAAAAAAGTCAGAAATTACATGATTCCACCGGGCCCTTATTTTTCATAATATATTTCCTATTGGTAATGTACAATTAGTTACAAAAATGACGAAAACTTGTGAGTTCAGGTAACTTTAAAGAAAAAAAATAATTAAAAAATTTACGTCATAATTAATTTTTTTTCTCCAACTCGAACGCCTCCAGGAACTCTTGTTTCCTCCGTGGAATCGCTAACCTAGAGTTTGATTTTCAGAGAATATTTGTAAATATAAGTCGGCGCACAGTGATAAACAAGAAGTAAGATATTTTTCGAATTATTTCATATGATAATACGCAGGAAGAACTAAGGAGATCCCGATGGTTGCCAAAGAGATAAGCAAGAAAATGCATTCAAGAGAGAAACCTCTGGAAGCCATTTTGTATTTCCCATACAGAGGACGGTATTGATTAATCTGTCAGTGGGTAAAAATTCGAGTTTTATCGGACAGCCACGCGACGCAGCCCTGACCGAATTTAATATTTCAGAAACGAAATTCTGATAATCGAATGAAGATATAAAACTCTCCTAGGCAGAATCTTGAAGAAGCCACGGAGGGGACGCGCACAAATGTTTAAAATATTTTCTCATCGCACGAATGTGACAATCAGGGCTCTTTTTCTCTCTTTCTCTCATACACGCTCTCTTCCATTCTCTCTCACTCTCTCATTCTCTCCCTTTCTCTCTGTATCCCGGGACTCGAATATACGTATCCTCTCTCATCCCGAATAATCTGAAAAATCTCGAGCCACGTCTTGTCGAATATTTCGCTTTTTATAACGTAGCGCGTTTATTACGTCGTATAGTTACCTTTCTTGTCGGTCATTATTGCTTATACGTTCGCACAAATTCTAGATAATATAGCGTAATAACTCTAATTAAATCACCGATTTAAGTTTCGACACTGGGAGTAACGAGGAACTGCTCGCTTGACACTTCACGGACAGTAGCGCCCTGTTATCGAGCGTGCCTCTGCTAGAGAACGTTGTGAAATTCTAGATGCTCATTGGACAGCACAGCATCCTAGTAAAAGCTCTGATTGGTCAAAGGATTTAGTATTTCTCTATAGAAACATGTACTACCAATTGCGTAACTTTATGTCACTAGATTAACTCTCTGTCGCTCTCATGAATATGACCACAGCACTCCTAACAGAGATAAGTAGGACAGAGTAGGGAGATTGCCAATCTGCGCATGTTCCCTCGTAGTGAGATTGAAAAGAACTCATGGAGTTTGCAATATGGGGGCGGCCGTAGCCCAGTGAATAGGGTAGCGGATTCACGACCGAAAGGTTGTTGGAGGTTCGCGCCCAGCTTCTAGCGGCATTCACCAATGGGTTTTCATATGAAAACTTAAGTGAGTATTTATACGGATTTCGCCCAACACTGTTCGGATTCGGTGTATAAACTTTGTAGGTCCCCTCACGCTGAGTTTGAATAAGGCCCGTCTCGCAAGGTACATCGCCATCTATTGTCGGACTTCCAACCTTGATTATTAGGACCAGTTACTGGCACATGTCCCCCCCATTGGGGATACAGCCATAAGGAAAGGAAGGAAGGAGTTTGCAATATGCTTCACGGGCCAGTTGACGGCGACTCATTATGGAGTGCTGTCGGGAATTGTTTTTGCGTTATGAAATTTTAAATTTATTGTGAATCGAGTATCATGCTTATCTCATTGATAAAACGCTTATCTGCGACAGTTATAATTTGAAATTTCAGTGCTTCGGCATAGATTTAATCTCATTCCTGTTTATCATTGGAATTGTAACAAGGTGTCAATGATGGTCAGACTCACCGAGGAGATGGTCATCGCGCGTACGCGGATGTCCGACTTTTCTGCTGTGAAGAAATTAAACTGCTGGTTCGTATTTATTTCATATTTATTTTAGGATATCTATGTCACTTCTTCAGATTTGTATATTGGCTGACATTATGTTTAACTTTTGTAAAGATGACAAAAGATTTACTTTCCTCTCTATAATTTACATGTTGCGGTTTCTTATTTGGAAATCATGTTTCGTGTTTTCTTTTCTTTAAATTTCATTACTTTGATACTGATTTCTTTTTATTATCAATATTTCATGACAGTCTCCATCGAAATGTGTAGTTAACTTTGACTCAAATTACCAGAACTTAATTTTTAATATTTTTAAAGTTTTTCTTTTTTAGTCTTATTCGTTTTTTTTTATCGGGATTGTTATTTCATTATTTTCATTATTTATAAGACGATGTACGTGTCGCATTTTGTGAATCATTAGAGCGCGGATATAACTGTACGTAACTGTATACTCACATAATTTACAGTTATACTGTGGGAATTATCAGCTCTTCTACATCACATATATGTTCTCACGTGAAGTTACACTTGTCTCAAGTCTAATGTTTTCTTCTTATTGAAATATTGATTTTTCATTGATAATTTATTAATTATCTGTTTCTTGAGTCATATACTGTAATCGGTATACACGTACTTTTTTTTCATTGTTTTGTTTCACTTTCGGATTCCACTACATGCATTATTACACATTATTGAAATATTGCTTTGCTCTATTTTACAGGGGTACAGAACTTACTGATGTCAGTATCCTACGCAAGATGAAGAATGTCGAAGTGTTATCCTTAAGGTAGGCTATGCAAAACTGTATTTAATCGTTTAACAAATAAACAAACACTATATCTGGAGGACACATAGAATAAATAACAAAGAACTCATATCTGACTCTCGTTAGAAGATCTCAGGATGTCTTTCCAGGATTTTCATCCACTGTGCTTTTATTCAACATAACATTCATCTTGCAAGAACAAATATGTGCTTATGGAATGCGCAATAAAATTAACATATTAATTAGCATAAACCGTTATCTGAAGATATATCGTTCAACCAACGTATGCTGAATTAAATAAATGTCACATGTGAACTGATCATAATTTCTTGTATGCCTGGAGGCGCCTGCTAGGTCGTGTCTAAAAGCAGCGATGATTCATTTGGCGTTTAACCCTTTTTGCTTTTCCACCCGTCTCCCTGTGATTCATTCACATAACTCTATTATGCAGCTTTGCATTTTATTCAATGTAAGTAAGATTCAAAGTCAAATTGAATCTATATCACGTCTATATAAAGAAGTGGATCAACTGATTTCCAGACCATTGAATGAAAAACAAGAAAAAAAAATAAATGCTCGATTTTCGGCGACGTCATTTCGTCTTTTGGTTGTCACCATAAAAGCTACCGCATAGATCGTACTAATCCTATTACGGGCATGTTTGTATATTGCGAGGTGGCGTCAGGGCCGCAACCCACGTGTCCAAGAAGTTGTTCTGCCCACACGTGCTTTTCAACAAGAGTTTCAGTTTCAAAACACAAAGAACAACTGCAACTAAATGTTTGTTCTTTCGACTAGCGGCGGCTCTGAATTCCTCATTTAGATTATTATTCTTAGTAAAAATTTCCGTAGATACATTTTAGGTATACCGAACATTATTTAATTAGCAAAATGACCAGGTGTGGCTGTGACCCCTGCGTGCTGATTTCTATCACGCCTGATTTGAGGTTTAATTTTCTAAACTATATTGAAGGTGAGGCTGTTTAGCTGGTATACAAATGTATTCTTATAGCCTTACTTATAAGGTAGCTAGGAATTATTTCCGTGGATCTGTATTACATTAGGAATTCCACCATTTCTTAGTTAATGCAGCTGGTTTCAAGACCTATACACTTTCTTTTTCGAGACGAAGATATTACCCGTGACGATTTTATGGAATTACGCACTCTCGCGCGAAGATGCGCTCTGAAAAGTTCTTTAGCATACATAAGGACGATGGATAATTTAGAATTTATTTAAAAAAAAAAAGGAAAATCTTTGTGTTTCTAGTCATAAACCAGTTTCCCTAATCACAACTTTCTTCTTTCAGTGTGAACAATATCAATAGTCTAGCAGATTTTCAGTACTGCTTAAATCTTCAGGATCTTTTTGTACGCAAGAACAACATCAAGGACCTTAATGAGGTTTGTTACCTCCAGAGTTTACCCAAACTAAGAAATTTATGGCTTGGCGAAAATCCCTGCGCTGAACGTGAAGGGTAAGGATCTGAAAGATTCTCTGAGGATTTATAATCGGAATAAATTATTTGATGAAGAATTATCTTAGGTACAGATTGGCAGTCCTCAAAGCTTTGCCAAATCTTGAAAAACTTGATGATAAGGTCGTCTCCGCAGATGAGGTTCAAACTGCATTGACTAGAGGGCGAGTCCTGGTGCATCCATTGGATATGGATGCATCTTCTCCACAATCAGATCCAGTCAGTCCAGAGGTATTATCGACAACCTGGAGATCAGTCTGATGTGTCCATAGTATCTAGCCATTAACAGACTAATTAAAATAACAATGTGTGTTCGTACGTTAACACGAATCGTAACACCTTGTTTACTTAACATTTACAACACCAGGAAATCCCTGTCCCTGAGTACATTGAAGAACCAGAACCGGAAGAACACAGAAGATACAGTTCGTCCAGTGACCAGGTATCGGTACTAACAGTGCTTATACCTACATCTTTAATACTTTATATCTATATAAGTAAAAAATATATTTGATTCGATAGGCACCAAAACTTAATCTCTATCTTATTTTACAGAGAAGCTATGAGGAAGTTCCGCAAGTTCAGGATGAATACCATGACACTGATAGAAAAAATGCTAATTACAATGCTTCACCGTCTCATCAATTTTCACAAAACAACCAATACAGCTACGAGGTATGTTTTTTTCTCATTATTTTGATTAGTTTGCTTTCCGATTATGTAGCTTTTCACTCCAATGGCATGCTAGAGTGATATCTATTGAAATATCGTTGTACGTGTAAGCCGACTAGACCTTATTGATGTCCTTGTCTTTTTTTGTTTCTTTATTCATTTTTAACATCCTCTATGACACTAACAGCAACAGAACGGCCTGGCTAAGAATCAGAACAAAGAGGATACAATGAATACTGACTCACGTAACAACAGCGAGACCCTGACTACTAATTCCCACGAGTCAGCCAAGGTACAAATTCACTGAGAGAACACCAGCACGATATATAATACTAAACAACCTATGAGTAACTTCATTGCTATAGGTGTCACTAAAATCTATGCTTGATCATAAACTGTCTATGCGCAGATATGCTTGCTTGAGTCTGTCTTAGCTTTTACATATGAAAAACAAAGAGTAGAAATAGATAGGAATTATTGCTTTTTAAATTTCTAAAAATATCTATTAATCCTGTATCTAATCCTGGTCATAAGAATCGTCGAAACATCAATGAACTCTTCTGCTTGAGTTTTTTTTGCGTTTAATGAATTTTTTCCTTTTATATTTGCTATTTCGCGAGCGTCAACGTACAACATAGGATATTTTAGGATTACGATGACCGACACCCGGCTACCAGACATAATGGAGACTACGAGGATCGCAGAGCGTATTCAGAGTACAGTGGGAATGATCAGAGTCAGCGGTCCTATGTAACCGCTTCACCACGTACTCAGTATCCTCATGAGTATCCGGAAGATCGTCGAATAGACAGGAACAGTTACGAGTATGATGACAGGCGACAGCTGGAATATGACGAGCCACCTCAGCCTCCTCCACAGTCTAGACGAGCTTCGGCATACCAAAATGTCGACAGGGTCAGGATTCTCGATGGATATTTCTTTTTTATTTTATAATGTTAAATTTTTTGGATACTTTCTTTGATAAGAAGACAGCACTTTTGTTTTGGACACGTATTGTCTTTATTTTGTACGCTGCGAAAATAGGTGTTAGGATGAGAGTTGCATTGTAGAGATGCTTGTTTGTAGATCTTGTACAATGCGTAGATAGAACACGAGTAACCAGGAAGAATAGGTAACAAAAGTATTTATCAAGAATTTTCTTTTTATGGACTCCCAAGGATGATGATGGACGTTTTGTTCTAGGAGGATCCAGCACCAGGATGGGTAAGACACTCGGAAAAGGACAAATGTCGGTTTCATTACCATAGAAGACCAGTAACCAGGGTACGTAGTAACGAGTACGAACTTGACGAAACTTCATCCTCAAGGAGTATAAATAAATTTTATTCTTCACAGAATTCGAACATCCTCTCTGCCGTCCTGTGTCTTGTCAAGGAACTTGATTATCCAAGTTTGGAAGTGGTAGAGATGGCGGTGCGTAACCGTATGGACGAATTGGAAGAATGATATTCCGGACACCGCCCCCAGCCATCGCAGGGGGTGGTATTCTCACGGATTCCAGACAGCTCCTCGGTACCCAGTCCGGAGTTTTCTGATTCTTTGGACTCAGCAATGACATACAATCACAGACAGGTGGATGGCGATACGAGCAATCTAAACGAACGTCGTCTAAATGAGACAGACAGCCCAGAATCAAGAAGAACATCCTCCAGGAACAGTGGATACCTAGAAGGTCGACCTATCAGGAACGTCTCCATAGATCCAAGTCCGAAATACTTTGGCAATAACGGTGCAATCTACACACTCCGAGATGTGACGGATAATTCCAACCAGGAAGCAGCGGGTAACGAAGTGAGACGTGTGGCCAGTAGTGATAGCATCCCTTGTGGAGGAGGTAACCGTACCGCCATTCTCAATAGAGGACGTCGTGTTCTTAGTCAAGATTGCGTGCGGCGTTCCAAGAGTCCCGATGTTAGAAGCTCTTCAGTTCCCCTAAGATACATACAGTCAGCAAAAGGCACCTGGACTTACAATTTGTGAAGTGCACCTTCTTGAGGTATTCCGAGTGAACTATCAGTTTTCATACTTCATTTCATTTCAAATTTGAAAACATATCCAGTGGTGTCTGTACGTTGCAAAACTTTAAGACTCTTTCCTGACACTTGAACCCCCCCAACGGGGACTCAAAGCCACCCAAGGATAAATAAGAAGATAACTGAGACCTATTTCAGAACGGTTGAGTGTATCAAAAATTTAAGTGCAATATACAAAATATATGGACCGATATAAAACTATATGCATTATAGGAAAGCACGCGTGTGCCCGAGGATGTTCATAAGGATACTGATATCGCGATGTTCCGTCTATTTAGGAACATCTTGTACCTGTGCGTGAGTGTTACATAAATTCATAAGCGAGATATATATATATATATATATATATATATGTATAAGTATATTAACATCATATACAAAAAGATATTGGTAGTTATCTAACTGATTATTAACTATATAGAACGTTTCGCGGATCGAACGTCAAGATTTTTTGGGTCCCATCCCTTATAGGTTGTATGTATGTACACATGATGATTGAATGAGGGCAATGTAGCAGACCGGAAACACGTGAAGATATTTTTTAAATAAGATGTTTCCGGCAGTCGCCTTGTTATTGATTAATTATTGAGATACGGTGAAAGAATTAGAAAAATTTAAACAGGAACCAAGCAGTGAGTAACTAGTAATGAAAGTTATTTTTGAATCAATCATAGCCGATCCAAGAACGGAAAGTTACTAAAGCCAAATACTTATGAAATAATTAGTTAAGTTGTGTTTTTATGAGATGAAACAGATGCAATATCTTTTGTTATATGTAACCGTCCAATAGTACTGTTAGTATCTATTACGTAATTGTTAATATTATTGATGCAATAATTATATTATTAGAGTGCCGGCGCATTGTTCTTCCTTTGTTTATTAACTCGCCGAATTTTATTAAAAATCTAATGTCTCCGTTTAAAGTATTAAAAACGTGAATATCTACCACATTCCTTACTTGGTTCGCATTCGTTCTAGTCCAGATTTTCTGTATTCTTGGACTAGGACGTCCAGCGTCTCTATTGATAAACTATACTGTACTTAAATTAAAAGACACATCGCGAGGGAGAAATTAATGGAAAATCAAATAACTATGTGACGTTCTTAAAGCTTTCAAAAATAAAAAGTTAAGAATAGCTCGTTCACGTGTTATTCACTTTTGAACCTTCCGATTGGTGTAGGCAAGAATGATTATTGTTGGGCAAAGGTTCTTTCGTATTAAGGATATGAATAGTCTCATCACTCTTTACAAATTAGTGTCTCGCCAAAGGAACCCAATGTGGTTGTTGCATAACCATCGCTGTCCACACAGAATGGATAGCCATTGCTAGTTTGTTCTGGTTTATAATTCCCATTGCTTTGACACTGTAGAGAGAATGTTAAGTTCGCTTGACGGTAGATATAAGAATCTCTGGCGCAATCTGGAATTGCAAAAGAAAACACAATATTTGTTGAATACACTGTTCAGAAGTAATTGATAATTTCAATTAGTTTTACTCACTGCAATTTACTGTGAGGATGCTTGAAAGGGGTGTCTGATACAAGTCTATTCGCATCCCGTTCTTCCATAAACAGTACACACTGAAAAATATACATGAACAAATAATCGATGCTGACAATTAATAAATTGTAATCCTTAGTTGTGATACATGCATGGAACCATTTAAACTGTAATAAGCGTAGCTACCATCCCCATCACAATTTACAGTGTCGATGTGTGCATAAAGTCTACCATGTCTTTCTAGTTTATCGATAACTTCCAGTCTGGCAATGTGCATACTTTCACAGAGTCTTAAGTACTGTGAGCCAATCTTATCCTTGTCATCTATAAGGAAACATCAATTAAATTCTATAATTAGATATTATGTTTTTCCTTATTTATGGCTTTCAGTTAATAAACTCACAGCAAGAAAGATGGGTCATCATCGATTCAGGATACGCTCTCTCTGTTGGTTCACCAGTCTGTGGATCTACGCACCAGCACAATCCACTGTCACACTGTAGTTTCTCATAATTACCATCCTCAGAACAGTGAAGTGTCACATTCTCTCTACCCTGGTTCTTCAATGTGTCTCTTCTCCTACTGCAGGCTGGAATTATCCAAAACATTATCATGGAGTTTATAAGTATTTTGTACTTCTTATTTAATTACCACAGGTCATATTTCCTGCCGAGTGCCACCAGGACCATCCAAAGATTCTAGAGCCATTTGTATTATAACAAAAACAACGACCGTGCAATTGTTCGCCTTTGCACTGCACTGCTGACCAAGTGCCATCTTCGTCACAGGATGGTTTCCATAGATTATCACTCCATCGATAAGACATACAAGTGTCTACAGACAAAAAAGTAGTATCATGTGTCGAAAAAGAATTTCCCAATCAATTGTTAATAACTTACCAGATTCTACTTTACAGATGTAATTTTTATTACACTGTAGACCAGGTAGACAGGTAGTGTTTTTACAAGATTCATTAAGTCCTAAAATTGAAAGACTTGTATACTTCAATAGATAGTTACAAAGTTGATATTCTTTGACATTCTCTACCAGCTAATATACTCTTTGTTGAATCATCCAGGGAAACTATGTTGCGACTGACAAGGAACACAATAACTGTACCGACCCAGATATGCAGCCAAATCTGTAGCATCTTCAAATGTTTAGTTCCTTCAAGGATTACAGAAGACTTGACATTACACAGAAAATATAAAAAGAATATTATATCGAGTTTAAAGCATTCACAGAAACCACACAAGGTATCTTGAACTAGTGATATCTTATCAGTACCAAGTAATCACTAATCAATATCATTGATATTCGCGCCATAATTGAAAACATTAGAAAGTCAATAACGCATAATCGAAAACAAGTATATAACTTCAATGGATTTCTTATTGGCAGTGAATAATTTTTCGCTGAGTCCGCGTTTGAATCCAGCAAGGAGTTTGTTAAGAGCCATAATAAGAAAATGTTAATGTGTTTTCTATTATTGATGTTCAATTTCTTTACTCTTAGAGCTTCAAGTGACATCCATCTCTGTGAAAGTGAACTTGAGCAAGTATCATTCCATTCGAGTAATGTTATCCTATTATACCTTGTTACTTATAATTCATTCTATTTTAGATTACGCTATGTTTTCTTACTGAAGCTGGAAGTACTAAATCCAATATTGCGCGAATATTTTCTTAGACAGTCTGGTGTTGGATTACTTAATGTCTTTAATCAATATGATCTCATCCAAATAACAGTGGATCCTGTAAAGCGGGAATCCGTTTATCAATTCACAATGGCTACGAATATATTCATCAGCGTTATTGGTTACTGTTTCCACGTAGACGAGGTACCTCCATTGTTAATGAACGCGAGAAAAGATCCTGAGAAAATATATGAGAAGATGCCAACTCTCCAAGATCTCGTTTTGGCTGCTGAAAAAGAAATGGATATTGAGAATTTGAACACGTCGCAAATAGCTCATTTCAGAAGTATAGACCTAAAACCCGCATCTACATCCACCACACGATATGATGATTTAAAGGAATTTGAAGGAGTCCTTTACAATGTATCAATATTATAATTTTATCCTCAAATACAATGTACGCTGAAGAGGATCGTGGAAAATAATATACTTTCCGAGTTTACTTTTATAAACTGTTTCGATATTTTAAATCAAATCTCAACAAACTGGATGAGAGTTGAGCAAGCCAGTACCTATCTGTTTTTCTTTTACATAGGAAAATCCTTATAAGTCTGTCTTTCTCGCCCTCATGAGAATCCACTTTCCTATTAAATGTGGCGCCATCTTGTAATTATTTCGCATGTAGTGCCTCCATACAATTAAATATTAATTATCATTTGTAGCATATACGCTTACAGTTACTTTGATTTCTGATATTTGTCAGCTATGAGATAATTTTTATGAACATGATTTTATTTACTAGCATGAATGCTGTACAATTTAGACCAGATTTCTATCGTGTTTGTTTAAATTTGATTTAATCCCGCGTTTCTACCGCGCGTATCTTCCTACGTTCGTAAAATCCATTTATTTTGAGGCTACGTGTACGTTGCCTTCTAGATTCTTCTAAAGATTGGCACAATTTCGTATAAACGTATGTCATTGGCTGCTTTGGGAAACTTCTTTCAGTAACTTCCAATTACAGGGATTTACTCGGCCCTAAAGATACAACTTGTAATATTTTCAAATGATATTTCACGGATTTTAGAACACATTACCCATAGTGCCTTGCGGTACAAAGCGCGAAGTCTACAGTTGAACAAGAGTCTTTCTTTTTCGGGCCACGTGAGGAGGCAACGTGTAAATCTTTCTTCCTACGGTGATAAAGTAATTTGCACAAGCCGGTAGAAATCTGCTGAGGTATCTAATACAATCATTTTACTAATAATTATTCAATAATTATCCAAATTTATTTGAGAATTCATCAACCGAATTCTTTCAAGTCTTCATAACTTTTATCTACCCGTGAAACAAAGGAATCTCAACTTAACAAAGGATTCTGTGACTACACAGATCTTTCTCTGGTTTATTCTTTATCGAAGTATAATATATCATTTTTTTGTGATAAGAGGTGTTTTTATACTAATTTTGAAGGTAAAATAAAATTTTTTTCTTTGTCTTCAAAAAATTTGTCTACGCAATAGAATCATAGGAAAGATCAAAGAATTTTCGTACGACGAATTTCTAGGAATTATTTTTAATATGCTAGGGTATAACGAGGGGTTGCAATTAATTTTATTTTAGTTACAATGGGGGATGAATTGGGGCCAAGGGCATGGGGACGGGGCCGTGGTCGCGGTAGAGCACAAACCCAGGGTCAGGAAGCTCCTGCAGCCGCTAGTGGTGTAAGGCCTGCACAAGAAGGACGAGGATACAGACCAGGTGCACAGGCTCCTGCCCCTTATGCAAGACCCCCAGGTCCACATCAACAGCAACCACAGGTATAGGAACTTACCCCTTTTTTCTCAATGATCATCTTATATTTTGATTTATTATTTTATTTATTGCTTCCGAAGGTGGCTAGGCCACCAGTTCGTGGTGTGCAAGGGAGTTTATCTAGGGTAGGTCGTACTGGAGGATCTATGGATGTAGATGTTAGTGGTACGTACTAAGTTTTCTTTAATTATAGAGTATGATAAAATATAAATAATTATTTAATTTTTAAATCGAATGAAAATAATCATTTAAATTTTCAGCAGAAAGTGTTGGCAGAGGTACGACTGGAGGTGGTGATACAGCAGAAGCTAGTTCATATGGACGTGGAGCTATTAGGGGGCGACGTCCACTTCTTTCAGATCAGCTTATAACTCGACCAAGAGATTTAGTTTCGAAAAAAGGTTCAATAGTTAACTTTTAAGTTTTATAGTTTTTAAAAAAAATTTTATATTTTTCTTAAGGTAATATGCTTACAATTTATATGTTTTAAAATTTTATTATTTCCGATAGGAGTATCAGGTTACCCTTTAACGTTGACCACTAACTATTTCGAAATACTCGCTAAGAAAGAATGGTGCCTCTATCAATATCATGTCGACTTCTGTCCAGAAGAGGATCGTATAGCTGTCCGTAAAGGACTTCTTCGTTTGCATAAAGAGAAACTTGGTGGAAATGGGTACATATTTGATGGCAGTGTTCTCTTTACTAGCCATCCTTTGCAAGAGGTATAGAGATCTTAGTATTTAAAAAGCTATAACGAAGGACGTTGTTATTTATGGGTATTCCTGTTAGAATATTAAATGTTTATTTTCTTTAATTTTTCAGAAACTTGAATTCGTATCAACTAGACAATCTGACGAAGCTGAAATAAAAATTACCATTCGCTTTGTGACTGTGCTGGATAAAAGCAATCACACATATGTTCAGTTCTTCAATATCTTGATGCGTAAATTTTTACATCACTTGAAGCTTCAGCAAGTGGGCAGAAATTACTTCGACCCTCGGGCGAAGATTCAGATAACTGAGTATATGTTAGAATTGTGGCCAGGATATATTACTGCAATAAAACAGCATGATCATGGTATCTTAATGTGCGCTGAGATCTCCCATAAGGTGATGCGAAAGCAGTCCATCTTGAATCTGTTAGAGGATGCACGAAGGAAGAACGATCGGGATTACAGAGTATATATCTTTATTTCTAAATTTTTGAAATAATTGTAAGTGATAATTAATTACTCTTGCACTTACATTTTAGGCTCAATTTTTAGCAGAAGTCATTGGCATGACAGTTCTTACTGACTATAACAATAACACTTATCGCATTGATGACGTGAACTTTGATCTTACTCCAGAGAGTACGTTCGAACGAGGTAAAGAAAAAATCTCGTACATAGACTACTACCGAACACGATATCAAATCCAAATAAGGCAACGTCATCAACCCTTATTGCTGTCGCAATCAAAAATGAAAAATCGTCAAACTGGATCCAAGGATCTTGTATATCTGGTTCCTGAGTTATGCCGTGCTACTGGATTGACTGATGAGATGAAGAGTAACTTCAATTTAATGAAATCTGTCTCCAATCATACGAGGATTGGGCCGCAGGCTCGTATCCAACGACTAATGACTCTTAACAGTCGGCTACACGCTGAACCAGCCGTGATCCAAGATCTCACTGAGTGGGACCTAAAGTTAGAGAGAAGTTTGTTGAACGTACAAGGAAGGCTTCTGAACCAGGAGCAGATAGTGTTCGGTCGGAATAAGAAGATCAGGAGTGGAGAGCAGGCCGACTGGGCCTCAGGTTTTCGAGGTGCTGAAATGTTCGTCACAACAGAATTGAAGGAGTGGGTTTTGGTGGTGACGTCGCGTTCAGGTCGGGATGCTGAGGTAAGTACTTTAATTTTCGTTAATATTTATTGGCAATGATATATACATACGTATTTACAATAGATAACATAGATAGACTTTATGGTAAACGACCATAATTAATTGTTTCCCAGAAATTCTTCGAGAACTTATCCAGAACATCCAGACCGATGGGTTTCAACATCAAGCCACCAAAGTACTATGAACTCCGCGAAGACCGCGCCGGAAATTACACTGATGCCCTGGAGAATATAATGAGTTCCAGCAAACCACAACTGATAATGTGTGTTGTGCCGAATAACCGGGCTGATCGTTATTCGGCCATTAAAAAGAAATGCTGTGTAGACAGACCAGTCTGTAGCCAGGTCGTTCTTGCGAAAAATTTAAACCCTCAGAAAGGTGGTATGTCAATCGCAACCAAGATCGCAATCCAGTTGAATTGCAAGATTGGCGGCGCCGCATGGTCCGTAGAAGTTCCATCGGGAGGACTGATGGTGGTTGGATTCGATGTCTGCCACGACACCGTGAATAAGAACAAAGACATTGGTAAGAATTTGTATTGAATTCAGCTGAAAGATATTTTTCTATTCATGTTTCTTTTTAGGCGCTATGGTGGCGTCTCTCGACAAAAGCTTGAGCCGCTACTACAGTGCAGTCACCATGCACAGAAATGGGGAAGAGCTCTCAAACAATCTCTCAATGAACTTGGTAAATGCTGTACAGAAGTACCAGCAAGTCAATAAGGCTCTGCCAACGCGCATTATCCTCTACAGGGATGGCGTGAGCGACGGTGAGATCCCCTACGTATACAGTCATGAAGGTCGTATGATCCGCGAGAAGCTCGCCGTTCTTTACGGGGACCCTAAACTTGTTAAAATGGCAATAATCATTGTGACAAAGAGAGTGAATACTAGGCTCTTTGCTAATGGCAACGTCAATCCACCACCGGGAACCGTAGTCGATGATGGTATCACCGACCCTGCTAGATACGATTTCTTCATCGTGTCTCAGTTCGTTCGCCAGGGTGCTGTTGCACCCACGAGCTACAATGTTATCAGCGACAACGTCGGTCTCGACGCCGACAAACTTCAGCGTTTTACCTACAAGATGTGCCATATGTATTTCAACTGGGCTGGTACCGTCAGTGTTCCTGCCCCTTGCCAATATGCTCATAAGCTCGCCTTCCTCGTGGGACAATACCTTCATCAGCAACCCAGTACAGCACTAGAGAATCTTCTATACTTCTTGTAAGGGCAGCCACGGTAAGTGATAGTGAGCTGCTTTATTACAGATACATACAAAAAATAATAATGTTCCTATCATCATCATTATGTTACGAACGATACACGTTAAATGTCATATATAGTTTATAATCAAGATTATATTCAGAGATTTATCATACGGCACATTATATATGACGTACAACTATTCAGAAAATATGTTTCTTGTTTTTAACTGAACGAGTTACACTTAACTCGGTGGGATATGTGGAGTTCTTGACATACCCTAATTATTTTTTTACTACTCATATTGTATGCCATGAAAACTCTGAAATTTATTATAATGCTTAATATCCTTTTTTTTTATCGTTTCTGCCTAATTCTTTATTATTATGCTATGATCAATAGCAAGTTTTTTATACCAAAGAATCACAAGTTCTAGAGGGATTTAACAAGTGATAATAATGTAAGCAGTGAATAATGTAGAAAATCAAAGAACTTGTTGCTTACAGATGTACCTTTAGATTATTAATACGTAAGAGCAGATGCTTTTAATACTTTTGAGATTTGATACTTTAAAGAAGGTTAAGAAAATTGCAAGATTTCTTTTTTTTTTATCGTGACTAAACCGTACTGTTTTCAATTTTATTTGTGCTAATAAAACCAGTAAAAGATTTGATTGTAGAAAAATATTTAAAAAAGAGGGCAGAAGGAAGAAAATCCTTCGGGAAGTGTCTCGAGACATAACAAATGTTATAACATTTCTCTAGAGTATTTTAACAAACTGAGAAAGCTATGTCGTACTCCAGTTACGCTTTAGCTCTATTAATGATAAATATTAGTTTTCTACATTTAATTGAGGTTTATTTTTCTGACATTATCATTTTTTTTTCTTCGTATTCTACATAATACATTAAGGGAGTAAAAAAAAATAGCGAAGAAAAATCGTGAAGGGAGTAGCGTTTAATTTCACACCTGTTATATTTTATAAGATAACATTAAGAAGGAATAACCAATACTGTATCGGCATACGGTCATGTATACTTAATAATTTCCTTTAAATAATAAAAATCGTATTTCAAAAGCAATGCTTTCGATTCTACGGGTGTACTTGAACCTTCAAAATTATCGTTAAGTAATTTTCACTTTTCTGTTTTATCTTAAGATAATATAAGAATTGTTTATGTATTAAGGGGGATACTATCATTGTTGAACAAAAATATATAAAAATTAATATTTTACATATTGGCAAAGCCTACTTACATTTTGCACGTGTTCATTTTTTCTTATTGATCTGTCATTTCAACTAAGTTGAAGAATTTGTGTTCCAAGTTCAATGAAAGGCTAAAACGATCTAATAAGATGCAATAAGGAATTTTTAATCTCAAAATTTCTTTATTATTCTCCTTAGCTACTTTTGCAATGTAACGACAAATCTCGTTGACTACCCGGTAATAAAATACACTCTGCGCCTCTTATTACTTCTCGGTATAGATTATTATCAGTACGCAGAACTTGATGCTCCACTCACAATCAAGTAATAACAAAAATAATTATGAGATTCTAAATATATTCGTATTGTTCTTTCTCTTCGTATAATTCATCTGTGCCATAATTAGCATCCTTCTACACAGATGTAAATAAGTTTTCTTTTTAACCTACATATTCTTTTCTTTGAATTACAGTATAGTTTCTGACTGATTACATTGCTAGATAATATTCAGGACACGAGTATTTATCCCTTTTAAAGGATTCTAATAAAGATTTATTGTATTGCTGAAAATGCATCTGGAAAAAAGTAATAGAATTAGATAAAAGGTAACGATTAAGAGCACCGTGATGGGAAAAGAAAAATTAATACTGATATATTAAATTGTATATCGCTAATCGCTCTTATCAAACTTCTAAAATTCTAATTCATGCAATAAAATATATATGCGGTCTTTGAAGGTATATCACATTTCACGTTAATATTCTATAGCGAAAGATACCTGTTTCTTGACGGACAAATTTTAAACAGAAGACTTTACCAGTGATTCTTCTATATATATATATATATATATTTTTTTTTTTAATTACTGTATCTATTTTTGTGGTGTATAAAGGAGAAGGAGTGAAAGAAACAAGCAAATCATTCAACAGAATTAATTTAGAATCTAATTCAGTGTACGAAGTTTAAGGAGAGATCATGAAAAGAATAATTTGACTTATGAAAACGTCTCAACGATATTAATAAGTTTATATAGTTCTCGACCCATTGGAAAAAAAGATGCTCATCGTGTCTCCTCCACATCATCTGCTGCTGTATTTATGACTTTGACTTCGTCGGAGGCTGGTTGACGATGACGTCCCAGACGGTACTGGATCTTCCTTATCGATTGAGGAATTATAATGTTGTTATAGCAACACATGCCTATCAGAAGTATAGCGAATCCCAGCAACTGAAATAATATTAAAAATTCATTAATTATTACAGACAATTGAATTATTTGTTTTAATATGACTTTGTTACTTTACCTGTAGATAATGAAATGCTTGCCAACGAAATAATAAGGAGAACAGCCAGATGAGTATAGTACGTACGCTGTCCAGTATCATTCTAGTGGTTGCACTCAATTCTTTGGTGATGCTGATACCAGCGAAATTGAAGAAGGCTATGCTCACGGTTATACCTGAAGAGGAAGAAATGCTAAAGTATTGTGAAATAATTTTTTTAAATATTTTAATCTTACCGACTATGGCCATTAGGAGATATCCACTATTTCCTATCTGTACAAAAGCGTCCAAGGTATCTTCGAGAGTTCCTCTAGAATTGTCAGCGAAGGGTGGTACTGCACGAATAAAATTCAAGGGCACAATAGCCAGACAAATACCCAGGAATCCAAAAATGCCTGAATGACAAGAAAATTAAATGTCTAATTCATATTGGAGGAAGAAAGATATGTGAAAATTGTATCCTTTGATCCTAAAGTACCTTCCCAGCCTACAGCTTGCAATGGTGGAATATCCAGACCAGATACAAACTTTTCTTCTACCACCATTTGAACAGACGAGATGATCTGGGCGCAGACTATAAGTAGATCTCCGGTAATTACAGAATTTACACTTGTGTGATCAGCATTGCCCGTAACTATGTCGCTAAGTCCTACTATTCCTAGGCCGACTATCACTAAACTGATACCGGACCATTCGCGGACGCCGAGTTCTCTATTGAGGAAGGCGACGGAGAAGATGCCAGTGAAAACAATGACTGCTCCCCGTAACATCTGAAAGCTGCTGGCGTAGGTCATAGTGAGCCCAATGTACATGACAGTGGTGGCAAGCATATCACATAGAGCAGGTATAGCCAATACTGTTGGATTGAAAGTCCGCGAACCTTTCGTAAGTGGATTGTTGTCCACAGATCCATCCTGAGGAGAGAGTACAAGGACCTCATGCAATTGAAGACCATAATAAATATCCATTGCATAGATCAGGAACGCACCGTTCGACGATTGTAATAGCAAAATGCTACTTTGAAGACCAGAAGACACATCATTTCTCCTACGAACATGAAGGAAGACTGCATAAAGGGATGATTGAAGTGTCTTGGTTGGCCATCAGATCCTGGGACGATCTGCTTGTCAGCATACCTAAGAACAATAAGGTAAATAAAATTGTCCAAGAGGTTTTACATCTGTTATTCAACTTACTTGACTGAGAGAGTATTAAACGAGCCGGTGATTACCATCAGGACAGCTAATATCGTTTGATATGCCATTGCCATCGTGTAAACCAGCTATGAATTCCTAATTGTTTAAGAATTTTATTGCGGCACTGTATGTGAAAAACAAAGACACAGTCACAATCGCAACTAATTATATTTAGTCTAGATTGACAGTTGGTAATAAAGCCTGTTTAAAACCTGTTGAAAGTCGTTGGTATACACTGCGCCACGACGTAAGGCGTCCAAGAACTCGCTATGTTACCGTAACATTCACAGATAATTCGTGTTTAAAATTTCCTAAACGAAGATTATGCTGCGTCAGCTAAGAGATATTACTCAGTTCTATTATCCCGTTCAGTGGACCCTCTGATAAACTGACACAAGTACTTTGATCCTGGATTCTTGGTGTGGGGAGTCACTGGCATGAACTGTTAAATCAGTTAGAAACGTCCGGACAGAATATTCTGAATAATTCTGAGTTCTTGTCCAGCACAGTGGACAGTAGGGTCCCTAGACTATCTTTACAACGTGGTAACTTTAAAGAGATCCACTCTGATTCTTTTGTTGATACGGACAAAAAAGTTCAAGTTGGAATTATTTAATTGTAACAGCAAATTCAACAAGATTAAATTAACTTCACATTGTATTTTTTTTAACCGTTTGAGAGAATTTACATTCCTTACTGGAATTTGACAATAACGGTACCCATTGTAAAATAAGGGATGGGGTGCATACCTACACCATATGTTTTGACCCGTACTCCAACCGTAATTTACTACTATTATTTCAACTACTTTCTAAAACTTAAGTTTCTTGAAACAGTAAGAAATTCCTATATTTGACAAAATAAAAATTTCTCGTGCAATTGTCATACAATAATTATATTTCAAAATATAAATATTTCATACTCATTGGGTCGTCTTCTCGGTTACAATTATTATGGGACTAGTGGAACTATGAATAAAAATGTGAAAAACAAATTATCGTTAAAGAAATGAATTTCAATGTTTGAATACAATATTTGGTTTTCTTAAATCTCCTATTCTTTAAGGGCTCTTGGAAGATTTTGTTAATATAACTTTTGCCTGCTTATCATAAATGACTTTATTATTTCAGTAGAAGAAAATCTTATTAAAATGAAATTATTCACAGTGCACATATACGCTCATACTGTTCTCGAAGATCCCTTTTTTTCTAGGTATGAACTTGGGCCATCTTCTTCCCTTTCTCAAGGATATCTCGACACAGTCTCGTACCATTGGTCGCTTCTACAAAATCCTTTAAAACCAACCAATAAAAAAGTCCAGGCGGAGTTATGCTAATTAGATAAATGACGTTGCTACCTAAGTGTAAAAGGAAACTACACAGCACTATCGCCTCATATACTTCCGATCTACATTCACAACCAGTGTTATGGGAATTTTTAAACGTATTTTTCACACCGCTTTGCAGTACAACAACGGGAGATTGTTAAGCTAGAGTTTTTTGTTATTGTGAATATAAAGAATTTAGGATTGTAACTCGTGTAATTTGTTAGAAAGAAATTAAAACTTGGCGATCTAGGAAAATTGAATCAGGTATTTTATTCAATAATTTTGAAAATCCTTTGTTATTTCTAAATCTTTTATTCTTTTATTATTATACAATTATTTGGGTATGTAATGAATATTTTGATAGGCTTATAGAATAACACAATGGTATAGAAGTTGAAATTCTTTGTGGCTACTTATATCACAATGCGTGCGTTTGTAATTCCTATAGCTAGAATATGATGATGCGTCAGCACGAAATAATCTTTGTATGAAAATTATTGCATCATATTATGCGAGGTAGTTTTTTAATTATATGATAAAATAATTTAAGAAATTCATTATAACTTTCTTTTAACGTATAATAAAGTCATAATGTTGAAGAACTAAATAACAGTATTTAAAAACATTTGAAAGCATGTTGATCCTAATACCTCAAAATAGTGTCCGTTATATATCGAAGAAAGTAATAATTTTCATAATTTAAGAAAGGTACAATGAATATATTCGAGCTCATAAAGTTACATATTTTTCAGTAAATACCTTAATACTTTTCTTAAGTATTTCTTTTACACACCCCATTAATCATTCATTACAATTGCGCCCCAATAATAATTTCTTAATTCTATCGATTATAGTTTGTCCACAATGCCCGTCCTAAATTCCCGTTATATCATAAAGCAAATTTTTCCTACATGTCACCCTACCACTGACCATAATCTTTGTATAAAATCGAGTTAGTCATATTTTTAAAATCAGTTTTCCGTCCGACGCTACATAAGTAAGAGTTCTTGTTATCCATTTTTTTAAATCTTCAATATAAATTTCTCATATAAAAGAAGTGATCGTTGCGTCATGAAAATGATCGATACATTTCCTTTGATTTTTTCGAAATTGACTTATTGCATATATTTCTGACAAAGACCAAAACATTTCTTTAGGATTATTTTTGAACAGTTTTTTAATACATTATAGTAAAATAAAAATTGTCATTCTCGTTGTTTCAGCTCAAATGGCTGATGAATTTACGCTAAATGCATGGGGTCGAGGTCGCGGGCGTGGTAGGAAACAGACTCAGGCTCAGGATAATCCTGGAACAAATGGTGTATCAAAGCATGTACAAGGAGAACGAGGAATCAGACCTGGAGCACAGGCTGAAGAACCTTCTTACGCAAGGCCTTCAGGTTCATGTCCTCAACAACCACAGGAACAAGCACAGCCACAGCCACAGCTACAAGGACAGGTACACCTTTAATTTCTGCTTGCCTTTTATATCTTATATCTTTCCCATTTTCACTTTATATTTATTCCCGTCGCAGTGGTCAAGACCACTATTGCGAGGTATGTCAAATAGTTTACCCAGTGCAATTGGAACCTCAAGACCGGTAGACATTGAGCGTGGTACGTATTGCTATTAATTTGTACATTATTTATTAAAGCCTGAATATGAAAATTATTTACTTGAATGTTTCAGCTGTAAGTGTTGGCAGGGGTTCTTCTCGAAGTCGTGTTGTAGCTGAAAATATTTCATTTGGTCGTAGAGAAACCAGGGGACAAGCGCCACTTTCAGTAACTAAACCGAGCAATTTAATTTCTAAGAAAGGTATTACCTTTAACAGATAATTTCTCATAATTTGCAGTAACAATATTGCATTGTTCAAAGTAATGTGTATATAGTTCATATTCAATAAATATACTTTTCGTCGCAGGAACTTCTGGGCACCCTCTAGAACTGACTACAAACTACTTTGAATTGATCTGTAAAAGTGATTGGCATCTGTATCAGTACCACGTTGACTTCTCTCCAGAAGAGGATCGTATAGCTGTTCGTAAAGGACTTCTTCGTTTGCACGAGGATAAACTTAATGGATATATCTTCGATGGCAGCAGTCTTTTCACTAGCCACCCATTACAAAAGGTATGCAGGGATTAATAAAATAGATACGTGTAAAAATGTACAACTTTGGTATTACAATACTAAATGCTTTTATTTAAACATTTTTTCTTAGCTACTCGAATTTACGTCAACTAGAAAATCTGACGAAACTCGAATTAAAATCACCATACGCTTCGTAGGTGATGTAGAAAGAGGCAGTCCCACCTATATCCAAGTCTTCAATGTCCTAATGCGCAAATTTCTTCAGCATTTGAAACTTCAACTAATTGGCAGAGATTACTATGACGCTAAAGCAAAGATTCAGATAACCGAATATATGTTAGACTTGTGGCCGGGATACATTACTGCTATAAAACAACATGATCATGGCATCTTGCTGTGTGCCGAGATCTCACACAAGGTAATGCGACAGCAGTCCATCTGGAATCTTCTGGAGGATGCACGAAGAAGAAATGGTGGAGATTACAGGGTAAATATTGTTCTTCAAGTTGTTTCTTGTATATTGAGCTATTGGTTATATGCAATTCTTAACTACTTTATTTCTATTTTAGGCTCGCTTCCTAGCAGAAGTCATCGGCATGACTGTCCTTACTAGCTACAATAATAAAACTTATCGCGTTGATGATGTGGTTTTTGATCTTACTCCCGAGAGTACATTCAAGTTGCGCAATGGAGAATCCATCTCCTATATTGATTACTATCGAACAAAGTATCAAATTAAAATAAAAGAGCGTTATCAACCTCTATTGCTGTCTCAGTCAAAAATGAAGAATCGTCAAATCGGAGAGAAGGACATTATTTACTTAGTTCCCGAATTGTGCCGTGCTACTGGATTGACTGACGAGATGAGAAACAACTTCAGGCTCATGAAATCTCTTGCTAATTATACGAGGATTGGACCTCATGCTCGTATTCAAAAGTTGATGTCATTTAACCAGCGGCTACACTCTGAACCAGCTGTAGCTCAGGATCTAAAGAAATGGGACCTGAACCTGGACAAGAGATTATTAAGTATACAGGGGAGGGTTCTTAATCAAGAGAACATTTTTTTCGGTCGGAATAAAAGAATTATATCTGGAAACGAGGCCGACTGGTCGAAAGGTTTTCGCGGTAACCATTTACTGGTTACAACTCAGTTGAACAATTGGCATTACGTGGGGCCTTCATTTGTAAAACGAGATGCTGATGTAAGTATTACATTTATACTAAGTAAGGAAGTAACAACAGAAAATACAAAAGTTAATATTGTGATTGCATGTACAATATTACAATAATATCTATAAATTGTTTAATATTCCACAGAGATTCATAGAGAACCTAATAAAAGCGTCATCACCGATGGGATTTATTGTGAAACCTCCCACTTTTCACGACGTTCGGAACGAGAATGCCGGCAGTTACGTCGATACACTGGAGAGGATCATGAGGTCCTTCCAACCCCAGCTAGTGCTTTGTGCCGTGCCGAATAATCGTGCTGATCGTTATTCAGCTATTAAGAAAAAGTGTTGCATAGACAGACCAGTCTCAAATCAGGTGATCCTTACGAAAAATCTAAATCCTGAAAAGGGTGCTATGTCAATCGCCACTAAGATCGCTATTCAACTGAATTGTAAACTTGGCGGCGTTCCGTGGTCAGTTGAAATTCCACGATCAGGACTTATGGTAGCTGGTTTTGATGTCTGCCATGATACTATCCACAGAAATAAAGATATTGGTAAGATTTTGTAAAAATAATTATATAAGTGCAATTGTTTTTAACTATTTATTTTTTATCAGGTGCTATGGTGGCATCTCTCGACAAAAGCTTCGGCCGCTACTACAGTGCGGTTACTATGCATAAGAATGGAGAGGAAATGTCAAACAATCTTTCCACGAATATGGTTGACGCAGCCATAAAGTATCGTGAAGTTAACAAAGAGCTACCAACGCACATAGTCCTCTACAGGGACGGCGTGAGCGACGGAGAGATCCCCTACGTTTATTCCCACGAAGTTAGGACCATCCGGGAGAAGCTCAACGCTCTTTATAAGAATACTAATCCCGTGAAGCTCGCCGTAATTATCGTGACAAAAAGAATTAACACCAGACTTTTTCTCGACCATAGCCTAAATCCACCACCTGGTACCATTGTTGATGATGGCATTACTGACCCTTTGAGATACGACTTCTTCATCGTCTCTCAACATACTCGACAGGGTTCTGTTGCACCTACTCATTACAATGTCATCTATGACACCCTGGGTTTCGATGCTGACAAGATTCAACGTCTGACGTACAAACTGTGCCATATGTATTTCAACTGGGCTGGTACCGTCAGTGTTCCTGCCCCTTGCCAGTATGCTCACAAGCTCGCCTTCCTCGTGGGACAACATCTCCATCAGCAACCCAGTACAGCACTAGAGAATTTACTATACTTCCTGTAAGAGCAGCCACGGTAAGTGATAGTAAGCTGCTTATTACACGTACAAGAAGCAACAAATGTTCCTATCCTGTTCTTATTATTTGATTAACATATGTATAGTTTATAACTAAGAATATTACTTCAGTTAACTACGTGGAATATATATGAGAAGCTTTCGAGGAGCAGTAATTATTTTGTTTTACTGTATTTTATTATTTTGTATTTTATAAGAATGCCCTCTGATTCATTTTTTTAGTTCTTAGGCATAACTGCATGGAACATGTTTACCATATTTTTTCTCGCAATAAACAAATGTATTACACGGACTAATGTTTGATTGAAAACTGCGAGTTGAATCAGTTGTATTAAAATTTACAGAAATTATTGAATTCCAGATGTAGATTAAGAACCAATAACATATCCGGCGTGTTTTATTTCAAGGCAATGCATGCGTTTAATTATAGTCGATTCGTGAGTAAATTGTGCTTTAGAGCACATTTTTTCTTAATACTCTTAATGTAGCGTGTTCTGCAAGTATTCTCTTGGCATTGTAATCGTAATTATGTAATGTATACATATATCCTTGAATTAAAATATATAATCATTGATTACGATAAAGAAAACTGTTTGTAAAAATTTTATACCTAGACTAGCGTAGTTTGGTTAGGATCTTCTTTTTATCAGTTAATAGTTACAATTATTCAATTGAAGGATTTGTGAGCTCTGTTGCAAATATTATAGGGAGAGAATAATGATATAATTATGATAGGTAACACAACCAGTTTTTATTAGTCACTTAGAATTCACAAAGTTCCCAATAGCATTTGGTCTAACTGTGAAATTGTTGGATAGCATGGTACCGACGGATGATAATAATTTCGACGGTCTTTGATAAAAACTTAAATAATAATACGTACATAAATATTATACACATATATATTTACTATGCTCATACATTTCACATCGCTCTGTGAGCGACGTTCACCTCGTGCAACGCGCTTACTTAAACTTATTTATTTCTTTATCCTATTTATTTTCATTGCGACAAATGAATATAATTTCTATTAGCGCTATTTTCTATGTTCATCTAGAAAAGTTCTGTTCTTTTGTCTTAATATATTTTCGAAACCCTGAAATCTTCGGGGCTTCGTCTTTTGCACTTGGACAAATTAATTTTTGTGCTACCGGAATGAGACAGAAAAAAGCTGGAATTAAAATAATAGTAGAAATTGATTGCAATGAGTGATAAATGAATTACGAAAAGTACAGAAGAAAATTGATAGTCGTCGTGAATACGATCAACCGTAGGAATGATGACTGACGCAACATCTGTATAAAACAAAAAAAAACGACATTCACGGGTCTGCACCTTCGCTACTTTTTCTCATCCTCGTTTCTTCTATCTTTTATGTTTTCTGTTTTTTTTTAGATGTAATCACGACGAATCGTTAAAGCTAGCAAGCCCTACGCCCACTAGCTTTTTCAATTGTACTGTTCTGGCAATACGTAAGAAATATCGTCCCAAGGATGACGGTACAGTCCTTGCTTCAGCCTCTTCTGATCCATAAAGTGACCTAAAGAATTAAGACAATGCATACATAAATGGTCTATTTCTATAAAAGATTTTAAGTGTCTCTTGAACAATATGGGAATATGGAAAGTGATACCCACCAATGAAACCTATACTTCTGCCAAGCACAAAGAGACTGTTAATTGCACCGATCTCAATGTATTCCTGAGCTTCTTCCCTGGTGAAGCTACCACTGTTCCTCAGCATGTCAACAAAGGCACAGGCAATCATACCGTCCACGTTTAGAATTAGATTCGGCTTCTTGCTGGTAGTAATTTTTTCTACCTCCAGTGCATAGAGAGTCAACGGTTTCATTGGGAAATTCTCGAGAACAAACTCCTTTATTAATTTAACCCTCATGTCGGGATTGTTAATAGATTTGACACGGTGTCCTATTCCCATAATAAGTTTGCCCTTCTTTCTAGTCTCGTTCACGAATTCCTGAGGATGCAAACCGGCATCGTACGCCTCGGAAAACATGCGAGCAGCTCCGTCAAGTGCTCCTCCAAAACGATCACCCTGAATTGCAAAAGTAAAAATTACCCTAATTAGTAAATCATGACGGTATCTTGACGTCAAAACAATAAAAAATGAATTGGCTACTTACAATCGTCAGTAATCCTGATACCAAGGAGCTAACCAAGTCTTTACCAGCTCTGGCACATACAATAGTGTTGTGCGCACCAGATACAGCTGGTCCATGATCAGCAGTCAACATCAGTGACATCTCCAAGAATTTGCAATAAGTGGGAGCAAGACAACGCTGGAACCAGAGTAGAGATACGACGCCACCAATACCCACGTTCTGCTTGAGAACTTCTGTTACTGGCATGCCGGCATAGAGGAGTTCCTGACCACGCTCATCGCAGATGGAGGTCATGAACGATGCAGGCTTTCGAATTAGTCCCAGTTCCTAAATGATTTTCCAGGATTCGTTGAGCAGTTCAAATGGAATGAGATACTAGATAAGACTAAATATCTTTAACTTACCCTAGCCCAACTATAATCCATTGGTACTGTTGGTGGTGGTACTTCTGGTTCTGGAACAATGCTACCATTTCTAACCAACTGTTGATAAACAGATTGGATCAGATCGCCTAGAGTATCGAAATTATCAGGAACGTAGGCACCAGCTGCTTTCAGGGAAGCATTTTTAGAAGACGCTGTCTCCAGATTACTATGTGCAATTGAACCAGCATGGCCGAATTGAACTTCAGAAGTGAACATACTAGCGCAGGTGCCAATACACCAGGCTACTAATGGTTTCGTAATCTTTTTAGTTTTTAGGGCTTCGCAAACTTCATACTCTTCAACACCACCAACTTCACCCAATAGGATGATTAATTTGGCCTCAGGGTTATTCTGATACCGCATTATGTGGTCCATGAAAGTTGTTCCTGGATAACGATCTCCGCCAATAGCAACACCTTCCAGGACGCCATTCGACGCCTTTGAGATAATGTTGTTAAGCTCATTAGACATTCCGCCGGATCGAGACACATAAGCCACACTGCAGAAGGTAATTTGATAAATTTTAGTTGTCTTCTTTTTCAATATCCTTATACTGCTAATATTTTTATTATACAAGAATATCAATAAGAAAATAAGTATTTTATACCTGCCGGGCCTGTACAGTTTGCTGTGAAGAATGTTATCCATCATTCCACCGGTGTTTCCAATTTTGAAACAACCTGGTTTAACACCACCGACAGTAGCTGGTCCAATGATCGTGACTTTCTTTTCATCTGCCATTAGTATCAGCTTTCTGGTCATATTTTCAGGTATACCTTCAGCAATTATGGCAATAGTTCTAATTTGGGGGAACTGCAGGGTCTCCACAGTGCTGTCGTATGCGGAACGCAACGATGCGAATGTCACCATAACATCGGCATCGGGGTGCTTTACCATGGCGTCTTTCATTTGCTTGTACACCGGAATAAGAACCTGTTAAAATTTTACAAATAATTTTTTAAACATTTTTTGCTTGCCCGATTTTAATATAGGTATATCGTTAGAAATTATTGTCTCTTTTCACCTCCTTGTGGCCCCAGTAGAATTTTTGTTTATGATCTCCTGTGAATGGATATACAATAGCAGCAACAGAAGGTTCATTTCTTCTGCATACAAAGTCAAAATCTAACATGCTTTGGACTGCTCTTGTCTGCATTCCCCATATTATAGCTCGAGTCTTGTTGCTAAATAGTTCTTTGTGACTCGATGAATCCACTTGATCGGGTTTCACTGCTTTAGGACCTTCTCTAGGTGTCTGGGGTGCAGTTTTAGCTGATGTATTAGGGCCGACATCCTGGCCAGAGGGGAGTAGGAAATTTGCAGTGGAGAATTCTTGAGCTTCCGGGTCAGGAATAGGTTTCTTTCCAAGAGCCATACCACAAATTGCTGTCATGTGTGTTTCCGGTCCGAATACGTATACTGGAATTCCTAGACGTTTGCCAACCTCACGAATAATTCTGTACATAAAAGTAAATAAATATTACCATCAATCAAATATTTGTTTCTAGTAAAAATGATTAATGCTGCTTTACCTGAGACCTTCTTGATAATTAGGTCCAGCTCTCCTAACGAAGATCTTAATGTCGTGCTCTACAAGTTTTGGCTGGAACTCTTGGAGAGCTTTAACGATACCTTTGAAGGTGGCAGCGACGTTAGTGAAATTTGCAATTCCACCACCGACTATCAGAACTTTGCCTTCAGGATGTTTCTCTTTAGTCATAAGACTGAGGATAGTCTTGGCGTACTCATAGGTTTGCTGTTCACTCGGTGCCCCAGAATACTCTCCATAATTTGCCAATTCACTGGCACCACCAAGGTCGCAAATAGTATCTGAATAAATAACAGAAGCACCGCCACCAGCGACCATCGTCCAAATTCTTCCCTTGGGATTCAGAATAGTTAATTTAAGACTCGCTCCTGATTTAGCATCTAGGTCAGCGATGTAAGCCTCTTCTGGATAGGCATCCCTTCCAAAAGGTGGTGGATAATCAATTTCACCCCAATCTGGTTTACAAATAAAGTCTGCGGTAGTGTCCAGCTTAGCAGCCAGATCAAGAATATAAATGGCTTCATCGGTCACTACCAAGGGATTGATCTCCAGGTACGTAAAGTACAAATCCACATAAAGCTTATACAAAGATTCAATAAATTTAGCGATGACTCTGTAAAATAAAAAGAATGCATAAAAACTACATGATGATCATTCTCTACAGACATTTCTTGGGGACGTACGGTTTCTTATTCTTGGCGACATTCACCAGGAGATTCTTGGTCAAAACATCCTGAGTGGGAGGTGCAGATCCTACTGGAACCTCAAGCTTCAGAGCTTTCGCATCAACATCACCAATATCAACACCACCCTGATGATGGAAGAGAATAGTATCTGCTTTTCTATGTGAGTAGATGCAAACATATGCTTCCTCCTCCTGAAAAATATCATCAGATAATTGTTAGCATCGTCCTTTTAAAATTAAAGCTTTATGTGATACACTAAAACAAAATATTATGAAACTTACAGGCTTATGTGGCACGAAAGGCTCTATTATAAAGGTCTTTAGTTTTCCTGTGGCTTTTCCAATAACCTGATCTTTATTGATTCTATCAGCAATCCATTTTTGCACAGTGGGTAGATCAGCATTAACTTTAATCAGACCCAGTTTTCCACGACGTTTAATAAGTTGATCAGGCTTCACCACAAGCTTTTCCGTTTTCAACCATGGATTGTCAGCGACCACAGTCGCCCAATTGGTCTTCTCATCAATAGGAACAAACCGACACTTGGCTGCATTAGTTCCATTTTCTAATTTACGATTGATGAGATCCTTGCCAGTCGCTTCGCGGATAGCTTTGGCCGACATTCTTCAACAGTTTCTGAAATAGACATTATATCATTAATGTATAAATTATTTCTAAATGATATAAGTTGTTATATTCTATCAAATAACATTTAGATAATGTTATCTTTACGGGAATGAAGTTAACTACGTTAACGATGTCCCTGCCAGTAGGTTATCATCTTTAAAATATAACAAGAGAAAAGATAAAACGTTATTTTCTTCGAATACATATACCGATATTGTCAACAGTGATAGTGAATCAATATATTCTATTGAAGTATCAACATCCAGTTGAAACAACAGATGTTTTTGCTTGTAAATAAAAATTTTTTAATTTATATAAATTCAAGAATAGTTCTCAACGATTACGCTACAATCGTTCACTGTTACCGACAATGTAATGCATAGTGGAACCAGTATTTGAAGCTTTGTTTTTTTTCCACTTTTAGATACCAATACGTCACGAGCAAAAGTTGATCGACCACATTCCATTGACTGTGACGAAGGAATACAGAGGTTCAAAACTTTCTTTTCACCGTGAAAAGCAGAAATTCACGGGATAAATATTCATACAAAATTTCCTAAGTTACCTCAAAAGATGTTCGTTCCCCTCTACTTTTGCCAAGAATCAAAATATTAATTCTTCAGATACCTTAGCAGAATTTTCGAAGCAAATATTAAACTACTGGTATCGAAAGTATCCCGAGCGACAGGTAAAAGTTTAATGTAAACTCTAGTCGCGTGCCAGAGCATTGCATATCACTTTCACCAAGAAACTTTCATACTGACTGCGTTTCCTTCGTGTAGGATTTACTAAGGATTGACCAATCACGTGTAACGTTAGATAAGAATACGCGAATATTCTTTTCAAACGTTTCACACGATTGGTTGATTCTGTTTAAATCCTGTACACTGAAAACGTCATCAATATTGGCGATAATCGTTATCGCAGCTGCTAAACGATAAATTCATCGCGGGTAATTTGACTTTCTATAAAACCCATATTTCTCCATCTCGCTCTGTCCTCCACAATTCCTAAATATCTCGTCGTTTTCTTAACGCCAGTAAAAAATCAATTAAACTTTATACTGTACAAAGTCGAACTCAAATACCTGAATTGAATTTTTATCCTGCGCGAAAGCAATCACCTGATGCGAAAAACTAGTTTTTCAAGGTCGACTGGCATATGTCCATCTCTTTAACAGGCAGGAAGAAAAGTGAACAATTCGAAGTTCTCTAAGAATAACAATAGTTCAATTTTCTCCTCGATAAATAGAATAGAATTGTGTAACAAACAGGGTAGCAAATGCATTACTTATTATATTCAACGTTGCCCTCGTTCAAATCGTACGAAGATTCCCAAGATGCATTGCGCGTTACGTTTTAAAATATACATTAAATTCAAACTATCGTAATATTATTATCGAGACAGTTTATCGAACCAACATCCCGAAATGAGTTTGACATTTTAAATTTATTAACTTGCATAATGTATATATCCTTCAAGACTTGAGTATACAAACTAAACAGTGACTTAACAGATTCAATAATCGAGATATAACTTAGAGAGGTACGACCATTAAAACAAATTTAACTAACCGATCCGAATAGTCGTTATATTCTTGACAGGTACAATAATCCTTATGCGTACAGAGTTTTTGAAAGATCGATCGTCTCGCTTCCTGAGCTATATGCATTGAAAATAACCTAAACATGGCACAATACAAAACAGAATATACTTGTGTTAAATTGACGTCATAGATTTTGACTTCTCAACGGTAAAAAATTCATGGAATTTTTATACGACAGTTACTTTAAATTATCTAATCTTCGGCTTGTTTCAATGACGATATGTTACATGGCAAATATTTTTAAGAGTGACATTATACTATTTCTTCGCCAGAGGAATAAACCTACCGTATAGAGGAAACATTCGTACTTGCTTGAACTCGAGTGTATCTAATTACTGTAAAAATTAATTGAATGAACTCACAATCTTAATTGAACCATACAAACTGATATTGTTTTGCTAGAACACGGTAATAATATGTTGGTACGATTTTTCAATATTGCAATAATTTCAATGCTCACTCTAAGATATAAGAACGCACCCTTTAATAAATATGTATAGCTGCCTTAGCGTGTAACACAGATGCAGTGTGACTAGCTGTAGATGACCGTCGAGTAACCTCAGTGGAGGAAGTAAGACGGGAAGTCTTTTCTCCTCGATCGTCCGCGACTGACTGGACTTTCGATGTGACACCAGGCGGCATATGTAACATGGAACACGCGGCAAGATACGTACCGGACGGTATCGTATGATTACGGCATGCTGGTACATCCTTTTTTCTCTTCCTCTTATTATTTATTCGAATATTACCTGCGCGCAATTAGTTATATTTCGAATGTATCCTTCGAGTCGTTTAAAATTTTGTTCCCCTCTGCATTTTATATTTCGCATAATATTTTTTATTAATCAAATTTTTTTCTCTAATTCTCGATTTTTAACGTTTTGACGATATTTGCTGGCGCGACACGGATACAGGACTTTCCAAATAAAATTAATGGTTGACCTTTTTTTTTGGCGGAGCAGAAATGTATTTGTACCTGGGAATTATTTAAAAGAAAACAAATTTCATTTGTTTTTTATAAATAAATATTTTCTTCCTTTTACTTCATTTGAATTATCATCGATTATTAATTCAGAGCTGTAGCGTAACTGATTAAAAAAGAAAGAACACTGGTCGAGGACGTTACATCAGAACCCACGTGGTGATAAGGTACGCAACACGCCAATGGCCTATCGTGCTACTCAATGAATAATCGTATGATTGCAGGATTGCGCGATTCCACAAGTAAAAACAGACCGATCATCTTCCTATATTCGCAGAGAAGATTTTGAAAGGTGATATTTTATCTGCATCTTCCATCTTTTACTACATACATTTTTATTTTTAATATCAAATGCGCATGCGGCGTTGATAAGCAAAAATATTAAAATGTACATAATACATACTATACACCAGGTTGTTCAGCCCAAAAGTACCACTTGAAGTTAGTATACCCATTTAATTCTGTGATAAAACCACATACAGCTGGTACGTTTGAGCTGTAAAATCGATTGCAAGAAAAATAATTGCTGCACTCAGTAAATTTGGGTAAATAAAATCGATTAGTTCATTCTTACTACCAATTATTGATAGTCACATAGTGACCAATAAGCTACATGGATAATATAGCCATTGAATCTGTGAAATACCAGCTTCGGCCTACCAGTTGAACTATGCAACTGATTCGCTTCTACACGGGTCACGAAGCTTCGTATGATATTAACACATAAGTGACCAAGCCGTGACTGTGTCGTGATAGTCGCAATTCAAGAGCATGTGAATTTTTCAAAAAGCCACGCGTGGTTCGATGTCGTTTAACGTCCTCAAGCACAGAAAAAAAAACAAGCAACTATTATGTCACACAGATAGAAGATTCCAATTTAATTTTAGGAATAATAATTTAATTACACAATGACAAATAAGACTCCAAGTACAAGGGATGATTTTGATTGACAGGATCAATAATTTTCTTCCGGACATTTAAAATGGACGCAATTTAGATTAAAAAAAAAAAACAACTTGCCTACCGTTAATATACCTACTATTTCCTTGGCTCTTATGTCGTTTGTATTTCACTTTTCAAAATGGAACGACTAATATGGAATAGATAGTAGATGATTATAAATTTTTTTCAAGGTCCTTTCACTGGATACTGATAGAAGTATCGCGTAAGTGACTTGTCCTCCTTCTGGTACAATATCTGCACTCGAACGCGCGTACGAGAGTCATTAAAATTTATAATTTTTCTCGTCACTCTTGAACACGTGACGATACTACCGCGTGGTTACGTAAAAGCTGGACAAGAGACTTAAGTGTCCATTCAATTACTTGAAGCTAGTGAAAAATTGGAGAGTTTCTTTTTAATAATTTTATAATTCCTTTATTATAGATTGCATGGAATCGTGTATCTCCGAAGATGTAACCCTCACATTGTCAGAATTAAGATCTGCACCTTTATTCGGAGGCTCGTTGAATTATCTTCTCTTTGTTTTTTTTAAAGGAAGGCATAATCGATCGGCCAATTGTTTGAAGAGTGGGGGATATCTGTGGCCTTGACCCTAATGAAATTCAATGCTGTCTTAAAGGTTACCAAGTGCCAGTGGTTACAAGTTTCATTAAAGTTTTCTCAATTTTGCTTCCTCATACAGGAAGCTATGTGATGGTGGAAAATTTTCCTGTCGAGATTTTTATGTCACCATGTTCAGAATGTGCCAAAACGTCGAGAAAACACGTTTGGAGAAAATGTCCGGATGTGTGTGTGTGTAATGACCTCCCAAAATTCAAACATGTATAACTCGAGAACGGTTTTAGCTACAGCCCTCCAATTTTGCAGGCATGTGCAGCTCTATAATCCCTTCATTGACTATTTATATATTTTCGTCAAGATTCAAGCTGCGGCTCGGATTTTATGTCGTTTTAAAATTCCCAAAAAAAAGGACGTTATCACTCTAGCGATCGCAAATTTTGTGATAATCGTCTAAATAGTTCTTGGCAAAGAGATTTGTATCCAAGGTTGGTTGGTATTGCATTTGGGCCGAATCCATCAAGAAGTTTAGATTTTATATTTTGAATTTTTCGAAAAATTAAATTTATCAATATAACTCCCGTCAACTTTGACCGATTGAGCTCCAATTTTGCAAACGTATAGAGTATCATTTAGCTGTGATATGTCTCAAATTTGGCTGAGATCGGCAAAACGGATCTGATTATACATATATTCAAGTTTTTGAATTTCAGCCGATTCAAAAATATTAGGCCCGAAGAGATCATCCAAGAGATTTCTTCTTACATGCGTTCTCTACAGTATGAAGGACCCCAAGTTGTGAGAGGCATGGGGACTCACGTTAAACAAGCTGCAAGTTGAAACTTGCAATTTGCTTCCTCTGAATCGTAATTAGTGTACATACGAAGTTCCTATATATATGTATGAGGAAGCCAAAGATTTAAAAAGAAAAATGAAAATGCTTCCTCATATAGGGACTTCGTATACTACATACGATTCGAAGGAAGCAAATTGCAAGTTTCAACTTGCAGCTTGTTTTTCTATTCTTTGCGTATTAGACTTTTATACTCTCTTTCGGCTTATACCACTGGAACTATTCCTAGCTGTGTCAGCATGTCACTATTACGTAAATCATTAGCATTTCTCCGATGTCACCGCGAAATAGCATGAAAACCATCCGTAAATAGCTCAACTTAGGGTTAAGCAAATTCTACGATAAACTTTTGTGAGCGTGCAAATTCCTTTTAAACTTCTCAATGCGCAGTATTTGTACGTAGAAGTGGATTGTTAATTGTACATACGTACATATATAGCTACATGATGTATGCATCAAAATTATATTTGATTATTTCTGAAGAAATTAAGTATATACATGTATATGTGAAATCTGCATGCATAATGTGTAGAGATATCAACTAGGCCAAATGATCATGCTGGCAATAGTCACATAAAGTGGTCTTCTTTTCCACTTGTTTGATAAGTTCATTCATCCATACTCGTACGAACTTTGTTCTGCATTGTTTCAATTGAGTTATTTTGATGGTATTCAAGTTATTTAAAGAATTCTAATCATTGGAGTTGAAGGACAACTGATTGTTCTAATAGTAATTCTATTTTGTCTTTGTAGAATTGATTTAAATTAGTGATTTTAATTTAGTAAATTGAATCAAAGAAACACTTTGAAACTGTTAAATGTTTTATATTTAAGAAGTAACTTTTAGTAACGTAACGCAAAATATAATAGAGTAAGTAACTGAAATAATACAGTACCTACTATTAATGAAAATTGGTCTGAAGGGGTCTATTATTAATTGTAATAGCAAATATGATCCTGTATAGAAGCTGCCTATCATTACTAGGTTACACATTGTGTCATGAAAAGTGTCAACAATTTTAATGATCTTGAATTAATGATATGATTCTTATTAAGATATTGTCTTTATTGTTGAATTACGTCATCATTTAGATAACAATTCTTGAAAACATGATAATGGATCGATTTGACTGTGTAAGATGGGATGAACTTTAGTGTGTACCAACAAAACTGTATAATTTACAGACGCTTGTCAATATTAAATTCAAAATGATCATGAAAGAAAGAAAGGTTAAGGTGCCACATTAAACTATTTAACAATACAGGCTTTGTCTAAGACTATCCTAAAGTGTGATACTAAAGTAAAATCCAATAACACGAGTATAGGCTAATTAGATAGCATACAAGAAAAAAAGGTAAACGTATATTGTATACTTCACACATACCCTATTAAATTACATTGTTGTGTCTCAGATAAATTATATTATGATAAGTAAATGTAATTTGTACCATTATGAACTTAGGGAAAAGCAATTTATGATAGTGTCAATCACAAACAAAAATAGTAAGACTGCGAAGAGAAGGAGCTTTCGGTATCAAAAGTGGATATAAATTATTGTTTTCTGGTATCTCCATTACACTTGTTAATGTAAATTTGTATTTATCTATATTCCGTGTGCAATCAGATAAATTGTTTACTCCGGTTCCACTTGGCTTGCCGGTACATCAGATATCACGTATCAGTATTTTGATAACTGGAGTTCACAAGGAGCTTGCTCCGTATCGTCGACAGTATTGACGCTCCTATTTATTAGTTGATTAATACTCATCTCTGCCACTTACGATAAATTCCTTGTAACTGTAGAAATAAGGCGGAAATACGTTTTAATGGAGATTTTCGCGAAAATCCGTGTATGATAAAAAGCGACACGTCCTCCTCGTTGTCATTCGCGTAAAACACTAAGTGGTATCATGGCTAGGTCTGCCAACAGTAGATAATCAAAATTGCTAGAAATACCCTAAAATTTTTGAAAAATTTCAAAATCAACGGGTTCAATCAATTAATGAAGTTTCGTCGACTCTATACATTTCGATTAATACTTTATAATTCGATGTATTTGGATATTCTCCATTGATTTTTTGGGTAAACTGCAGTATACGACTCTGAACTGAAGTTGGCTGCTAGTGGCTTAGATTTTTAACGTAGCGCCATCTATCAAATGTAATGCGAATTGCATAGAATAGTGGCGCCTCCTGATCGGAAAAAAGCGCAACTATCTTTAAAAATTTGAAATGAATATATTTTTACTGTTATCATATATATTATCTTGTTATAAAAATATATTCTCACAAAATATTATCTAGTAATCGCAATATTCCATGTTTGGAGATTTTTTTCGTTTAATTTTCGTGCTACGCCACATAGGTTTGCACCTATTATGTATACAAATGTTTTGATATGAAGATATTATTACATATTTTTATATTAAATATGTGTATATTTAATTTTTAAATAATATTGTTTAAAAACATAAGTGTGTATAAGTGCAAGCTCGTGATTGTACATTGAGCATTAAATTTGATCTACTGCTTCGAGATTTTTTTGCTACAATGTATCGTCTGCTTTCGTAAAACATCTAGAAGCATGATTTTCGTTAGTAGCTCGCAAAGCGTGTAACACAAGTGTGCTATTATTTCTTTTGCTTAAATTGGATTGTGTGTGATCGATTGCAATGGTGATACGGTTCGTAGATTTGTTCAAACTAGGTGAGAAACCTTCTATTGAGGTAATCACCTTTGCACAAAGATTGTAGATCACATATGCAAATGCACATAAATAAATATGAAATCATTTTCTTAAATAACTATGTGTTATTTGTTGTAGACCTTACCTTAATTTTTAGGGTAGCTTCTCATTTGTTTTTATTAATAATTTAGATAAGAAGAACATACAAATGTACTTAAAGGAAAATCGTGCATATGGTTTATCTGTCAATTATGCGGTAGAGAAAATGACTTAACTACTGAAATACAAGTTCCAAAGAAAGTTTAGAAAGTACATGATGCTGGTCGATAGTCACGGCATTGAGTTAGGAGGATAAAGATCTGTGGTTTGAGACTATTCGACGGAAGTTTTTTTTCTCCTTCTGGACGTAGCCCAGTGGATAGGGTAGCGGATTCACGACCGAAAGGTTGAAGGTTCGCGCCCAGCTTCCAGCGGCATTCACCAATGAGTTTTCATATGAAAACTTAAGTGAGTATTTATACGGATTTCGTCCAACACTGTTCGGATTTGGTGTATAAACTTTGTAGGTCCCCTCATGCTAAGTGGAATAAGGTCCGTCTCGCAAGGTACATCGCCATCATCTATTGTCGAACTTCCAACCTTGATTATTAGGACCAGTTACTGGCACATGTTCCCCATTGGTGATATAGCCATAAGGAGGAAGACCAATGAGTTTTCATATGAAAACTTAAGTGAGTATTTATACGGATTTCGTCCAACACTGTTCGGATTTGGTGTATAAACTTTGTAGGTCCCCTCATGCTAAGTGGAATAAGGTCCGTCTCGCAAGGTACATCGCCATCATCTATTGTCGAACTTCCAACCTTGATTATTAGGACCAGTTACTGGCACATGTTCCCCATTGGTGATATAGCCATAAGGAGGAAGGAACCCATGAAGGCATACAATGTTGCAAGCAAACTGAAAACATTCCCGCAGCTTCTGATAGCCGTTTTTAGTTCTTTCTTCTAGTTTGAGAGCGTCAGTTCGTTCTGCGTCTTCAAATATAGAGTGAATGAATATAAGCGTTTCAAGTATGGAACACGAAAATAAGGAAAAGGAAAAGGAAATTTTTTTCCATATGGTGGCGTCACAGCTTACCTAACAAACCCTCTTGTTCAGAACAGTGTTCGCGGCCAGACAAATCACTCTTTGGAAGTTTGACTCGAAACAAAAAAAAAACAAATATTTTTCAGTTCTGTATAAGAATAGCTAAAGAAATACGTAGTGAAATAAAAAAAATGATGTGTTTTGTAAGAATGGCGCACGTTCAAAGTCAAAGTTCTGTTTTAGAACAAAAAAATGACGATAAAATTGTTTATGAAAAAAATTTACTATGTACTTTAAAATCTATACGTACTTCTGTAGCTATTCTTATAAAAAATTGAAAATTATTTGGATTTTTGTTTCAGATCAAACCTCCAAAGAGTAATTTGTCCAGCCGCAGAACATTGTTCCGAACAAGAGGTTTTGTTGGATAAGCTGTGAAGTCACCATTTTGAAAAAAATAAGCCAACACATTTTTTTATACTCTAAAAATCACATACACTGAGCGTTCGTTATTAATGATGTCCAGCTTGTGAACGCAGTGCGGTAAGGTAAGAGAGGACACTGGGCGGCGCTTGCTCACGTACATACATACCTTGGCCTGTGCGCGTAACACAAAGAGCACACCTTACGAGCCTATCGAGAATGGAGCAAAGGAATAATAAATTACTCTGTATGCAAAAAATAGTCGCGAAAATGATGCAATTTCTTGAGTTTTGGTCATATATTAAAATAGCTCTTACATTTTTAAGAATTTTAACTTTGCGGAATGCATTGTACTGTCTTCGACGACATCATCAAGGAGATATCGGTAAAGTCACCCTGTGTATATTCTGTCTCACTGAAAAGAACGCATTTCAAGCGTTTACAGAACTTCTATGCGGGTTTCAGCATATCTCACGTATCCATTGTGCCTACTAGCCATTAGATAAAGTCCCACAATACTGACTCTCCTTACTAGTATCTCCTAAATAACGATACACATTCATATTTCAATATTTAAAAGTACAGGGCTGTTCAGTTCAAACATGACAATGAGATGAGAGAGGTATAAGCAATTGATTTGATTCGATACTCTTCCTAGAGGGTAATTATCAAAACTTTAAAAGCGTTTTTGGTGATATCATTGGAATAGCTTGATATAAAAATGTATCAAGCAAAACTTGATCTGCTCAAATAGTAGTCCCACCTGTAACCATTTTGAAGCTTGTTTTGCTGTTTAACATGTATGTATGTTCCATGTCCCTAAAAATGTTACTGAATCGATTTTAATATTTCAAAACATTACAGATTTTTAGCTATTTAAAGTTACAGTAAAATCTCCTTATTCACGGTTTCATTATTCGTGGATTTTGCGTATTACGCAATGCAACCGTTTTCCATATTCACTTTTTTCAGTTTTACTAAACTCATCTGTAGTACGTTCCGAAAATACAAAATATAAATGTTTAACATATAGATAGAAATATAAAGATTCGGTGGCAGACGTGCTTGGGGCTGGATTAACGTCCGCGAGTCTCAGGTTCGAAACTCATATAAACAGAAATTCTGCACACAAGTCACTGATTTATAATAATCATGTATTATCATAAATTAAAATATATAATAGATTATGTAAGTATATCTATTAATAACTTCGTTATAGTAACTATTTTCCATAGCAATTCATATATATATATTTTTTGCGGAACCTAATGTCCGTGAATCCGCAGATTTTACTGTATAACAATTATCATCGATGTCTCTCCATTTTCTTTTTCCATTGATGCAGGTACAGAAAAACTAAAAATCTAATTATTTCCTATTAACTCTTCTCTGATGATTACCATTTCGAGTGCAGTGACTGATGGATATGGAAACACTGTTAGAATTAGATTTGTATATGATGGTAGAGTCATTGCATGACACCTATCGAATCTAAGTGATAGGTTTTTACTATATAGTCCTGCATATACTGTATAAGATACATATACATTATTTATACACTAGACGCGGGCCCATCTGCAGGGCAGCGCAACCGCATCTTGCTTTACCAAAATACTCGCGATTCTCGAGATCTCAAAAATGATTATCTGGAATTATTGCTTATTGACTTGTTACTAGACTCTACTTTCCAACTTAGCGATTGCATCGTGAACATTTTCTATTACGGTATAGATATAGGGACGTTCCATGGGATTGACCTTTAGCATTGACAGAATTAAATTCTGCATATCCTACAATATAAAAGAGAATAAAAACAACTGTTCTTAATACTATGAATTATATATTCTATTTAAAGTTGCTCTTGATTTACCTCGTTATACGGTGCGTTTTCGGGAAACGTTATATTAGCACTCATTACTGCTAGAGCAACACTATCTCCCCTCTCATAAACGGCATCAAAGGGTGACTTAAAGTAGCATAAAGCATAGAGGATACAACCTAAGGACTGAATAAGAAGCTGGGTAATTGGTACAATTTACCTTATATGTTTTTATTTCATAGTTTTTTAAAGCACGTACCCAGATATCTGTTCTTTCGTCTACCATACAGTAACTTTCAACATTAAATAATTCTGGTGCTCTGTATGGCATCGAACATCGCTCTGCTGCAATATCCTGAAGTGTCTGTGCAGCTTGCGCCCCACATACTTTGACTCTAGCCTGTGTTACAGATCCTGTGGGATAGATAAAATTTCATAATAATATGTAGTAGAAGTTTTGTATGATATAGTATGCTTACCAAGATCCATTATTACAGGGGTCATTGCCTCACCAAGGACAATATTGGCAATCTTCAAATCTCTATGAGCCAAGGGTTCTGGTTTTACGTCATGAAAAGCTTTGACACCTTCACAAATCTGAAGAAAAATATTCAAAATGTCTCTGGCACTCAGATAATCATTTGTTCTGGCTCTTCTCTCAAGCTCGTTCGCCAATGTGCCTTTCTGTACCAAAAGATATATTGTATAATTGCAGTTTCTATATAAGAGACTTTGCCTAATATTGAGCTTACATGATAGTACGGTAAAATTATTAAAACTTCACTAGTTGCATTCACAACCGGGTCAGCAGTTCCTCTATGAGTAGAATCTATGCATTCTATAACATTAGGGTGCTTGACAATTGAGTGATACTCTATTTCTTTGACAGCCAGTCTTTGGTCCTCAGGTCCATGACATACCATTTTTTTAATTGCATATTTTTTATGAGTTAAATTATCTTCGACTAGGGATACCGTACTAAATCCACTGCAAAATAAAATCATATGTTTAATATACTTTACACAAAGATAAGAGATAAGATTCAACAATGGAGTATGTGCCATTGATACAATGTCTAGCAAATCGTCTAGTTAGATATACAATTACAAATATATAAGCTGACAAAAAAACAAATAAATAAAAACAAATAAGAAGCTGTAGATAAATTACAGTATAACAAAATTACAATATTTATTTATGACACTTACCCGTCACCCAGATGCTCTCTCACTGTATATTTCCTTCCATTAACAACAACTGTCTCCTTGGCGCAAATACAGCCCATCTTCAGAATCAAACTAAGGCCCAGGCTGTTCATAATGAGTTTTTCATAATAACGAAAACGTAAAAGAAATTTAGTAAAATCGTTGGTGAGACTGTTTTGACTTTCACCAAGATCTCGCCATTTTGTTTCGCGTCACTACCGTCACTACTAAACTGTTTGCCATCTTTGACAATCTAACAAGGACAGAAGGCAGGTAGTTTAAACAATTCCATTTACGATTATTGCAACTTTTGTATTCTGTTTTTTAAATATACGTATAACAAAATAATGTTATATATATTAGGGGAAGGAGTCAATTAAATAGTAAACCGATTAAATATGTTAAAACGGATATCTACACATTTAGGAAGAACAAAGTTGGACAGGTTGATTGATTAAATATTTTTAATTTTATATTATAGTACAATTTGGACTGGTTTGGACGAATATCTAATTGGGACTGGTCATTTAATAAGATTCTATCTAGATGTAGAATTGTACAATTGGAATTGTTATCTTATAAAATGGGAAATACTCTAATTAATGAACAAAAAAATCTGTTTTTACTTGATCGCCTTATAGCAAGGTATTTTATTTTGGAGCATGGAATTATGATTATCAATGACAATTACCTTATTTCTAGTATTGTAGAGATCTTATGTAATTAAATAATGACACTACTTTAAGGGATTTTTGCAAGGTCACATTTAAATTTTACTATCAGAATATCCAGACTTTATTCGTACATACAATATTTCATCCATTTGACAACTTAGTTCTCTTCCTGGAAATATTAAAAATAATCATAATTTTTAATCTCTTCATTGAAATATCATTGAAATTGCAACTACTGTATACAGAGATATAATTAGAAATACAAATACATTTCTATAAAAAGTATAGATGTATAGTTCTAAATTGTGGCTTGTACAAATATGTTTTTTATTGTTAAAATGGTTCCACGATGTACAGTCACTTGCAATAATGGCGGCAACGGTAGACGCCGTGCGGTGAGGTAAGAACGGAGATTGGACGGTGCCTGCTCGCGTATCTGTACGTGCGACGCAAAAAGCGCTACGGTGCGAGCGAGACGCCAGAGCGTCCATTGTCACCATTATTGCAACTGACTGTACAGCTGCAATTCTATTGGATTTGTATGATGAAGATTCTTTGTAAATGCTTCTTCATTTTAGTGCAATTGATAAAAATTCCTAACTAAATAACCTAAAAGTGTCATACCATTAATTAATTCGATGTTTGAGAAGTAGAAGATGGGGCGTCTTGAAAATTTTCTTGTTTCGACCAGGCCTGTGCCATCGCCAGGAATTGAAGATTAGGCCTTTGAGACTCGTCTTCTGGGAAGATGAAGTCAAATACTTCTTCCCAGCCTTCTTCGTTCTGCAATAAAGTTTGTAGTAAAACTTTTTCATGAAAAATACGATCCCACCATGGAAATACCCCAACTCCACTTACCCCATCTTCGCCAATCACTCGTCTTCTTCGTTTGATTCTTCGTGGCATTTTCTCCATGACTTTCCTACGACTTTCATCATCTCCCTTTTCATTTTCAAAGTCTCTCCAAGCTTCTAAAAGTAATGCCCTGCTTTCCTTATCACCACTCGACCTGAGTGAATCGTTTCCTCTTTCAAAAACTCTTCTAGCCAGAACAACATTGTTCAATCCTTCCTCCGCTACTGGATTAGCTAGCTCAAATTTGGCATATGCTATCCAAACCTGTCATTTTATTAAACATTCAACAAACATGTCATTTATAAGTCACAAGAATGATATTAAGCTATAAAATAAGCCTACCTTAACATGCAGAGTGCGTTCTAAAAGTCTCTCAAATAATTGCCTGGCATTATCAGGCTCATCCTGTGATATCTCAAAATCGATATACGATTTCCATAAAAGTTCAGGCATATCTAGGCTGTAAAATCATGTTAATAAGGTTACATATTTTTTAGAAATTTAAAATATTGTTTACTGATTGCCTCAGGAACTTACCGTGGTTGTGTAATAGCTAATTCGTATATGGCTCGTGCACGTTCTACATCTCCTAAAAGAGTTTCTAGTTCTGCAAACTAAATAAATTAATCCTTTTTACCATACTATATACCTGTTTCAAATATAATGAATGTGGAATTGTGATTTTGCATTACCTTCATCCACGTGGTACAGTTCTCTGGACCAAATTCCAAAAATTTTTCATATAATATTCTACATCTGTCAAATTCACGCAATTGAATTTCCAAGTCTATATAACCACGAAATAGTTTATCTCTCGGACAGATTCCAAGTGCCATTCCCTTAAAGTATAATGGTATAATTAATATGAAGTTTGGACAAAAGAATGAATTTGAGTAATAATGAGCAATGCAAACCAACCAGTGTCTTTCTAGCAGCAGTAAGATTTTTCTGACGAATTTCAAAATTTGCATACAGCAGCCATATTTTTGAAAATGTAAATTGTTTATGTGGAATAAGTTCCAAACATACTTTGTACACCTGACGACATCTTTCCATATCCTCTGTTTCAAGTTCCTCATAGAGAGCGTAATTGATCCATAGATAAATATAACGTCGCCAATATTCTTTTTCCTATTAAATAGTCACAACATTATTATTAGTGTGCTATACGGATATTAAAGTTTTCATTTATCCTACCTTAGTTGGTGGAACGTTTGCTATTGCGCGTTCATAGGTTTCTCTAACGATCTCAGGATTCGCTTCAGATTCAACCAATCTTAAATAATCAAACCATGCATCGTAATTTGATGGATTTTCTTTGACTTCTTGTTCGTACTGATGTTTCCTTTTACTAACAATAACGTCTTCGATACCTGTTATCAACATTAAATTATATTACATTATTAAAATTATTCATAATCCATGATTATATTTATTAACATTACCTGATCTGTCTCCATATTTCTTCTCGTGTATAGTATATGCCTTGTAAATCTCTTGTGTTCTATCCTTTGGAATGTGATCCAAAGCATATTTATAAATTACTCTTGCTCTGTCGTGCTGAAAATATAAAATTGTAATATTACAAAGCAGCTGATATTCTCTTGGAGTAACTAGTAATGGGTACATACTTCTCTTTGACCCTCCTCGAATTTTGCAAAAGCAATAAATAATTTTTCATCAAGACTCTCATCTCCATAAAAGGTGACAGCGCGTTCGTAGACTCTGCGAGCACCATTTATAAATCCATGAGACTCTTCAAAACGTGCATATTTTATCCAATGCTTCACATCGGGATGAACCATCACAAATCTCTCATAAATATTTCTTGCCCTTTCTATTTCTTTGTATCTTAATTCGAACTTAATGTATGTTTGCCAGGCTTGTTCATCTGGTTCCCATTCCATCCATCTTTCAAAAACTTGTCTCGCACCAGCTATATTTTCAAGCATCTCTTCCATGTAAGTATATTTGTACCAGAATTGATTGGCTCTTGGTAGTAAAATTACTGCACGGTCCCACAAATTCCTGGCATGATTCACTTGGCGATTTCTCATTTCCATTTCAGTATATTTTAGCCATAGTGTTATATTTCTAGTATCTACATCCAATGCACGTTCATAGATTGATCTATTAAAAATATGAAAAATTTTAGAGTATTTCAATTTTATTATACCAATTATTTTGAATGAAACATTTCAAGTATTATCTACCTAGCTCTTTGAATTTCTTTTTGACTCTCCTCCCACTGTGCATACTTAATCCAATTATTCATTGCCATCCGATTTTTGCGTATATTATCTTCAAAACCTTTTCTCTTACGATGCTGGTAGTCTGCTAATTCATGAGGATCAGAGATTTTTTGTTTAGGAGGCTGGAAAAGAATGCATTAGACAATTTAATTTCAGCACAATTCTTATTTGTAGATTGTTTTATGTTTTAAACAAGTTGTTCTGCGCATTAATCTTACCGGTGGTAAAATCTCCAAATCCCTTTCCTTGGCTTCACGTAAAAGCTGCTCTGCTGTGATTTGAATCTCAGCAGGCGCTTTATTTTTCACCTGGTACAAGTAAAACATTATTGATATTTATTAAACAACATGATCATTCGGTAAAATTACTAGGTTCAATGATTATGTTTACACAATGTTGATACATAAAATTGAAATAAAAAGGTTCTGTGTAAACTTAATCGATGATCTACTAAGTATAAAAACTACGGTATATTTTTTACCTTTGCCACTTTGGGCATTTTCTGTGGTTTCTCCATTATTCCCACTATTACTTCTTTTTCTTGGGTTTAAAGATTGCAAAATACTTGAAAGAACCTCCTGCCCTACAACTGCCGAAAAATGAACTGGATTAGGTTATGTTATGTTAGTGAGGACTCGTACGTAAAGACGTTCTTCTCGAAAAGTTTACTCAGTAATCTGTTAGATGGCGCTACAGTTTTACGAGTTAATTATTAGGTTGTTTCAAAAGGACTTTAAACATTTATCAGTAAGTATTTTTACAAGATTATTTAAAATTTTCTTCATTATGCATAACTAAGTAAATGTCCGCCTAAGAAATATTATTTGATACTTTATAAAATTCAGACCAGACAAAAAATATTTCCATAGTCTGCATTATATTGGAGCACTGTTTAGTTAGCTAATAGAACAGGAGAGAATCGTTTGAAGGTAGAAAATAACAGCTTTAAAAATTTCTAATGTCACTGGCTTTACTTTTACACTGAACTTTAAGAATTTTGGAGAATAATGAGTACAAAAGATATTTCTGCAGCTGCCTTTAAGGTAATGTTGCACTATATAATTCTTATCTTGGATTTATTATTGAATTCCCCATTCAACAGTTAGGATGGATTCTCTGCTGGGTGGTTATAGCAACGTACTACTTTAGATGGGGAGACAATGAGAACAGCGTGACTGATCCCATTGATGAAACTGGTTGGGTTCCTGATAGAGGTCTAGCAGCTTGTGTTACAGACACAGGAAACAATAGAGCAAGGAATTGATATGTTATTATGAAAAACTGATAAGCATCCTGGCAGAAAGAAAATAATTTTACTAATAGAAAGATTTATTTATGATCCACTATACAGACAGTGTCACATTGTGTGTAAAAACTATTGTATCACTTATAAACTTTATTTAACCATGTAAGAATTGCATTGAACAAATTACGCATGTAATCAATTAATCTGATGTGGACAGCATCTGTTGCAATTACTCCATTGCAGAGAAATGCTCTGTCAAGTTTCTTCTTCAAAACTGGAGATGTTTTGTATATCCACTAATATACCAGGATACACAATGTACATAAGAATTCTCAAGAGAAAAGTTGTATGTATACCTAGATGAATTACAGGTTTTATTTGGAGAGCTATTAAGATAAAATCTTTTGCGCAGTCTCCTTATCCTCTTCTTGATGTACTTCTTCCATTGGAAGAACTGAGCTATAATTTTCCTGATCATTTTGAAGCTGCGCTTGCCACATGCCATGATAAATACCACCAATGGATATTAGTTCCTCATGCCGACCACGTTCCACTATTTCGCCCTCTTTAAGAACAAGAATCTCATCTGCATGAATGATTGTGGATAGTCTGTGTGCTATGATGATGGTTGTCCTGTTAGCGCACACCCTATTTAATGCTGCCTGGATGTTTCTCTCCGTTTGAGTGTCCAGTGCGCTAGTGGCTTCGTCCAAGAGTACAATCTTTGGAGCTTTTAGGATGGTGCGTGCAATAGCTACCCTCTGTTTCTCACCACCACTCAGTCTTAGACCCCTTTCACCAACTTGAGTCTCATATCCGTCTGGGAACGTCAGGATCCTTTCATGAATATCTGCGTTCTTGGCTGCTGCTATTATGTCAGCTTCCGGTGCATCGATTCTACCATATTGTATGTTATACTTGATAGTGTTGTTGAAGAGCACTGTGTCCTGGGGTACAACACCTGGAACAAGACAATATTAGAAATATTTTTCAGGATGATTGTCTAACCTTTGACTAACCTATAGCACTCCTCAAAGAATCCTGCTTAACAGTCTTCACATTCTGCCCATCTATAATAACTGCTCCTTGTTCCACATCGTAGAATCGGAATAAAAGTCGCATTATCGTTGACTTTCCAGCACCAGTAGGTCCCACAAGAGCTACAATTTTTCCTGCTGGAGCGACGAAGGAGACATTCTTCAGGATGATTCGTTCCGGTGTGTAGCCGAACGTTACATTTTGGAATTCAACCTGACCGTGCTTTATTACAAGGCGACCGGCACCTGGTGCGTCTATTATCTCCTGCTCCTCACGAAGTAGTTCAAACATATTCTCCATGTCCACAAAGTTCTTCTGAATAGCCCTGAATAAGAACAATATGAAAAATATGAACGACCTGGTATTTTTTCAGAATTGAAGAGCATACAAAGACCTACGCACCTGTAATAAGTTCCAAACCAATTAAGTGGAACGTATAGCTGGATAATGTAACTAGCGAAGAGTACATAATCACCAATGGTAAGACCCTCCCCGTTTACTACCTAAAATTCTTAGTTTATTAGTATCATCTTTGATGTTTGGTAAAATCAAAACTTACCATATGAAGACACAGTAGGGAACCAGTTAAGAGCCCACTGCAGACTATGACGTTTTGTATAGTATTGAGTATATTTAAAGTAATCAGAGCCTTCCACTCTTCAGCCTGATACTTCAAGATAGCTTCACGATAACTGTTTACTTCGTATGATTCTGCCCCATAATATTTAACAGTTTCAAAATTCAAAAGACTGTCGACACTGCGGGCCTTCTGCGCGTTATCAGCCAGATTCATTCTACGTTGAAACTTGGTTCTCCATTCAGTAACAAAAATTGTAGCAGCTAGAAGCAGTACGTGAAATCAAGAAAATGTATTGGAACGCTACACGAAAATGCAGAAATTGTTGAGATATTCAAAGAAATTCACTCACCAATATACAAGGTCATAGTAACGAATACGATAAGACCAAACCACTTGTTAAAGGCACTGATAAAGAAAATTATGGCCACCGCAATGTCAATGATGGTAGGTACGATGGAAAAGAGAATATAGTTCAGAAGATTATTAATAGAATCTGTACCTCGGTCCATAATTCTCAAGACTTCTCCAGTCTTTCGACCAAGATGCCATCGTAAACTAAGTCCATGTAAATGCCTGAAATACAAGAAATAGTAGTCTCCATTTGTCAACCAGATAGTCAGTTAAATTATGAACAATGGTTACCTGAACAACTCAACTTCAACTTCACGGGTAGTATATTGCTGAATACGAATCCAGAGAAATGATCTGAGATTATTGAGAACACCCATACCCCCAGTACCACCGCCTTGTAGGAACTTAAATCCCACATAGATCAAAACGAGATCCCATCTAAAGACACCAGGAGTGTCAGTGACACTGTCGACGATCTTCTTGTTATAAATGGGCACGTAGAGATTGATTATCCGACCGAATATCAGCAGAATGAAGCAGAATTGTACTCGCAGTTGCAATAGGAAGGAAGTCTTGGGCCAGAGGAACGGCGCCAAGGTTTTGATTTTGTACCAAGCATTTTTCCAGGTCGAGCTGTTATCATCAGGTCGCTGTAAACGCACGTTCACTTTACGTATAACAATATGACGCGTTTCCCGAGTGTCTGTTAATGTCAGGAACATTTCCAGGAGTAGTACATAATAAAATAATGATATAAAAACTCTGCAAACGAATTGCACGAGGATAAAAAATAAACCAACAGGTTACAAAGAAGCTGTTGTTACGTTGCTAAGTCAAAATATTGAAACGCGGCGAATATACAGGGTCATATAAAAATTAGAACGACCCTTGTACGACTTACACTTTGGTAAAATTCTGATCGCGTATTGGAATTATCATTGATGGTGCCGTAAGCTAATTCGGAACTGCCTATTATTCCTGGTGCTCTTAGTCCCACGGCGAAGATTACCAGACTACTGACGTAACGGAGAACGAACAGTGCCATTTCTACTTGATCAGTCTGGCTGTAAATAGATTGTTATAAATATATCACAAAATGGAGTGATGCTTCATGGAAAGAATTTACATCACAAGACTATATTGTTATTGTTGAAGAACTATACTTACGAGTTGAGATGGAACCACCAATCCAGTTTACCAATGTTAATAAAAACAAGATTCTCAGCCATGAAAGCCAATGTCCAGAAACCCAATAGTACCAAACCATGTCCACGTGTCGGTGTACTTGGTAACAATTTATGTCTTTCTAATCGAAGAATATGAACTGAATATGGATACACTATGGCAGTAAGAACAGTGGTAAGGATCTAAAGAAGTAAAACAATATTATTGTAATTCACTTCAAGTTACTGTTTCTCATTTAATTTGAATAGAATTAATTTGTCTTTACCATATATCCATAAATTGTTTTATTGCCCACTACAGTAGCTTGCAGTGTGACCCTTAAAACACTGAGGCAAGGTATAAAATAGAGAAGAAACTTTTGCAAGTTATACAGTCGACTTTGTGGTAGCAAATTATGATTTATCTCTGTCCCATATTTTTTGTACATCCAGAGTTGTATGCTGCCAAATATTAAGAGGTACAGAGATATGATTGTAGTGCTCACAGTGTCCATGAAACACTGTGACATCCCATGATTCACCCATATTTCATTAAAGGTGATATTTGGTGGGCAGAATGTCAATGTTATATTGTTCATCGTGTTGTAACACCTTTTTATTGTTGAAAACTTTCTCTTAAATAGTTCAGCAGTGCCCGTTGATTTATTTCCTCAATTACTAAGATTCATGTTAGTCCATTCTTCATTTATTTGCAACCTTCAAATAGAAATCTAGAATATATCCAACGATCATGAAATGTAAAGACTAAGAACTATGGAGTGAAATACTATTACTCTGAAAACTTACAATGATATTGATAATTGGTTGCTCCAGTTATTCTGTCATAAATTATCACATCTCTTGATAATGCGTTATCTTGTATACCATAGTACTTTCCATTTCTAAACTTGTAGATAATGCTTTGGATTAATTTGTAATGAATAACTGGCAGTCTCAATAAACTAATTAATATAGTATATCTATGATATCTCAAAACTTGCAGAGAATAATTACAGTGAATAAGTTTATCCATTTTGACAAGATAAAGTTTATCATACATAATGATTGATACTAACCAAATAATCTTAGTTTCATAATGTTAAAAAATCTATACAGTGATAATATTTTTTATTAAATGTATTCAATAAAATCATTTATGAGGCCATCTTGATTGACAATGAAACATGTCTACTACATATTAAAAAAAAGGCTACTCGATAAAGGATCATTGAACTCAGGAATTTTCTGGTAATCCAATTAAATTAATCTTATTCTCAATTTCATAGCTCAGAATAGGATAATGAAATATTAATGTCAAATTTAAAATTGCAATGTTTTAAACAAGCATACTAATTTCATAAAGATGTTTGTGTCACTAAAGTTTATTTTACTCACCTTTTCGAACTCTATTTAATCTTGAATTAAGAGTATAACTAAAAGTAACCGTGCACGATTCTAATGCATGGACCTTTGTTCTCGAATAACGTTATACATTTCCTTCAGAAACGTGCATCATCATTTTTGAAACGTCACTGTCATCATTCCTTTCGTAGCACTTCGTAAGGAATCGCCGAACGTATGTATGTACTTATATAACCGATAAATATTACCTGTATGCTGAAGGCTCAATGTACCAATGTACGGACTATAGCGAGCATCAACGAGCATGTGCGCAAGTGTTTAGTTTACAGTTATATGTAATTCATTTGTAAATACGATTTATATGTATATTTTACATGAATTGAAGATACAAACAATAACACTATATTAAACTTGTAAATGCTTATGATTTTCAAGATTATTGAGTAATATTGTGTAAATTCGCAATAGCGGTGATTTCTAACCTGAAATATGTTTTATTTATTTCAGTGTGAACAATGGGTAAGAATAACAGACATCAAAAGAACCTGAAATCTGAAAGGGCTAAAGTTAAGTTAAAAGCAAAGAAAACTAAGCCACTGCCTAAAGGTCTTAATGTTACTGACACCAGTTTTAAAGTCAAGAAAATAGTGATTCGAGAACAACTCAAGCAACAGAACGAGTCTGAGATTCTCAGTCGTAGAAAGCTTAATGTTAAGGATCTTTTGTCACGACTACAACATTATAATTCAAGTGTACGACAGGAGGCAGTGAAGGAACTTAAAGAAATTTTGCAACAGTACTCTACAGAGATACTTAGTTCACAGTTGAATGCTCTGCTTCAAGGGATAGCTGCACTGTCATTGGACAGGGAAAAAGACATTAGGAGAGATTCATTAAAAGTTTTGAATCTGATCTTAAGTCCAATATCCAGTGAACAATTGGCACCTTATTTTGATGTCCTTATATCGTATCTGTGCTGTGCCATGACACACATAGCTCCAAACATAAAGGAAGATTCATTAATGTTTTTGGATGTAATCGTACAGAATTGTGCTGGTCTGCTCGCTAAGAGTAGTCATAAAATTTTACCAAATTTCTTGGACATGATATCAAAACTAAACGTTGAATCGCAACCTGGTAGACAACTTACAACAAATCTGAATTCAAAAAATACAAGTGTGAAGTGGCGAATCAAGGTTCTTTCTAGACTATGTAGTATATTGAGTTCTATTGTTAATGATAAAAAATCTCAACAAACCAAGAATTTGATTAATGATAACAAAGTTATTCACATTGGTAAAGAACTAAAATATATTCTCATACATGATCAATTTAAAAAACAAGTGTGTCACATTAACTTCGATACAAATGATACAAGTGCAAATCATAATTCTGAGAGTGTTTTGACCTTTAAAGATTTGACCAAGTATGTAAATGTTCTGATGCCTTTGATGTTTGACAGTTGGATTGAAGTTTGTCCTAAAGATCAAACGAGTTACTCAGATTTAATCATTTCTAATGAAGCATCGATTTTGCTCAAAAATATTCTTGACGTTATCTATTTCATCATTGAGTACATCAACGTTTTGGAATCTTCATCAAACACTAGTGAGATGAGTGTGTGGTTAAAGAATAACTTTCAAAACAGTGTTTTGAAAAATCTGTTAGTGAAGTTCCCATACAGTCAAATTAAAACCGTACAACGAACACGCAAGAGGCAAGAAGACTTTGCGAAAATGGAATTGAATACCAAATGTTTGGAGCAGAATCTACAAATTTGTCATATCTACGTGTGGTTCACATCAGTTCACAATAGTGGAAGCTTAGACAAGGAGCTTTGCAATCATATATTGGATTATTTAAATGGTAAATCTTGGTTTTACTGACTCGCTATTCTAGTATTGTCTTAATATATCATTATTTCTCTTTAATAGAGTCACTGGAGTCCTGGTCCAGCACGGATAATTCGGCTTTGCCTGCTTTAATTAGAACTCTCAGAACACTTTTTCTGAAAGCTAGCAAGATTTGGTACAAGAATCACATAAATCTTGGGAACACCTTAAAGATTATAATAAGCACATATTCCCAGCCACCAAAGAAAGAATTACACTTTCAACTTTTCAATATTCTCAGTGAGATTATCCTAGATCACAATTTGGTGGAGTTGCATAACGAAGAGGCTTTTCAAGACTTTGTATCTTCACTGCCAGACTTGTTACTCCGAAAGAGCATCTATGATAACACGATACAAATGTTAAATTGTATCGCACTTCGTTATAGAAAATGGATTGAGAATGAATTGCTTCAAAAACGGGAAGCTATTATTGGTAATTATTACAAATAATTTAAAATTATATATAAATTGCGTGAAATGTAAAGGTCGATTTAAATTCAGCTCACTTTATGCTATTGATTTGCAGTGGTAGCGTTGATTTTTAATAATGTTTATCGAGTAACTCTATCACGATCTTTGAGCTAAATTACATATCAGTGGTCATGAGGACAGCAGCGTTAGTTTAGCTGAATTTAAGCCTTCATCTAGTTGGTTAATTGTATTGATAAACATAAATATTTATTTGCAGAAAACGCCAAGAATATTGAGATCATCGGTAGCGCGGACGAAAAGTGTTCCAGATTAACAATATGCAACCTTTTTCATTTCACAGACTCACAAGTCTACTACTGAAGACGACAATCGGTGAGTAACACTTCTCTTCTCTAAACAAAAAAGAAGAAAGATTAATTGAAACTTTTGATTGTATCCAATGAAAAAAGCAAAAACGAAAGTAAGTAGAACATAATATTACATTGAGTAGATGCAATAAATCAGAGAAAAAAGCTACAGGCGTGAGATTTTTTTTCTAAAATCAAATTACCTGTGTGAAGGATAGCCAGGACTTCTACAGTGGGGGTGAATGTATAGTTAGATATTCTAAATTGTAAAGAAATGTTAAAAAAAGGCGAGAATCAACTAAAACCAAAATTCGTGTGAATTTAAACGCGAACCATCCATGAAAACATATTGTAAATAGCACAAAGTATTATGAAACGAATTTAAAAAACTCACAGGCACAGTGGGAAGAGTCTTTAACGACTTTACAGAGTGGATTTTCTAATCAATGAAGTATTGATGAAGATGTATTGGCTAAGTAGACGAGTATTTTGAACTTATAAACAGGTGTATAAGCCTTATTAAGAATAAACCATTTACCAATAAAGAATCTCGTACGGTTTATAGGTAGAAAATTGAAGTATGTAATAGATTCGATGATCGCATGGTTCGCCAAGGCGAAGAATTGTAGTTATAACGTACGTTTAGCTAAGTATGTATGCGAAAGGATGAGTGGAAGATATTCCGGAATAAATAAAGAAATAATAAATAAAAAGAAACAGTCCTGAAAGTAGAAAGACATAATTCCTCCAAATGGACCACTCGCTAATAATTGAAATCGCAGTAAATTATAAGGAGTTAAAACTAAACTCTATATATATTTTCTATATGACATTCATTTCCTTACATTTTTATACATAATCCAATCAATAAAATATATTACAAGACGTCCATTCCCATGCATTCTCATATTGATTCACAGCCATTAGTCAGCTGATTCGTGTCTTTCCTCATCACGTAATACTTATTGAATACTGATAAAGATTGTTTGTCTCCAGACAAAACAAAAATATCAAAAATAGTAATCTTCAGAAGTTTCTTCAGAATTTCGTCGTCATATTTGAAGTTGGTAGCAACTCGTCATTGACAAATGCCAAATTGTCAATTCCATTCTCCTGATCATTATGACTATCAATGCCAGTACGAATATTGTCCTCTTCCTTAACACTTGTAATATGGCTACCCTCGTCCTTAGATCCTCGCGCAAACTGTGCGCCGGTTGTCTTGATGATACTCTCGACACTGTGCGTTATTGGTAAAGTTGGAAAATTCTCGTTGAGACTGGGCCAACTTAAATTGTTTCTCAATTCATGTTCCACAGTAAGATAACGCTTCTTAGAGCGTTCAGGTCTGTACAGCTTAGGTTTAATCTTCTTCTCAACGGCGTACTCAATGACAAAACTCTCAAAGAAGATGCACGCTAAGAAGTTGACGAACGACAGTACTAATATAATGACAGGCCATTCAAAATCTGGGGGCATGATCAGCTGAAGAAGATTGATGATCCATGCAGCTGGATACAACGTTATATAGGAACATACCGCTACCAAGAGAAGAATGGAGACGATGAAGGCATTATTCGTGTAGATGGCCTTTCTGTATGGTTTTCCTCTGGAGAATATCACCGCCATAGTTATGTACTGGAACATTGAGATGCAGAAGACCGAGTAGTTCTGGTAGCAGGTATAGCCAACTTCTGGTGTGTAAACGAATGGGTCAAACCAGGGAAATTGCTTGACTGCGTAGAAAGCTGCCACTTGGAATATTGTCATCAAAATCATCTGCGTAGTCATAGAGAAGAGTGGTGTAAAACTTAATAAACTTGTCATCGGTGGGTTCTTAGCCAGTTTTCCTTCATAGGCCTGTGTCTTGCCAAAGAAGAACGCAAAATTGACTATGAGACAGATGTCGATGAACAGGAACTGTAGATCCGTAAGGTTTGAGTCGATGGAGTAAAGAATTATCACCGAGAGGAATTCCGTCAGCGAGTAGGTCACCATGAACTTGAAGATACCAAAAGAAGTAACTAGAGCAGCTCTTCCTTCTCTTATCACTTTTGGTACACAAGTTATGTCGGGTGTGCGAGACGTGAAGGGACTAGCCACACTGTGAATAATTTATTTTTCAATTGTCAGTGATCACTGTTTTTATTATTGTTTAATTGCATACCTCGATTCGGCTTCTGAAAGTGAAACTCCAGCGTGTGCTGCTTTTAGTGCTCCGCAATCATTGGCTCCATCGCCACACATTGCTGAAATGAATTTGACGTTATATGGATATTGTATTTTCTCTTATTGATACAATATGCACATGTTGATGACATACCAACGTAATATCCAAGCTGCATCAATTCCAAAACCAATTGTTGTTTCTGATCACTTGTCATTCTAGCAAAAACTGCACCGCGTACACATATTCTTGGCAAAATGTCGGGGTAGTGCTCGCGTAGAAGCTGCCAAGTTTGACCGGTTAGGGCAAATTTGTAATTATGCACGTCTACACCTCTCTCTATTGTTTCTAGGGTTGTTATAATTGTTTTGCGATTCTGCAGTTTCTACGAGCCAAATGTATTATCAGAAATTGTCAAAAATACGTCTTCACTGTTCGATCACTACAAATCTTACTATTTTCAGTGGCAATCCTTGCGTATTGAAAAATATTTTGGGTGGCGACTGCTTATCCCCAGGTACAACGGTTACATCTATTACAGTTTCTGACGGTGTTAATATTCCACATTCCTTGGCGACGCTCACGGCAGTTTGAATATTGTCACCTAATTGAAAAATTCATTATTCATCATACCGAGGTCAATTTTACATGTATATTTTACTTGAGTGATAAATAACTAATGGAGCATTTAATTTATTCACCAGTTATCATTACTATGTGAAGATTCGCTTCCTTCAATTCTCTAATCACATTTATCGTGGGTTCCTTAAGGCGGTTTTCAAGTATAACTAGACCCAAAAATTCTAAATTCTGTTCAATCATCTCTCTCGGCATTCTTTGAATCTAAAAGGAAGCACAAGTGTCCCATAAACATTTACAAGCAGTGTTGGGTCCCCTGTAAAACTTTTTAGCAGTCATTTATTCTTTTCACTTACTTTACTGTACGTATAGTCAACATCTGTACGTCCCATTGCAATTACTCTGTATCCTTGCTTTGTATATTTATGTAGAATCATGCTAATATTCCTGGGAATTGTTTCTGGTCTGCTGAGACTAAGAATCATCTCCGGAGAACCTTTAGTGTAGGCTTTAAAGTGATCCGAGCCAAGGATCCTGACTATTACTGACATTCTCTGAAGCGAACTAGAGAATTGATATTGCTGAACAATTCCAATTTCTGATACTTCATTCATGTTTTCTGTAAAGTTTTTATTCTTTGGTGGCTTCACCACAGTAGGTGCCAGTAGATCATACTTGCTGGTATCAGCCACGTCTGGCTCCTCCAGCATCCATCCAGTACTCTCAAACATCTATAATAATTTCATTTTACTTTTCTATTCTGTATTTTATGTACAAGTATTATATTTACATATTTTTTAAATCCATTCAGTACACCTACCTTCACGTCTAATGGATCACCACAAAGTTCATGCTCAATCAGAGTTAAACTGTGACAAACAAGCATCCCTTCAAACAGTGGATGATTCTTTAAAGCTGGTACTTCCTTTACAGGTTCCTCGAGTTCACCATCTGTACTTGGAACGACGCCCCACATATCCAGACCATCTTCCGTCAGCGTTCCTGTCTATGTTTAGCAGTCAGTTAATAATTCTTTCACGTACTATCCTTGTCATGCAATTTCTGAGGAACTAGATTATTACCTTGTCAAAGCATACGCAATTCAGACTACCTGATACGTTAATGACTCTGCTGTTGATACAGTAAATTTGAGCTCGTTTTAAACGCGCCTGAGCGTAGAGCTTTCCTACTGTCATAGCTGCTGGTAGTGCAGGTGGTATCACTATAGTTATTATGTCTAAAGCCTTTATAGCAATGTCGCCAGCTGTGATATCTCTCGATGCCTTAAAGAGAAAATATTTGACTGAAAATGTTGCTTCGAGAATAGCTTAATAGTTAAATTTGTTATTTTTCTCATGACATACCTTGCTCACAACTGTATAGATGAAACCACAAGTAGCAATGAGTGCCAGTATACCAATAAATTTATAAGAATCTTGATCAAATTTAAAATCTGCTGGTGGTGGATAAAGAATAGCTGCTACCAAGGCACCGCGATTCGTTTGCAGTCCTGTTCTTATAACTCGTGCAAGGACTGGCCCATCGCCGTAATATCTTAATGTACAAAATGTATTTACATTAATTTTTATTGAATTACTCGTATCTGTATGTCAGTTAGATCGTGAATATACCTTGTTTGTATTATTGTAGTACCACTGTACAGCGTGTGTTGAGAGCATTCCTTTGAGTCGTACAGTACAGGATGCGGAGGTAATGGTGTTTTGGTAACTGGCACAGATTCTCCTGAAATTTGTAAATAAATGGATGCATAAGTGGTATCTTCATCCATTGCATAATATAAATGATTTGCTTACCAGTTAACATAGATTCATTTATTATACAGTGTCCAGTCAGCAGAACGGCGTCGCACACTACTATACCCTGATAGCGTGGCAATTCAATAATATCTCCAGGCACAAGTTCAGCACTAGAAACATTCTCGAAGACACCGTTACCTCTGGAGACCCTTACGGTCTCAGTAGAAGCGACAGTACCATGAAGATTGATTTGATTCTGTATAACAAAAGGTAGAAATCCAATATCCATAATGTAATACACTATAGATCCACTTGTTCAATGTGGTCCTCTGTATCTTTCAGATCTTAACGTACCCTGCGAGTCTGCATAATCGAACTGGAAATACCAAAGAGCGACATGCATATTATAGCTCCTGTATAGTAATAGTATCCCTCGGCGAACCACACAGCCAGCGTGAACAATTGGAATATATAGAAGGGATTGAGCACCTCGAGAATCAGAAGTACTCCTATACTTTTAACTGGTACGAGTATCTCATTGTTTCCATAGACTATTCGTCGCAGGAGCTCTTCCTCTCTGGACAGACCCTGATTAGTTCCTAGATGAAGATCTGTGCAGAGGTTGTACTTGTCTAGGCCGACGAGTCGTGAGAATTCATGGCCATTCGTATCCCATATGTAACATTGCTTCTTGCACCAGAAGGCACGATATTCCAGTACGTTGCCTTGGGTACCATTTTCTAAACAAATTCTTAGCTCCTTTCCTTCTGCGCTCTTCAGTAAGTCTTCGTCAATCTTGCCCAAGCTGGAGCTCAGTGTTTTTGAACTGCAATCAATTAAAGTAGTCATTGTTTGAGATTCCTTCGAGATTGCATAAAGCATTTCTTTGTCGCTTACAACATAAACTTACTTGAGATTTTTCGTAGAGATGGTTTCGACATCCTCGACAAAGTATGATTTATACTTTCCTTGATAGTCGTCCTGTACAAATTAAGTTTACTTATCCAAAGACTCCATATCTGTGTTTAAGTACAAGGTTCACAATTATTGTACAATACTTACAATAATAAGCAGTTTTGTGGCACGGTTCAATGGACATCTTCTGTGCGTTGCGTAGACATGTAATTGCGGATACCAATGAAAGAATAACCTGACCCATCCGATAGTCAAGATGTACGACAAGTATGTGAGAAACGTACCCAGCAGACTTCTTTCAAATCCATAAGCTTCCTAGATTTCATTAATGATTAAGCAGCAATTAAAAGAAGCGTCTTATTAATTACAAAGTATTATTACTCTTGTTAAAGCTTAAATATTTACTGTACCATGTCGTCATCCTGGCCGGTGTTAATTTTCTGTGACAGTACCTCATTGTTCTGATCATTTTTTAGACCTGTCAAATAAGATATAAATAAATTACGTCACAATAATTTACTGCACTCCTGCTTGGAGATGCTTAATTTTATATTACTTATAATAGTGGTAATCTCTAAAATCAATATTGTCAGTAATAATTATTAGTATAAGTAATAACTATTGTATTCAAATTATTCTATGTCGTGCTTTATGGCTGTGTTGTGTCTACCTATGTACAGACGCTCTCGCACTGAAATGCTTGTGATTACGGCTGAAGAATGACTTATTTTCTGATGATTCGTTTGAGATTTTGATAATTATACGCGAAGTCTTTGTACGCCCAGCTATTACGATTTTGAGCATCGTATAATTTCTTACGTTATTATTATCATTATTGTCATTACTTGTGTTATATCCACTGATTTAAAGTCAACTTTAAATTAATTGTTAAGACCGTGAAAATCCTTTTTGATACGTCACTTCAGATTCCTATGTGATAAAGTTGTCTACAATACACACGCGTTCCGATATCGACTGTTATCATCAGTAAGTAAATATTATTTACGGATAAGAAGCATTTCGCATCTGGAGAATATATCGAGTGTGTACTATAGTTTGATAACTCTTTGTTGATGGATAATTTTCTTTGGCACTCGATCTTAGGTGCGTAGATAAGACTTGTTGGTGGGACTTAGGATTCCCCCAATGTATATGTAATGACAGAAAACAATATTCGCATTTTATCACTTGCTCGTTCGCACGTATGTATGATTGTCATAAATACTTTTGTTATCAATAGTTTTATATTCAATGTACTGATTCATCGAATATTTCTAGTGAATATCTCACTACTTGATATGATAAGGACATAATTATATTTTCATTATACATTTGATTCACCTTGTGGATTCCAGGGATATTTCTACTATACATTAAGATTGAGCTCGTTTAAAATCATCAGAGAGCTATTCGTAGAAAAATATATAAAAGGTATCAAATACACGAATTTCCAGTGCTGGAGCTTAGAAGGTTTATGTTGTAAGCTGATAAAAATATTAACATTAAAGTCTGTTCATGAAATTAAGTAAAGTACGGAATTGCGAGTGATTAGTCTTATCAATCTATTTTCTTAAGGCTCGTTCTCACGTGTCTCGTATTCGCTTTTATGTACAGACGTCCTTAGCGTTAAAGTGTTATTTTGAAATTTTCACGCGCAGTAAACGTAACGAGGTACGCTGAAAAGTGTGCAGATCTAGCGAACCGTGACAATTTTGCGTAGAAATGCAAAACAAAGTGGATCGAAGGAAAAGGAGAAGCAAAGAAAAATACAAAAGAGTAGGCGTCGATAAATATGATAATGAGGAATTCGAATTAGTAGAATAATTTAAAGATAAAATCGTCAGTGTGTATTAAGTTGACATCAGCATCAAAGTGGTGCTGGTAAAGAGTCTCAAGTGTTATGAGACTTTGTGTCTGTCAACTACTAGACACAGCGGTGGGATGTATGCTGAACCCAGCATAAAATTCCTTATTAAATTGGACATGCTACATATTTTATTTAATACAGAATAAACTTGACTGTTTCTCTTTACCAGATCTTTTTGGTAGTGTCAATTGTACGTAAAACTTCATGTAATTGACGAATTTAAATTTACTTATTCTTTAACAGTACGAACAACTAACCTGACCTGACAAGCCAATTTATTATAACCGGATAGCTGTATCTATAAAAAATACATTCATACGTTCATTTTGAACAAGGACGAAGTTTGGCTTATTGCCAGCTTGTGAACTAACGTGTCCCAGATATGAGTTTTCAACGAGATTCAATAAATTATTGAAAAGCGTCAATATCTTAGGTATATAATCTTCAGATGGGATTTCAATAATACAATAATCAATAATACCCATTACTTTTCTGTAATCAGTATTACTCTTAAGTGGATCAAGGTCCTGATGTGCATAAGTATAATTATAGAATAAAAGCACAATACTATTCTATCAGAACTGATAACATACTTGCCTTCTAGTATAATTTATCTGCATCTAACAGTAAAAAAGAATAATCTACATATGCTATGAATGCCTGCTAGACAAATTACCAGCATATAGCATAACTGCACGTGCATAGGTATTACAGTCCTTTCACTCAGTCAACCTTGAATTTTACAAAGATCGCAATTGGCTCTTATCGACGATTAGAGTTTATAGGAATAGACAGGTAATTGTATTCTGTATCGTGTCTATTAGTTTAATTTACTATTAAGACTTTGGTGATTATTCATTTTTACATTCAAGTATACCTATTTATTATTTCAAACCTAGTGATAGGTGGATGGCGAAGGCTAGTACCGCTGATATGAATAGAATTAAGTCTAATTATTTTAATGGTGCACTTGTCGATATTTAAGTTGCGTCATTTTACGTTAACCAATACTTATTGTTTTATATTTTTGTAACTGTCATTGCCTTACCATCTGTATCGATCATAACTTTAGGCTTTTTCCTCTACGATCCTCCCTCGGAAGCGTCGCGACGCTCTTCGTAACTTGCGAATCCTTTCGTCCCGTACCGTTGTTGCTTGGATGACCAACCGTGGCTGTTTGGCGCAGCGAAAACTTTCACTCCGTAACGTCGCCGGGGACTGTTGAAGAAATTATAACTCGTTTCGTACTGTTCCACTAAGGGGATCCCTATATTATACTATAGCATACTAAAATAGGTATGAGTATAACATGAAACACTGTCTCTTTTTGTATAGGCAAAATTTTGAGGATTAAGAAGGTAACGTTCCTATATCATTAGCATCAGTAGCTCTTCGTAGAATGACGTTTATGAATAATAAGTAATTTGCTATTTATTAAATACAAGCAGGAAGGGTCTTTCGAAATTCTTTTTTTATGCCCTCGTACACTTCTAAAGTACTAATATCAAGCGTTAATCACATTTTATACTCTGTATAGTTCTAATCACTGACTGATAATATTATATCCTTCGTTCACAATATCTAGTCGGACTTGAAAACTATTTTTATCAGTCAAAATTATATTTCATAATGTACACGTGTTTCATATTTAAGAACAGGTTAAGCGATTGTCATATAATACAAAATTGTCTATGGGTCGTCATTTTTATTAGAAATTTTTGTCTTTTTCTTTAATTTTATTAATTTTATTTGAAAGTAGCAATTAATAATGGGTCAATTAGCGTGATTGGCATTGGTGTCTACATTTGATAATAAATGCTTTTAATCGATGACGAACTTCATCTCCATGTTAAAACTTTATATACTTCTAATTAGTCTTGTGGCTGACGCAATTAGCATTCGACGATTTTGGTTAGAGTTTACTATATGCAAAAGCGATTGCTCAAGTTGAGTCGTCAGGGCGAGTGACTCGAGTAAAGATAAGGACAAGTGAAAAATGACGATTCTCTAAGTTCGTGCCGTTCCATGTAAGCGAGTTCTCTCTTACGCAATAAATCCACCTGCTTTGGTTGGACTTATGCAATTTTGCATTATCTCGCCGCGTCAATTGGATTTCGTATACGTATATGTCTACTTTAGACTACGCTCCCCGCATTTTGTAACTTTGTCGCAGGAACCTTGCGATTTTTAATTCTTTTAATTATTACTTGTATATTTTCCCTTAATTTGGTATCATCGCTATTTGCAAATTCACTATTAACGATGCTAAACTAGATAAAGTGTTTTCTCTTTTATGCACTCGTAAGTACGAAACCAATGGCATTTATTGTTTTACGTTAATCTTAATAAGATAAGAGCAAAATACAAAGAGTAAAGGAGAACTAGCAATATTGCCATAATAATAGGAACTCACCTTATCTTCGCGTATACTTCAATTAGTTATTATAGAATATTGTGACTTATAAGAATGTCTATAATACGACGCTATATAGCGACGCTTTGATTGGCAATACAAATTAAAATTTGTGGTGTAATAATAATAAAATTCTCGAACAAATAACTTTTATATTAAAATAACGTCGAAACTGCGCGCATTTAGGATTCGATTGAGTTTTAAGGACGTAATGCATTCATACGACGGAAGTTAATGTCACTGTAGTTTATCAGTGTATATTTTTATCTTATGTTCAGGATAAGTATATCAGAATTATCGCTGCAACAATGAAATTCCCGAGAAATTAGATTACTTGTAAAACCTTTTCTTATTACTATTGCTGAATCAAGCAATATGTCTTTAGCTTTTCAATTTGATTAATTTTTTTTTCTTTCACATTCTCCCTCCTTCTCTCGAGTCAGCATACAACTTCTCTTTTGATAAAATATTTTCTTTTCCACAAAACTTGAATTATTTTTTGCTTCTTTTCGATTAATTTCAAACTGTTCCGTTTCTCAAGCACCCAAGTATACGTGGGCTTTGCTGTAGGTATACGTCTTCAAATTTCTTCACTGATATTCCCGTTGGCTAAAACAATTTGGTACTGTCTTATTAACAAAGCGCACAACCTACCGTGTACGAAGTACGGCGCGAAACTGACTTTTCGAACTGCCTTGCCTCTTTGACAGTCATCTCAAATTGCCTCCCACTCTAGTATTGCACGAACCTCCACTACCAATTACAATCACCATCACCATCTACCAGTACCAGTATACTAGAGCACCATATTTTTATCGACTAACAAAATGGCAGTGTCGTTTACACGGTTTCTGTTGAAAAGAAAATATTCTTTCTTTTCCGTCTTGTGGTTCTCAGCTTCTTAAATTCTTCTCCGAGCACTTTTTTTTACTTGATTTAAAAGTTCCGCTATTGGTCACTGCTCCAACTTTCTATCCTTGTTTTCCTATGACTTACCGTTGCTTCACGCTAGTCTAGATACAGTCATATTCTTGCTCCTTAGTACCTTTAATACAGTCGTATTATGTACCGTCAGTTACCTGTTTCCAAAAGCTGGCTCGTTACTATATGATAACAACGACTAGAATAATTATTGTACAATTCGTATCCTTTTATAAAACACGAACTTTGTACATTAATGTATAATTGTAACGTATAAAAAACTCCCCCTATCTAACTGTCTTGTTAAGTATATCGTCAATTCTCATGCGCGAGACTCGTGCCGAACGCGCATGGCCGCACATGCTGAAGAAACGGACGCCGCAGATCTTGATTTTTCACGGGACCAAAGTACGCGCGGAAACGTGGTCGTCGGTGGATATGTTCGTGGGTACGTGGTTGCTCTACATCACTAACGAATTGCACGAGAAGAAAACAGTACAGAAAGTAGGAGATTAATAAAAGGATAATAGGTCGAAGACGGGCAGAGTCCATCGTTAAAAATTGCTTCGGGCGGATTCGTAATATCTCGTGACCTTGCCCGAAAGAGGACTCGCGTTTATTTTACTGTAATTAATATATTTATCTTCCTCTGCCACAGCGGATTTGGTTAATTATCTTCTTTTCTAAGTCACTTACGAGCGAAGAGGAAGTTTCATATTGTATTTGGAATTTTTCGATCATTAGTCATATTTAACGAACCACAGGGTTGCCGCAAAATTTAACGTCCGTGTGTCTCGTTCTGCAGGAGCGAGCGGTTGGCCCTGCTGGTCGAACGTCAAGGAATAAAAAGTTTTGTTCCGCATTCGAAAAAAGTGATAGTGAAAAGTTGATCTACAGGAAGAGAAATAATTTTGTTCTCCTTGATTTTTATCTACACTTTTTCTTTACTATTCCATTCACTGCAGATTATTTGCTTTGTACTACACAGTGCTGTTTACCTGACTTCGCTTTGTATGTTTGTAAATAATCAACCGTACGTAATTCGCGTTGCTCGGATACATCACGGAATATCATTGAAACTCCACACAATTTGCGCATGATTATTTTAATGTGGTTCAAGAAAGATAAGTTAAGAATTTCTACGCGTGGTCTTGTGCAGCAGAACGTGCATGTCATTTTTGCTAATGCTTTGTACTAATATTATTGGTTTTTTAAGGACTTTTCTTGGTGATTATTTGTCGTTTGGAATGCGAATGTACGACATTCTATTATCCATCGAGTAAATCTTTAGGCAATAAAGATACAAGTGGAGACGTGTAAACAGTAGATATCTCTGTATTATCACAAACGATGGCATATCGTCAAAGCGAAAGGAGTCAGGGTCGTTACTTTCGTCGTTACAATCGTTGCTACAATCGTCATCTTTGAAGAGAGCAGAAAGCGTAAAAGAAAAAATGAAAAGAAGATGTAAATCAGGTAGAACGTCGGCACTTTTTCTATCAATGAATATTGAATTACGTCTGCTCAAAATATTCCATAGGAACAGATGTGTGGAGACGTACAGATTTCAAATGATAAATCATATGAAAACATACATTTCATACAGGTAGTTCTGAATTTATAAAGTTTTTATCTCTTGCTTATTAAATGTTTAAGCAGGGATAGTACCAGTCATATGCAAAGAAAGATAAATAATTATTTTGAGATGACAGCATTCCGCAAGATCAATCCCAATCTAATCAATCAAGCCTTGGGGTATTATCTTGCAAATATATTCTATACCATCTTTTAAAGTTTGTCTTTTATTTTTTGATATGTAAATGTTATTATTAATTAGTCATTCTATATATGTACATGGGATTATGCGTTCTCTTTATATACCAATAAGAAGCATCGAACTGACCCCAGGGGCTTGAGTGATTATTCAACGTAGTCTATGGTATACAGTTAGAAAGGCAAAATTCTCTTATAAATAATAACCACTCGACCATATGTAGAAGTTATTAGAATTAAAATACTTAAGGTGGTAATTAGAATCATGTAATATTTATGCTACGGTAGAATGATTTATGATTTTATATACTCTACCATACAAAGATAGTAAATAAAAGAATTTTAGTAGTTATAATCTTATTCCTTGTGGTTAGTGAAACTGCGCAAATTTTCCAGTAACTTTTTTTTTAAAATTAATAATTTATTAGTGATCAGATCAATAATTGACGATTTCTCATTAACTCATGACATTTCTGGATTTGTAAATTGATTTTGCAATATCTTGTCTAGTTGTTGAATATTTATAAGTTGAGTTGCTCTAACGAGTTTCCTTTCTGTAGCATCTAAAAAATTCAGATAACTTTATTGACAATCAATATTAGTATAATATTCTTCTAAAAATGTTGACCACTTATGGAATATTTTTCATTTTATTTGCTATCCTTTTTTTCGTTATTTTGCACTCATCTATAAATCGAATGACCGGTATGTACTAATGGAAATTCGGGAGATACGCGATTGTGTAGAGAATGACTTAGCAGACTTGTCAAGGCTAATTTTTTTGATTATAACAAAATGAATGTATGTATGATATTATTGACGTTTCCTACTTTGCTTTAATACAAACTGCGACGTTTGTAATAAATAAAGTTTAATGATCCTTATTACTCTAGTATCACAAAATATTAGAAGTGTTGTGTTAAATGACCAAGAATGAACTATCAGATCAAAAAAATATTCTTGAGTTATTTGCTATCTCTGATATGAAAAGCATACTTTTATATGTATATTTGTACAAAATGTGACGTGCTTTGTCGACAGAATGTAAAGTATAAATATATCTTACCAAGCGTTAGCGTGTAGATTATACGTGAGTTAGAATAAAGAAAACAAAATGCTAAGAAATTGTAAGACATTTTATAAAAAATAGCAGAAACTATACATAAATTAATATATAACGCGCATCATTGTAACTATAGATAATTATAAATAATAATCCAACGCTTTGTCATCTAATCACAGAAATCCTTACTGTATGACTGACAGTCCTTTAAGAAATATCTGAAGGCAATTTTTTGTTTATGTATGAAAATAATTAGAATAATAATGATTATAAGGCTATGACGCAGTCACCTGGTGAAACACAGGAATTGCAATCTAGAGACTACAGCCTATTACGAAGTTGTCTGTTGGTTCAGAAATAGATATAATATAAATATAAAAAGTAGCCATAACTAACAATGTTATCTAGAGTTCAAGGTCAGTTATCAGTTTCTATGAATATGTCAATACGTAATCCAATCTGATATCCATGAACACCGTACAACACATAACGATCCTGGTATCGATAAAGCACAACCTCTTTTCACGCACGACACCTCTCGGCTTTATCAATAAATTTTCACGCTCTCAATCTTCCTGATATTGGCCTGGATCGGCGCTCCCTGTTTCTCTCCCGTTGATAATTTATAGGTGTCGACCCAAGAGCGTCATGAGCCACTATCACTTTATCAGCTGTTAGAGAGAATCCAATAGCCTATACGTGTGTCTGTAGAATCTGTATGTTTTAAAATAGAATAATATAAGGTACCGGCTACGCCAATGCTTATCTATTAGATCAACCTTGGTGGACCCTGTGATAACGGGGGACACCTATCCGTCCTAGCGAATGATTAAATCGTATGCAATTTGCCTGTATCAGTATCAGAAATGGCTGTCGTTATACGACCGGTAGTTGTACGATTTAACTATGTGAAAAACCCCTCAGAGAGACGATCTTCATTTCTGAACAGTTTCCATCTTAAATGGTACCAATGATAAAATTGAATTTTGATGAGCTGAAAGGAAAAGAAATGTATAATTGCATATAGATATTATTGCAATAATTGCACGTGAACAAAATTTATATGAACTCATATCCGGTTAACCTTGTATATACCTATTATATATACTGTATGTACATTATGTAGCATGTTAATTATTTTAACTACCTGTAATAATTTTTCTGTACTGTAACATCCAGCTTCTATTTTTTTGTTAATTGTTGACTTTCGCACATCGTTATGTATTCTTAATGTCTTTTATGCGTGTTCTTTGTAATGGTTGACAGGTAATTGCACTTATCTGGAAAATAATAATGCACGTATGAAGGATTCAGCCCCACAGCCGAGGTCATCGTTTACTGTATGCTTGACTATACAGACTGATATGTATGGTCAATTAATTTGAAATTCTATGCTTAATATTAATTACCAGTATCTGTTATTGTGAGTTTGATTAGCTGTTTTGTGGTCCAGTATCGGGTATTAAATTTCATGATCGCTTTGTTTCTGGTGTTTTTCTAGTTAAGCTTCTAATTAGCGACAGTAAAACTGACGTTAATCGTTTCATTGAGAATTTTATTGTAATTGGTTTTTCTCTTCTGTGGGTAAGGTCACAAATGCTGCACATGTATGTTGTACGCGAATGTTGTGCATAGCTTTTCTAGGAAACTGTTTTAACGAAATCATCTGTTTTTCTTTTTTTTTTTCTCTACATTTTATCTTCTGTGTGAAAGAGGTTACGGCTGTAGTTCGTAAGTATCTTTGCTTTTGAGAATTGCTATTGCTTGACCAATATGGGAAAAGAGTAAACTTTGGTCAATGATGTGATGCGACTCTTCACTTAATCTCCTCGTCCAATTTGTTCCTGAAATCTCACAATGCATAACAGTGATATACCCACATTGTTAAAAGCTTACAGCCAGGGATTTAACAGATCTCTAAAATTCCTTATCTACATACATAACTAATATCTCTGAGTGTAACCTTTTAACATTATATGTATATACTTGCTATATATTATTTTCTGTGGAATCATTTTAATCCGGTTTTCGAAGATTTTTCAGAGAAGGAAAAGAAGCAATAAATACATCCGGTTGACCTATAGTAATCGTTACGTAATGAAGATTGAAAAATATATATCTCTCTCCGCTCTCTATAGAATGTGTCAATACGATAAAAAGAACCAGAATTAAGAAAAATAGAAGTCTTATATAAATAATCACACTTTTTCCATGTCCTAAGAAAATTTTAGGACCTCTAAAAATAATACGTACATTTTTTCTGCAGAACCATAGGTTGATGCAAAATACGTGGGTGTCGTTTCTGGTACATCCTGTATATCAGGTAACGTGCTAGACCCCAGCACCAAGTCTTTAAAACAGGTCCTTGTGTCATTGCGTAAAATGAGTGGGAAGTGAGGATGAGAAGGGGGACAAGAGAGTAAGAGGAATTTTTAAAAACGTCTAATAAAAGGTAGATCAAAAATACAGCAGGCAACTGGTAAATTGTCTGAGGTGCACCGCTGTGAAAACTAATGAATGGATCCAATTGTCGGGAATCAAAACTAATGAAATCGAATGCAAGTCAATAGCAATTCTTAAATAACTCGGAAACTGTGACAATTGGAAAATTGTTTGTGGGGGTACGTGTGTCGCTGGAACAAATTTGTAAGGCACGTGCCACACGCTTCTTTTCCCTCTCTCTCTCTGCTGCCTTGTTTCCACTCAGTAGTATTCGAGGACGCTCGCCGTGTTGTGACATTCGTATGCGAATTCGTGAGGGACACGAGATCGTAATGCGCTTGTTAATAATTCCTCCTGAAAGTTTCACGTTGCATAATGACCAGATTATCGTTGCGAAAAACGTCCAGTGAATCCTACGCAGGTCAAGTGTTACCTCGCGAATAATCTATACTCTTTAGCAACGTAATGACACTGATGAAGCCTATTTGACAGTCAAAGTAATTTACGACGCACTTCTTCTAGAGATTTAAGAAATTGCCTTATTTATTTTTTACGCTTTTGCATCACTTCTTGGAAGACAGGGAATAGTTATGAAGTGGTAATGGAGTATTAGGATGTCTGTTTTGGCAATTGTATATTTTTGACCAATGTCATGTATCCCTGATACAAATATCATTTGTACTGAAACGTACTGTACAACCTTATCTCTTATTTTTACTTTAAATTAAGGTTGACATTATATACTATATTACTTAACTCATTGAACTAATGATGAAGTATAGAATATTTTGAACTAGTATCACATGTTTTGTAATTTTATTGTTACTGTTAGTTTCTTGAGAGACTCGCGAGGTGATTAAGGTCATTAAAATTTGACACAATGGAGTCCACATCTAATTGTGAGAGTAATTCATCATCCGAATCATTTTCACTGTCATTCATCAAGTTAGTGGCCCAATCTTCATGAGGCGATTTTGAGCTCTCATTGGGACTCTTGTTTTCTTCCGAAAGAGCACTGCTGGATGTACGTTCTGATTCTTTTGTGGCTGGTGGTGTTATAGCGTCTTTGCTGCGAAACTCTAATAGCTTTGATCTAATTGATATAGGTTTTTGTTGTGGTGCTGAGGTATTTACAATTGTTTGTTTGCATAGTATGTCACTTTCTTTTGTGGTTTCTTCAATTTTCTCATCTTCATCCCAGGTAAATATTTTACTGCCTTCAATATCCAAATTGCTGGTTTCATATGGATTTTGATCAAATAATTCCTCAGATTCATTTGATTTCATTGTCTTTGAATTAGGTGAGTTTGTAGAAATTTCTATCTTATCTATATTTGAAAAGATGTTTACTATACAACGCAGAGAAATCATAACCAGACATGTGTTCCATGTTCCAGTCATTAAGAATCCAACATCATTTAATAACAAGACTACTCCAGCTCTAAGAATATTAGGGTACTTCGATAGTATACTTTGATGAATAACTCCCTCGATCGCATCCGTGAAATCTTTTAAAACAACGCGTGGATTTTCAGAACTGTAGTCTATATGCTGTATGACAGCTGCCAATATTGGGATTTTTCCATTGGTAAAACACTTTGCTCTAGCCTTTTGCTTAATCAGTGATATATTATGACCTTCAAGGTAGTCTCTAGGAATATCATCCATCATTAATTTCCAAGCTCCTTCTGAGAAAAGAATTTTTGTATTTTGCGAGCAGAAGTCTGAAGTCTTTGATTTTTCATGCTCATTCTCATTCTCATTCTCATCCATGGAATTTAAATAAGACACGGGAAGAACTACTTCGTCCGCAGAGTCAGGTATTAAGCCTGCTGGTCCTGGGAATTTGCGAACTAGCGACAACTTTTCAATAGGACTTTTTAGCTCTACATTTTTGCCTATAGAACTAATCGTTTTAGTCTGCTTTTCTCCATCATTGGGTGTCAATTGTAGTGAGTCTGATTTGTTATGCAATAATTTTTTTGCAGTCGAAGGACCTTTTTTAAATATATCCAATATAAGAGTTTTCCTTGAAGATATCTTCTCTTTGGCAGGGTTTTCTTCTGAGAAGTTTTTTAACTGTTTTGTGCTTAAAGGCTGAACTGCATGGGCTTTCTTTTGGAAACTTTTTTTACAATTTTGTGGTCCCTCTAATATTCCTAAGAGTAAATCTTTTCTTGCTTGTGGAAAATTTGTAGATTTGGTAGATTGAATATCATATTTAGGTTTCTTTGCAATATTTTCTTCTTGATTCTGTCTACCTTGGGAACAATATTCGGTTTCCTTCCAATCAACATCCTTCAGAAATTCCTGAAAATAACTTTGTAAATTAACAGTTCCTAATATTCAATTTCAGCATCTCATACCTCATCAAAGTCGAAATTATCACTCTCAAACATATTATCAGATATAACATATCGTTATTATCGAACAGACATTAATTGCATAGTAGATAATATTATTTCATTTGTTCATTATTATTTCCTTTCTGAAACATAAATAAAAACTTCTGTTTGACAGGTGCCACTGAATGGAGCATCAAGAATAAATGAATTCAATAAGAAAACTCACTCTATAAATACGGAATCATCAAATTTACAATGTATACAAATAATTAATAAGATTGATAAATGATTAATAATAAATTTAACTATCTCATCAACCAATCACTCTAATTTCCTAATTGTAAAATGTTACTATGAATAATTGAAATTGTCCATGCTGGACACTGCCAGCGTGCTTGTGATTAAAAACAAAAATTAAATTGTGGGGGCAGCACTTCCACGACGCGTGCAGCGCCATCTCTCAGACAATGCAGGAAACTTCACGGAGTTCTTGATAGTGTAGGTAAATTAAATAAAACATATTACTTAAATCAGAGATAAGTAGGAAGTTTGCCAGCGGGCGAATTCTCCATTAGTTCGAATTTTTGCCGAAAACGAGGTGCCCTTATCGGCGAAAATTTGATTATGCAAGTTTAATTAATATGAATTGATCCATTCAGTTTTCGATGATGCGATTTTTAAATTATATCCGGGATTATTTTATCGCAGAAGGTAGTATTGATGAAGAAAAATGAAGTCAGAAGATTGATGCTGAAAGGATGGATGATTTAATCATCCAGAATAATTCAAAAAATATATATTATACAATATTTATTTACAGTACAACTTCGCAATCCTTTACAACGAATAGCCAAATTTCTTAACCCACTTTATTGCTTCTAATGAGCTCGTTTTCGGCTTATATTCTAATCCAATGTGCCCATCGTATCCTTCTTGTTCCAATACAGAAAAAACGTATTTGAAATCAATTTCACCTGGCACATCAACCTCGTGTCTGCTTGGTACTTGCGCTACTTGTACATGTGCTAAAATTGGTGATTCGTGTTTAATTAATATTAGTTTTATGACCAGGATTGAAAAAATACATAGATTGGAAACAAGGAGCATTCATTTACCAAAGTACTGCAGATTTTCCTTTATAAAGTTCGTAATATTCCCACTGGTATGTTGCAAGTGAAAGAGGTCCAGCATTAATCTCAAATTTGGACTGTTTATCTTCTTTACTATATCCAACCCTGGTGAAACATATTAAAACTCTGTTTAATAAAGAGTAAATAAAGGAGTAACATATAGCATAAATTACGACCATACCTCTGTCAAAGCTGTGCAAATAATAATTTGGTACGGTGATACTATTAATAGGTTCTATCAGGCCTATTATTCCTTCAGTTTCTAATCTTTTCACAGCAATTCTTAAGTTGCTTTCATATACAGAATCATTGATGTCTGTGGGCGATTCTACCTTGCCAGCCATTATGTGAATCCTATGATTAAATTAATATTTATAGTCACTAAAATTTGTAACTGATATTTAGAATACTTCTAATAATTTTTTCTTACTTTTTACATTCTAAGGCTTTAGCATACTCAATGGTAAGCTCAAGGCTCTTTTTGAAGTCCTCCTCTTGGCCTGGTATTGCAGCAAATCCCAGTTCTCCTTTAGTGACATCGCCTTTAACCAAAAAAATAATCTGTGTTCAATTTATTGGATACACTAGATATAAAAATATGTTTTCTTATATGCTTACCTGTAAATATATTTATGAGTATTTGATCTACACCAGCATTCTTCTTAGCCTCGACAACTTCCTCAACGGTAAAGCCAAATGGAAATCCACTTTCCACAGCTTTAAAACCAGCTTGTTTAGCAAGTTGGTACCTTCCGATAATAGTGGGACTTTCTCCAAACATGAAGGATAAATTGCTGGCAAATTTAAAACTCATCTTACTTCTCTTCTATAACAAAAATGACTGATTTTAACAAGGTTGGTGATACAAATAGCAGATCGTTTCTTAAATTATTGCATAACACCTGAAGAAATAATAACTTTATCAAGTGATAAGAAACCTTGTGACAGTGTTATCACAAAATATCTATGGTCTTTTATTCAATTGTTCAATCAAACTATTAAAACTGATAACAATGATAAAATGTTTTGTATTCTACATCTAAATCTGTTGATACACATAAAATATCTCAAACTAGATTAAAAAAAAACCAAATATCCAGAATCAACAATAAAAGTTCATCGATAGTGAAGTCCAACATTTTTGTATTATATCTTACCCTTTTTCCAGGAGATGAGCACTCAATATCAGAGAATTCAATTCCTAGTTTAACTTCTTCCCTAATCCTTTTGACAGTTCGCTCAGAGACCTTGGCGTACTGTGCAGCTCTCTTGGTGGCTTGACGCAACGGAAACAACAGGCACTTTTGCTTAGCCTCCTGATCACAAGATTCAATAATCGACTTGATTACTTCACGCTCTTTGCTTCTTATCGTTGTGCCTTTTTTCCTGCAGTCTCGACTGCCAATCTCTACCTCATTCTTAAATTCTTCCAAGCTCATTCTCAGAGCCTGGGCTGACGTTATTTATCTTCAAACAACAGCTGACCTGCTTATCTCTAACCTAACGTGGCGCACATGTCGAACATTTCTTTTGGCTTATTCCGAACAGCAGATTTTCCAAAACATTTATAAACAGCTAAAATGACAAAGCATTGATTAATCATTGTCTAGCCGATAATCTTATCTATTATGCGAAATACAGTATTGAGCAACAAACACTTCGCGAAATGTTACCACATACTAATGTTGCATAAAAAAAAACAGAATACTAGAACGAGACAATTATGGCAATGAAAAATAGGATCTAAACAAAATACTTTATCTAATATGGACATTGTCAAACATTTTATCTCTTGGGTGAATATCGTACTTGTTTATGGCATGAAGAAATATTGAAAATTGTATTGCGCAAAAGCATTTTTAACGCCTTTTCGAGCTACTTGCAAAATAGCTGTTAAAATCCTCATAGACTTCTCAGAATGTATTAGACAGATCCTTTGGAATATTATTGCATAGAGCATTTAACGCTGTTATCATGATCACAGAGGATTGTTGTGCGTGCGAAGTTATGGTAGAGTAAATTTTAATTATTGGCACGAACGAAAACATGGTGTCGTTAACCAGGCCAATTCTTTCTACAATACACCACAAGCAGCCACAAGAGATTGTTGCAGGTGTTGGCTCTAGTGACGAGAGGCCTGAGGCTGAGAATACGCATGCGCATTGCACTACTTTTTTGAATGGTTGTCTATACTTATGACTGGTAAATTAAATGTTTCACAAATTACAAAATCACCTGTAAGTGTTTAATACGGAAATATAAAAAAGGATATACAAGCTATAAAGAACGAGTTTCCTTATTCGCATTATCACAAGATCTACAATTAAGTCAAATATGAAGTGATGTAATTCCAAGAAACACTATTACATTAACAATCATCTATTGTGATTGTGAAAAACATTTTTCACCAATTATTTGTGATTTTATTCATAAATACCATAAGCAAAGTAAATTAATTAAAGTTACAGATCGAAAAATGTCAATCCCCTAATAAAATTTTCCATCGCCAATGTTTTTTTCCCAAAAGTAATATGTGGTGAATCTATGTAAATAAATAGAAAATCATTTATTGCCTTTGGCAGACGAAAATTAACAATTGAGAAATTCTATTCACAGAATTCTCTAGCCCGAAACACGTGTTTCCTTCGTAGTCTCAACGTAGTCCAAACGTATTCTCAATGTAGTGATTCTGCTCATGGACTGACTATCAATTATAGAAAAGGCAAAGGCTCAGGACTATTTATTATAAGACCGTAATCCTTATGAAAGATACTAAGTGATAACGTCGTCATCAATAAGAGCGTTTTTGTTCACGCGCTTTATATCAATTTTCAATATCAATTTTTTTCAGATTTATATAATAAATAAATCAACAGATCAGGCATCCTGACGTTCTACATTTCATATTTTAGCAAACTTTACTTTAATACCTTTTACATTCCCAACGCTTTCTTGTTCACTATTATTGAATAATATGAAACAGAGTTAAAAAAAATGAGCCCTAGTATATGACGCAATGATACAATCAATAGGTGTTAAATATAGATTTTGTAGTAAAATATTACTAAAAACAAATAAAAAATAACTTCGCCCAACGTGGGGCTCGAACCCACGACCCTGAGATTAAGAGTCTCATGCTCTACCGACTGAGCTAGCCAGGCTTTCAAATAATTTTGAAGAAATTCTTATAAATCGTACAAGATAAGTATCTTAAAAAAAATTAAAAAATTATTTCATGCTACGTTTAAATTAGTCAGTCTTGTAAGAATTAATGACAGTTATGATCTAATGCATTTAGTGGTGATAACCATGAATTTTCCACGTGGAAGATTACAACATTGCTAAATCAGGATACTAAACATTGAAAAAAAAAACAGATGTCTAAATGATACATGATTTTCAGGCATATTGACATACATAGTCATATCCATTGCTATCTATGGAAAATTGAACATTTTCCATTTCTTGTTTCTCTGCAAAAAATGCAAGAATCCATTATATACTATATTGATAATATTCGATATGAACATGATGTCAGCATAAACAAAAAAGAAAATACTTGATGCAGTTTTGCATTCGTTTCTTAAATGTAAACAGTGTATTACAATAACGTAGAAAGTATAAAAGTGAAACTCAGGCATTCTAGAAGTTTATAATAAACAGAATAGAATAGAATGGAATAGAATAGAATAGAAGAAGGTAAGGTGGAAACTGGTTGACGACGGTGTCCCTTACAGGATCACCTAGTGCGTCAGTCACAGGGTGAGGGTTGATTCTATCGATTTTCCGAGGTCAGTCCTAGCCTTCCGATACGCTTGCGCGTGGTCGTGGAGTATTTATCGGAGTACAGCGTCGTCGAGCAAGGGGTGAGGTATCAGTCAAGTAAATAGGGGATGTCCGAAGAGGTGAAGTCGTCGTGTCCAGTGTGGGAAACGTGGACCATCCGCATCAGGAGGTCACCTCTGGAAAGGGTGATCCTAGTCTAGTTGAAAAGTACCGAAGGCCAAAGTGCCATAGCAGGATTATCCTTTCGGGAGGGAGGGAGAGTGCCGACGGAGAAGAGATAGAAGAAAGAGAGAGAGAAAAAGAGAAGACCTGGTGAGAAGGTGAGACTGGTACAGAACACTCAACTAAAAGGCAATCCAATGTATTTCGGTTATCGCGGCGACGGAATAGAAAGATGTCGCTGCCCCGAGAGTGGAGTTTTCAAGAGTCGTGTCGATTGGTCGACCGAGGGCCAACCTCGACCTCGTCCCAGGAGATGGTCGGCCCCGCCATCATCGACGAGAATATGAACCAACAGAACCAGCTGGGGTCCTTGTTCTCCATTCATTCGGCACCGGTGTTTGATTTAAATACTGGAATACAATCTCCAAAAAGACCAGCTTCCTTGATGGTCCAGGCAACTGCGACCTCAACACCAGTGGTACCACCTCATGTCAGTCCTCCAGATACCATTGAAGACGAGGACAATGATAACCTGCTGACTATATCTAGCTTGACCGCGCGACCTCTAATTGCAAAGTCGCGGGAGCTAAGATCATCCAAGCATTCTAGAAATACATCCAGAAAGAGAAAGAAATGCAAGAAAGAAAAAGTACTCAAAAATCCTCATCAAATTCCTTTGGATGGCGGTTACGGCTGGGTCATCGTATTCGGAGCATTCTTTGTTCAGTTCTGGGTAGCTGGTCTTGTCAAATCTTATGGTGTTTTATACGTCGAGATCATGGAGACCTTCAGGGATTCCTCGGCATCCGTTGCCTCCTGGATACCAGCCATTCTTTCCTGCCTCTGTCTTGCTCTAGGTAAGATTTTATTAATTAATATTAAATACACACCCCTTAGCTATAGAATGTTTTGTACTACATTGACGCTACGCTTTTTAGCACCCGTAACAAGTATGTTGTGCCAAAAGTACAGCTGCCGTGAGGTCGTCTTCATCGGGGGATTATTCTGTGCACTAGGACTCACAACAAGCTACTTTGCAACGAGTTTGATTCACCTCTTCTTCACATTCGGTGTCCTCACCGGTGAGTAATCATCGCGGAATACCGATAATGATATTTTGGAAAATAAATAAAACAATGAGTATGCGACGTAGCTTCAAAACGAATTATATAGAGTAGTACAGGGACTCAGGGTATTAAGCCCTAAGGCAAGGACACCAGGAACGATCGATAATCTACTAGAAATCATACAACGTTTTAGTTAAACACTCAAAGCACGATTCAAATTTCCTGGGAGCCAATGAACATGCTTTCCTATAGGGGATCCAGAGACATACATGTGTCATTAGTGGATAACTCTTTACTTTTAGGCATTGGTGGGGGACTCTCAACAACACCAGGAATCATTATAGTCTCCCAGTATTTTGACAAACATCGTGCACTGGCCAATGGGATATGCGTTTCTGGTACAGCAGCCGGAAGCTTTGTATTTCCATTGCTCATAGAGGCATTGGTAGCAAACTTTGGATTCCACGGTACAATTCTTCTTCTGGGTGGTTGCATGTTACATGTTTGCGTAAGTGCGACACTTTATCGTCCTCTGGAAGAGAACAACGTGCAAGAAGATGACACAGATCAGGATAGAGGATCTTGCGAAAAGGTATCAGAAACATTGAAAGAGTTGGCTTCGACAAAGCAGCAAAAATTGGATTTACTATTTGCAAATGACTCCACTACGAGGCACAATCTTTTGAATGAGCTTTTCCATCAGAATACAGTGCTGGCTGTAGAATTGACTGACAGCGAAGAAGAGAAAGACATAATGGGAGAAGGTCTCAGGATGAAGCCGATATCAAAAATTAGATCATCCAGTATATTGCACAGCGTAGAGGATCTCTCTACAGATTCAACCTGTGTTTACAAAGCCAGATCATCATTGAGATCATTAAGATCATCAGCTCCAGCAGTGGCGCCTCCTGTCATCATCCAGCCCCAGGTCACAGAAGAAACCGGGGTAAAACAGTCCTTGACCCAAAAAATAGCAAGATATCTGGACTTGTCTCTCTTGAAGAATCCTCAGTTCATAATGATGTGTCTCTCAGTCAGTCTAATGTCTACTGGAAGTCCTTACATGCTGTATTATCTTCCGGCTTATGTTCACGCCGCCGGATACACTAAATCTGAAGCTGGATACCTAGTGGCTATATCGGCTGCACTGGATCTCTGTGGAAGACTCGGACTGGGCTGGCTCTCGGATCTACAACTATTCGACAGACGAAAAGGTTACATTGGAAGGTATTGAGAAAACAATTCACAAAATTAGTATAAGATCTACTGTATCTACTATCTATAACGACTACCTCTTTCTATGCAGTGTTCTTGGTGCTGGAGTTGCTGTCCTGGCTATCCCAATGGCTCATTCCTTTTACGTGTTGGCATGTTCCGTGGGAATGTACGGACTATGCCTAGGATGCTGGTTCCTTCTTGTTCCCGTCCTGCTCGCTGACCAATACGGAACTGATAAGATATCATCCAGCTATGGACTGGTCAGAATGTTCCAGAGCGTTGGAGCTGTCTCGATACCACCATTGGCAGGTACTGAACAAGAGAACACATATATCTTTCTGATAATTAAATACAACTGCGGAAACCAATTAGAGGTACCAAGGACTGCCAAGTACCTTATCGCATGCAATATACAGTAGACTGCAATGTGAAATAATTAGGAGACTCCCAACTAATAAAACAATCCTAAACTCTTTTAGGACATTCACAAGTAAATCTTAAGACTTGTTAGGAGCCAAGTTCTCAGTTAACCAGCCCTCTAAGACAATCGATTTTACCGTTTTCGACCTCTTAGAGTTCTATTTATTCCTGGCATTGCATCCTGACACGAGGGACTAGCGCAATACAATATTTGGATAACGTCACTCGGTCTGGGTTCTATTCACACTCTAGATGCCTGTTGTAAATGTATATACAACTACATATAATATAGATTTCACAATGTGATGAAAGTGGGCGTAGCACCTGTATTGATTTATAGAAAATCAGAGCACGATACTGATAAGCTAGATGAGAAATACTTTTGTCGTTACAATTATCATTCAATAAATATATTATTAATTTTTTTATCAAATTCCAATTCTAATCGATTGCAATTCACTACGATAGAATATTCGGTACAAGACAGGAAAGTGGGCAATGATTTAAAAATGCTTGAAACTGCATAAATAGTTTTTTTTTATATGAGATATCGTTATTAACGTATCCCACGCGTGTAAGACTCGTTCGTATTTATCGATTGTGCTACCCTTTAGTTATTGAGCTCGTACGACTTGGTCAGGTAAATCTAGGTTCAGGTAAATATAGAGACTTAGGAAGTCACACTGGGGGGGTTCAAGGTAATTCCAGTCGATACTCATGAATACTGACATGGATAATATTCACTAGGGATCTAATCTGACGTAATTATCATTTTATAATCTATCAACTATTTTAACTTCACAATATTTCCCGTTTATATTAAAATATTTTCTACCCATCTACGAGCATTCGCAAGATCTATGACTAAGCTTACACATTTCATTTTTTTTTAAGGTTATTTGCGTGATGTCACCGGAAGTTACTCAGTCTGTTTCCTCTGCATGGGTACATGCATGGTGTTGAGCGGACTTCCGCTTCTGCTGGTTTCCGGTGAAAATTCGAAGCCCACTACTAAGGTGCCTGTGGACGTGAGCGGAACCGGAAGGGATGCGGCAGTCGCCACTGCCAAAGAATAGTGGAAATGGAGGAATAATTAATTCTTTCAAATAATCTGCAAGGATGAGGCTGGCGGATGTCGAATTTGCTTTTTAAAATTAATGTAAACGTGAAGATAAAGAGGACGTCCCGTTTAAGTCTCCTCGTTATCATCGTGATAACGCCGACATTTATTTATTATGATTATTATGCGTGATGTTGTCGTTATATATAATTACTGGCATTATACAATTATCGTCGTCTTACAGTTGTTGGATCTTTGGATATAGGAAAACGCGAGTTTCACGAGGAATGAATTTTTCGGTGCGTTCGCGGAATTTGTACATTTTTTCGAAAAATTCAAGGCGACACGTCATTGATACGAAAGAAAGTATCAGAGAAATTTAATTTGTCAGAAGAGCTTTCTTACTTTCTGTTCATTCGGTATACATTGATGTTTTCATTTTATTTGGTAAAACTACGAAATTTTATAATGTTTCACTGTTTATTCTTTTTAATTATTTAAAAGAAGTAAAAGATACGCTTTATCGATTTCAAATGGGAATCATTCGAGTTATTGGGAGAATTTAATATTTTTTTTATTTTCAAAAAATTAACATGGACGCATCGACTACGCGTGTGTTCTCTACACTAATTTCGAGAAAACGACATTTGTTTAATGCGAATCTTTTGGAAATTCGCCACGCTGTTCTATTCGATTGCACGTTTTTTTAAACTTTGCTTTCCGTGTGTTTTCGAATGATCGTATTTGTCGTTTTGAAAACGATGTATTTTGTGAGAAAGCGAATTTTAGAGAGGGGGAGAGAGAGAGAGAGAGACGAGAGCGAGATTATAATAAACGAAAGAATCGTGTGATTTTTTCATGAGAAACTTTTCAACAAAAAAAATGATAAAAAATACCGAATCGCATCGTTACCATGGCTGTGCCTAAAGAAGAAGAGAAAAACTTTTTCATTTTTCCAAGTGTGATTTCTTCGTGAGAACGAATGAGGGAGTGAAAGTGAGAGAGGAAAGAATTTTTGATTTTCCACTTATACATATATTGTACATGAAATTGGGACGACCCAGTCGGAATTTCAAAAATCTCAAACAGAATGAACGATTCTCGTTACTTAATACGTGTATTTTTGGTTTGCAAATTTTTGCGAATCTTTGTAATTTTATCTAACAATTCTTAGTTCGACTGCTATTTCCGTTCATCGAGAACGAACGAGATTCACGGCGATAATTGAAAGTAGCAAATACTGAGGCTCACGCCCATTTTCATTGTCATCGATGACTCGGAGTCGTGAGAAAGTATGGATAGGACATAGAGAGAATGAAAAAAAAAGCGACAGACAACAAACGATCTACAGCCTGATTTGCAAAGAAGAACAAACGGATTGCATGATAAAAATAGGACTGTAGCTAAATTAATTGAATATCAATTATTAGTTCGACAACAAAACGCCGGGCATTTGCGAGCAGAGAGAATAAACTAAGAATATGGGATCGGTACTTGCTTCAGTATTGATTCTGATAATAAAACAAAAAAGTGTTAAAAAACAAATGATTATATCTCATTCATTTTCATATAACCTGTACGCCATGTCAAAACACGCAGAGTGAGTGTTAAGCGATATTTATATGTAATCCGAATGAAAAATTTTACTGACCTCCGATTGCGTAGTGGAGTTTAGTGGACGATAAAATATTTTTTCAGTGCCACGCTGTGCCATTAAGTCGAGTCCATTGTCGAGCCAAGGATCCTGCAAGGCGAAGAGAAGGAAGGTCACCCCAAGTTGTATAAGCGGAATAAAAAAGAGACGGTGCAGGGTCCGATCAGGCTGGCGACACGAGTGGGTATCTCCTGAACGTTTGACTCCTGGAGGATCCTTGGGAGTTCATGAAATCATCCGTGGTCCATTCTCATCTCCAAGACTCCTGAAGACATCGCCCTTTGTCTTCGTATCCTCTGCTCCAGTTAAAGATACTTCCTTGTGCAGCATAAAAGGAGAGCGTCGTGGTATTCCTGATCCTTGGAAAGAATATTTAGCGTTAAAGGGTCTACGTGGAAAGCTTGAAAAAAATAGGGCTAAGTCGGGCCTGAATCTAGGCTGTCATGGAACACGAATCACGGAAACGGTCTGGAAGGATCTTGGGTTGTCACTTGCACAAGGTATTCCTGACCCTTGGAAGGATTGGCCACCATTGAAGAAAAAGACGTGGGTAGCAGAAGCAAAAAATACAAAGTGTCTTAGGACTGTTGAAAAATTAAAAAAAAGTCATAACCCAGAGGCAAAGGATTTTAAGTGTAAAAAAGTTATTGAAAATTCTACAAGAATAGAAAATCCATCTTCAACTGATTCCAAAGAATACCCTGGAACATGTAACCCCATTAAACTTCCTTGTGCATCCAAGATCATTCAAGTCCCATTGACTGAGATTAATAATGTCCAAAAACTTGAAGACCTTCCCAGGGAATATGAGCCTACTAAAAATAACGTAAGACGATTAAAGGTGAGCTCACATGATAAAAAGTGTCATGAAGTAAAGGGGCATTGCCATTGCTCTATAAAATTGAATGACCATTGCAGAACTATGAAAGAATATGACACGCAATGCTGTATGCGTAAGGTATGGAGCAATTCGAATCTTTGTAAATACAGCTGCGATGATAATCAAATATTTTGTGACAATCCAAACTATATGTATTCGACATTCTATCCCTCTGAATGTCAAGGATGTTTGGTACCATGTCTGCCCAGACATGTAAATGCACCAAGATGCGCTCTGACTGCACCAAGATGCATTCCCACTGGATCCGCATGTCCAGTGCATTATTTTTCACCGTCGTATCCTACAGGTTGCGCCTTCACAATACCAAGGAAACGAATGTCGAAAATGCGTCGACTGTTCGTACGGTGTAACCAAAGGTTTCAGGAGTCTTGCATGCCTTATAAATGCAACAGGCAGGAGTATCCTTCCTGTGCTTTGAGACAGGACTTAACGAATGTGGATCTGGTGTGCTGCCAATGCAGCTGTCCTTATTTTAAATTAGCCAGGACTAATGACCCTGGATGTACAGATAAGGAAGTCTGTGTCAATTGTGAAAGACCTGCTCATTATCGTTGTACTAACCAGTGTACAAAAAAGTTACAAGATCGTCCTGAAACATGCAAGAATTTTTTAAAGAACACAAACATGAGATGCAACCTACAGTCTCCCTGTGGGAAAAAATATTTTAAATCTACAATGCATTCCTATACGCAATGTAACCTTGGTGAGGAACTCAAAAAAAAGTTTGTCGATAAAATGTCTCTCTGCTATCCTGATAGGATATTTGAATCTTGCCACAATACTAATAGGAATAGCAATAAAGTCCTTCAGAAGGAAGTGCAAGTACAATGTCCTGAGAGGACCACGATAAAACAGCATTATCGAGCGGAATGTGTTAAAGATTCAAAAGATACATTCCCTATTGCTGTACAATGCTCTGAAATACCAAATCAAATACCAAATCAAAATTGCAGAAAGAAGAAAAAACGAGCTCCATATATGTTATGCAATAGCTCTGAGCAGAAGCATATACCAAATTTTTGTATAGACCTTCCAAAATTGATCAAATCTGACAGCGGTGATATTGCAGATATCTCAGACACATCTAAACCACGAGATTCCTCATCCGTCACCTCTGTAACATTCATCAGTTTACTAAGCCAAAACAATATATCCAAAGTACAGAAAAAAAATTTGAGGAAGATGCAACTAGATTCAAGATTCAAAGTAGCAGCTAAATCGGTTGCCAAAAAAAATATGTCCTCTAACGATTCCATATCTTCATCAATTTGTCCACCCAAAAGTCATGAGTTTCATGATTTCGCAGAAGTTTCACGAGATAACGAAGTAATTGATAAGGATAAGCATACGCCAGTGACAGATGTAGAAGCTAATCCACGCGTCAAGAAGAAAGTGAACGTTGGGAGTAGACATAAGAATTCCAAAAGTTTTATATGTTCGAATCACAACGACAAAGTTGACAATTGCTATACAAAATTTTGTTACCTAAGACGAACCAAGCAACAGCTTCAATTTCCTATCACGAATCAATCGCATGAGAAATTTGATCACGATGAGGTAAAGGCATTCAGAGCGGACATGGAAGAGAATTCCATACACTATTCTTACATTAGTTGACTATGAGTGTTTCTGAAGAATTTATGTGGAACAGTTGTGGAATGAAGGAAGGAACGTGAATGAATTAGAACCAAGGATAAGTCTGACTAAAGAGAAAACGTAAAGACGGCCAAGTACTTCCCTAATCGACCTCTTATGTTCTTACTGATTATTTCTAAGCTGCTATAATTTAGCTAAAGGATTCAGAATACATCCCAATTACCTTAAACCAGAGAGAGCACAATAACAGTTTACTGCTGGTGTTATTCCATTTCTAAGTGATGCAATTCATATCTACTATCATCAGCAGTATAGTGTCATTTATCTCTAAAAATAATACTCGTGGAATTAATAACGTTAGATTATACTAGCAAAATTTCTTGGAGGAATCTTATCTAACTTATAAAGTCTATCAATGTAGATCCAATTATATGCTGATATAATCTTAGAATCTGTTGCTGCTGGAACATCAGAAGTTTCTCCTACATCGTCCTTATACAGATTCTTCGTTTTCCTCATCTTCGTTGACGTCGGCATCGAATCCTGCAGGATTATTGCTGTCTTTGGGTAACTGCTGCTTCTCCTGATGCATTTCCGGTGGTGTTAACTCCGTGAACACTGACGTTGTCCCCTTCGCAATATTCAGCGTCTACCAGCATCTTTCTACCAGACCAGCGCACTTTCAGGCAATGAGGACAAGTGGAGGCATCAAAGAAAAAGATCGAGTGATGCAAGAATAGTGCACAGGAAGCCATTTTCATTTTCTAATTATATTATATAACTATGCAGAGCAATTTCGTAAATGAAAATTCGCAAATCGGATTTTAGTATCTCGTTGCAATTTACTTTATCTTTTTGCGGCTAAGATCATTTCTTTCCTCTATCTCAATCCTGTTATGCCCTAGATCTACGTTATATAAATCCAACTGAAAGATTGATAAGATTAGCATGTAGGTCCATCGAAGTACCATATATTTGTCATTATTGTCACGAAGAATTTGAACATGCGCAGTATTTGTTTAAATCGGTCGTAATTCAAATGGCAAAGAGTTCGCCTAACAATTCGATAAACATGTTTACTCTTAGACCAAAGTACGCACACGAGGAACGAGGTTGATGTTCATTACGCAATATGTTTCAATTAAAAGCGATCAAATTGATTCAAGCCTTGGCACTTAATCCGTCGTAATAGTCACAAACAAAATCAGCCCTTGTTATCCTAAATTACAATCATATTCTACTTATAACACAATTCTAAGTCTACTGACGGATACTCACAGCTCGCAGTTGAATGTCAACGAATATTTAATCCAACTTTATGATCTGTCAATTTGACACGCAACGAACGTATGGTAAGCATAAACTCATGCGTGACACATATTGCTGAACAAACAAACATAAAACGTACCAAGTCGGTTCACTGGAAACTCTTACAATATAAATGACGAACATCTCATCCAAATGTTTGTCAGACATTGCGCACATATTAATTTTTCATGAATATTTATGTGCAAGAAAAGCAACAGTCGGTCCAACAATCACGTTATTTTCATACTTTATCTCACTTTGTTTTTTTTCTGAAACATTATTGTATAAATAAAAAATTCCTGTAATGATCAAAATAACAATTCTTACCGACGAAAATATGGCAATATCCCAAGAAGAGGTTCGTGTCTACCTTGAGCCGGTAATTAAGTCTCGTTTACCTCTTGAGAGAATTCCTAGTTATAGAAAAAGCTGATCAGATAAGGTATACACTGAGATTGACAACGAGACTTGTTGGATATCGGATAAGAAAATGAAAATTCACACAAACCTACAAAGATACATTGCGATAAGAGTAAGGTAACATGATAAAGTTAGACGCAATACGTTTGAGATGCTTTCCAATCAATGTATCATTTGAACAGATATAATTCTTATTTATCAACTTGGATGGACTGAGGCAATGGTGTTATTCTTCCTTAGTTCAACAATAAGTCAGGTTAACAATCCACGATAATAAGATTAATTTCAACATTGTACACTAAGTAAAACAGAAAAAAGGAACGCGGCCTCTACGTATCGGCAGTTGGCATCTGGTTTGTTCCGCCTAGGAGGCAGATCCACTCTGGGAAGTTATTTGACTCTACATACATTGCATTCTCATGGGTAGTATTAAAATTTTCCTTCCGCCACGCAACGTTGCTAAGAAATTACACAGAGCGTGAACAGCTGTAAACAGAATGTGAAAAGTATTGTGAGATTCACGCCATGTATCATTTAACTATGATCTAAGATGTACATTAAACCCACAGTACGTTGTAATCATACAAATGCCATTCTCGGAATATACAATTATCCACGCTCAGGTTTGCCTTCGATATTTTCATCGATCATATCTATCAGTAAGATGCGATATTATCGATACGTTGACCTAATTGCAAAAATAAGTTTCCACGAGTATGATTTAGTGGTTCAATAGAACAACCTCGGATGGCCATGTACTCATGATACATGGAAACTTCATAAGAATTGTAACTCAATAACGTCAGGTCAGTGACGTTTGTTTAAAATCCATACACAATCTTTTTGAAGAAGGCAGACTAAGGTTCGACTAGTTAGTTAAATGATATATATATATATATTGTACCTGTATGCATCCTAAAAGGTAAAGATAGTGATTAGAGTTTGACAAGGAGTTTTAAAAAATGTATCACTTTTCCATAACCTAGCGTTCATCTGGAACAAACTCCGCGCGAATTAGTTCCTTGCTATGTAATATCACAGAAAAGCCAGAACACAGCTCCTATTTCGCGATCCTGGATAGTGTAACTAATGGCATGGCGAACAAAGACTTTTTCTCAGTATCTGGTTGGTTTGTATGCGGCTTGGTGTGATTGTGTAGATGTAATCGTACACGAGGTACGACGGGGATGAAGGGGAGTCGAGGGAAGTCAGCGAGTGTAGTCACGCTCCCAGGAACAGCTGATCAGTCGCAAACGGACGTGAGAACACGATACACGTACGACGAAGCTCTGCGGAACGTGTGTACGTACAGTGGTACTCCTGTCTCTGGTTCGGTAGGATCGTGTAAAAGAAAGCACTTACCTCCCTCGGAGCAAGGAAGAACAAAGGGCGAGCTGGTTCATCACTTTGTCTATGCCACTACTAGACAACGTTCAGTGTAGGAAGACGTCGTACGTTGTGTAGAAATATCTGCATTTAATATACATACATTAACAAGAGCATAAACGGCACCGAGCTAGGTGCTGATAACTATATTCCTGATCAGCTGTAAGACACAAAGGAGAGTCTATGTGCGTACCAGGGTGCACGCTGTGGCAGAGCAGAGAGAAGCGTAACAGCGCAACCGAGACACGGGGCAGCGGCTACGCGGATTCTATGAACACCGACGGACCCACGGAAGAGGATATAACGAGCGACACGGCCTTTCGCGAACGTTGACCCGAGATACAGTGTCCTAGGTCGTTGTCTTCCTCCTGAGTACTTGATATTTTATTAATTCATTCATCCATTTCCATCTTTACTTACATACTTCACTTTTTATAAATCTCTCTCTCTCTCTCTCTTTCTTACAATTTCCACTTCCTATTCCTTTTTCCTTGTGTGACAAGAGCTGGATATTAATATGCAAGATAAAGAAGACAATGGAATTAACATCAAATTCGAGAATGAGAGGAAGAAAGATTATAGGCTGGTGCCACAAAAGGATGTGAATTGTCTGAACGGGACCAACGGGAAAGGTAGATGTCCTTCCTATATGCTTTTTTTTCTTTTTTTTTTCAGTATTCAGCAAGTAAATGCAGTTCTCAACCATTGGCACGGTTTGATACGTAACATTGAATGATTCTAGATTCACCTTATACACGTTGCAATATACTGTTAAAATCTTGCTAACAGAAGTCAGTTTCAAGATACTTTGTATCTACAGATTATCTAAATATATTTTGTATTTGTCATAGCACTTGTTGAAAGTCTATGAGCGTACAGCGAGTGCGCTGTGCATTTTTAGATCACGTATATGTCACATGAATCAGCTAGTTGTTTATTTTTTACTTCTCGGTTCAAAATTTTCCTCAAAATTCCACTCGCAAATTTTCCACGTGTTCACGCACTGTGCAACAGTCACGCTATATGCGCATGCTCCTAGAGAAAAAGCGACGGCCAACCGAGAAATAATTTATTGACTGAAAGCTCCCTCATACCGTAATACACAATAGTCCATTAAATAACTCAACCGTGATGCGACTATTTTTATTTATTGTAAGCAATTGATAATGCTTATCTGAGTAATGCTAATTACTCGAGTAATTGCACGTCGCTCGCGAAGACTCGCAGTGTATTTATGACTGAGCTCTAGGGGAAGAAAAAGAAAAATATATCAAACAAGGAAAACTTATAAAATAATCTTGCGTCGTGTAATAGGAATATCAAATGATTCGACAAACTCCGGATAACACAACGTGCCAGTGTAAAACGGTTGACTTACTTTGCAACAAAGATTTACTGAAAAAATATATTAAGTATTAGCTTCTCGCTCAACATCTATAATCACGTATTGCTGCAAATTTAGAAACAAATAATGCCATACTCTTATCGTTTTGCAGACAATTTACATAATGCGTTGTTACTCTGTTGCTGTCATATTTAATAAACATGTTACTATCTGGAAAGCGATAAGAGAATATATGAAAAATTATTTATGATTCTGTGCCAGAAACAAAATCCACGTATAGCAGGAATATATTGAATGACAAGTAAATTTTGAAGAGGTATTACAAGTTGCTTGTCAATGAAGAATCATTTGGAATATGTCCAAGGGAAAAGTATAGATGCAGAAATGTATCGAGAACAGAGGTTATGCGCAAGCTTCGACCACAGCAGCCGACATTGCCTGGTGGCGCCTGGGTAAAACAATCAGTACTGACCAGGAAAGCGCGACGAGAGGGAATCCTGGTTGATTTCAAAGTATTTAATAATATTGCGAATACTAACCATATCACCTTCTCTAAGTAATAAGTGAGCTTCGTGGTTTATTTCCATAACACAGACTCCTGGGGAATCGAATTTCCCTCCTACAGGCGGCGACGCTCGATAATGCTTACCGTGAGGGTTTTCCATGGTTCAATAATAATACAGGGCCTCGCGAAGCTTCTGCTTGAAGATTGATACGTATCTGAACATATCGTATCACATTCGTTGCTCACGTATATGCTTTAACACCAAATAAATTCTTGTATACATCCTTGAATACGTTTTTACTTTATCACACTGCTCAGGATGTATGGATTGGTGGCGCTGATAGGATGCACGTGCACAGGAATACATGTCTAAATATTGGATCTGTATACGTACAGTACATGGTCAATAAAAGTCGAGTATTGACAGCATAATAATTCGTGTACATTTGGTGCATTGATGTTTTAAAAATATGAAATATTTAAATTGATTAAATTCACTTTTATGGGATATTGATCGATGAAGAACTTGTGTTTACTGGCAACAGGAATTTTGTATCCTTCCACATGTAGGATTGTGAAAAATTGCTCAATTGAGCAGACAATGCCGTATTTAGACGTTGCGCCGTGGGTGATACCAACCGTAAATTTACACTCTATTAGATATCCTATTTAACGGTCCATCAGTTGCATTATGGCTTTATTTTGAAATTTCACAGGATTTTGAGTAGGCAGATATAAAGTGTTGACGTTTGTCTAGGTATTTTGACAACTGTCAGTTGTATTTCGTTTGTGTATTAATTGACAACTTATTCAATGTCCATGGGCTTTTGAACAGTTTGTACTATAATATTGATCCAATATTTTGTTCTTTTTTGGATTTTACAAAAAACCGAAAAACGACTTTCATCCCTTGTTTGTATAGTCATTCACAACATATGAAATGGACACAGAACAATAAACTTTTTGAGAATATTTAAATCCATTTAAAAGCAATCAGTTAATAGCATTAAAAATCGCAGAGGATATTAAAAGTAGAAAAAAATCCTCTATGCAGCTCAAGAAAGACATTGTGAACGCTGCTTAATGTCACAAGCGCAGTGGAACGAGCCACGAGAGAACTAACCTGTTAGCAACGCGAAGCAGGGGGTTGAGTGGAACTTGAGGCTGCTGGAATAGTCAGAGAGGGTTTCGACGCCATGGAGACAGGGAAGTCGGGCGTCGCGACGCCCAGACGTCCTTCCTACTATTGCTCATGGTAAACTACACGAGAAGATGAGTCGTGCAGTGTCAGCAAGGAGAAATGACCAAGACTGCGCTTAGTAAGGAGCTAATTTTCAGCTTAAAGCACTATTTGATTTTTCTTCTTCACTCTTTCATCGTTATTAGTCGCAAAATATTCTCTTCATTTTCCTCTATACTCTGCCAATCAATATTATTCATCTTGTCGCGCCGCCACTGAATATTACATTCCTTGCACACCCAATTGTTTAACTTGACTATGCGCTTAAAAACATCTTTTGAAAATACATACACATGGCGATGAATTCATGAACAATGGAAATGAAATTAATAACGTGAAACTTTTATATCTATAGGTATAGATTCTATAGAATTTATACCCATTCAAAATTCAGTAGAATTTCGCTGGATGATTAGGACTTTTTCTCTATATGATATCACATCACTTGTACACTACTGATGACAAGAACAGACATTTCAGAGATTCTATATTTAACTGGAATTTCTCTCATTTTGAAAAGAACCCTTGACCCAGTCAGTTAATGAATTTTTAACAGGAATAATTCTCAACGGATCGATAACAGCTTTACATTGCTCCATATTTATATTTATCTCGTATCTCTCTCTCTCTCACACACACACACACACACACACTAAGTATCAATAAATTTATAACAATTGCCGATCTTCTTTCATTCCCAACAATCTCGTTATTGAATTTCAAAAAAATATTACATCTAGTAACTAATGCTGATAGGCTCCTTGATTCAAGAGTCCTCAGCTCTTATTTCTGACTTTAAATTAAGAACACGTGCTTGGCCATGTACAATTTCTCGTAGAATAGACAATGTTGCACACCAATCCACTTTCCCAGGATACTGTCAACCCTGACCTTTCATACAGCTTTAGTAAAACAATATGCATATTAATATAGTCGTCTGCCAGTACATTTTTTCATTACAATATATCCTAAAAGTACCCAATAGCAATTGGATGCTTTAATAAACATCTAACAAAAACCATACAGCATAAAGCATTCAAATATGTTTACAATAAGTTTCAGAAATATTCCTAAAAAGATTAGAAAATTTGTATAATATAAAAATAAAAAGAACTGAAAACACGTGTACGTCGTTTAGACTATTATGTATGTACGACGATACATACATATATATGTATATTCATATGAAAAGTTGATAGAATCATATAAACCAGTTTACTGTTTTTAAAATGACATAAATAATGGACAAACTTTAATTCACCCGTTATGCAATACACGAGCATCTCCTGCCTTTTGGTAGGAAATATCTTCATAGACAGTCATTGGCATTTCATGATTTAGGAATGTAGCATAAAAGAATACTTTTTGAAATGCTTTACTTTGATCTATATACATCATTCTGATACTCCTCCATTTACATAAACTGTTCTGGAGTATAAACTCCATATTGTTCCTTTGGGATTTTGCTGCTGGATATTATATGCTTATGATTACCTATATCCTGTCAATTGAATCACCCTGCTACTGTATATGCAAATATACACACACATATATAGCATTTAACGGTAACAATAGTATTTGGTAGTGACGCAAGTCCTTGATCTATCTGAAACGAAAAAACCAGTTCATTGATCAGACTCGAATAAAATATATAATTTCAAAATAGTTGCTACTCGGGTAAATGACGTTAGATATAATAACGCTGCGGATAAATTGACGTTTGGTGAAAAAATCATACATGAAAATGAAATACGAATATTTAGTTTTTGGGTCAGACAACAATTCTGTGAGTTGGCAACTCGACGAATTAGCGATATGGCAAGATATTGATTTGGCATACTAATGTATTTGGTGCCATATCGTTGCTCCTAATCTATTCGGATAGAGTACATATAAAAACTCCAGTGTCAACGTTATACAAAAAAAAACCTATTTTACATATAAGAAAAAACGTGGAATAAAGTATAGGTAACGGTTTCATGATCTCCGTCTTTCGACATGAAAGATTTACTTTCACGGTGGGAGATACTTATATGCTTTGAGACAAACAGATGTTGTACCTGTTAAATATATAAAGAGTACTGAAGTATGAATCAGTGCCAAAAATCTAGCTGTACCTGCCTCAGTTTTTACCACACGTATAGGACGAATGCGTGTATTGAATGAAGAATAACGTGAAAGTCGGCACCAGCTAAGAAAACAGAGAGAGATAAAATATAGATAAATTACTAAAGCGCTGTTAGAGGAATTAATGTAATGAAAGAAGAGCGACAAACTGACCGAATAGGTGGAGGATAGCCGACGCCCTAGAGTGGAATATTCCATGAGACGCTATGGAATAAACCCAAAGGCTCGTATCGTCGCGGGTGGTCGAGTTGCCAACGCGACTTGCGAATCTAAATATATTTATATGAATATTTTTTAGCATAGACATCCAGTTACAAGTGTGTTAATTTATTTTGTATTTTTTATAATAAAAATCTTGACACTCCATACTGTCTGGATCCATTGGCTAAAATTGTTACTGTATATAAACAGTTTTGATATTAGTCTAGGAAAAATTAAAAACAGTCAAGTTTCACGAAATTGTACACCTTTGGAACAACATGGTAAACGAGTCATGAACAATGGCTTCAGTCTTCTGGATATAATCAATTTTATCAGTTATCTAGAGAACCAAAGTGTTTTCAGCAGGAATACGACACGTGTGGTATATTTAATCTGAAGTGTTTCTAGTCGAGATAAACTCATGAAACCTTTAAAAAAAATGTCACGAGTGAGTGGTCCTGATAATATTTTAAAGATGAAAATATCAAAATTTGATTCGACACTCTTAAAATCTATTTTACAAACTCCCAACTCGTGGGCTTCGGTTACGACAAGGGAGTATTGTATGCTGTTTGATGGTGAATATATTTATATTTATTCTAGCAATGGCTAATTTTATATTCTTATTTCTAATTCGAGAAACTGATAAGATACGATTAAATTCGCACGCATATGGTGACTATATCGGGTAACTTATGTCTGATTAGCGTCACACAAGGTCAACTGACTTCCTGAGTTCAACACGCGGATATTGTGGATAAATGTGCTCTTTATATTCGCACAGTGAATATATCTATATAGAGTTCTTCACCCAAACGTACCATGTATATGTATATATACATATATGTTGTTCAGAAAGTTCCTAGTGATTTGCAACATATGTCGTAGTCAGAATTCTCGTTAATAGTCTATATGAATTTTCTGACAATCCAATGTTGATACATATGTTACTAATGAATATTGACATAAGGTATATAGAATAACTTGAAGTATGTCGATATTATTTAATAAGACAGTACGAAAGCGATTGATCGATGGAGCTGTATTATTAGTTTTATAGGATAATGACAGGGCAAATAACCTAAAGGGATAATTCCTATTAATTAATAAAGATGTCTTCTAATTTTGAAAATCATAAAGCAGTATTTTAATAAAAAATGACAGAACGGTGTTCACCATGTGGAAACGTACGTTATCGGATCGAAAAGGCTAGACAGGAAAATATCAAACAGGAAAACTTGTTGGATCGTTCAAAAAACGTTCGAGCTAGTCATTCGACACAACAACTAATAAATTTGGAACGAGGATTTAAAGGAAATTTATTAATTACTGATCAGCAGGATATACTGATAAGAAGGAATGGAAAACGTATTGACAGATCCACTACGATAGAGTTAAAGGACAGAACTGCAGTCCTGTTAAATTGGTGCAAATGTCAGTTGACGTCAGTGCCAAAGAAAGCTAGTTATATAATTTTTGCAGCCTTTGGACTCTGTGCTCTATGGCTGATTTATAATGAACTGTCGACGTGCTTCACTAATTTCTTTTGGAACGTTGTGTACTCCATTCTTGGAATTTTTACAAGCTCTGTCACACTCTTTCTTGTTTGCATGGTAGATGCGACAGAGACCAGAGAAGAAACTATTCTGTACACTGAGTGACCAGGAGAAAAATATTGAAATAAAAATTTAATTACTCTCTAAATTTCTAAACCCTGATCTACTTGAATATATCTTATCTTTAAATTGGAGTTACTGATCGAACAATGGATACTTCAATACTTTGTTAGTGAGAGATTAAGAGGATAATATAGATGCTCAAGGAATAACAATCGGATAAGCAAACTGTTGTATAATCGGATTGCTTGATAACTGCTTTGGATTTGTTAAATATTCTTAGGAGATTATAAATGCGAGAAAGAACTGACAAAAGAAGCTGGTAGTATAATGTGATTGTGACGAGGCCAAAAGACTGGCCAGAAATGGAAATTGGTTGAACTTGAGGTACGGTAGCGAGCTGGTCGATAATAAAAAAAGAAAGGTCTTTGTGGTAGCCAGTCTTGTCGCTTATGTCATTCTATTCATTCTCCACGTGACATATTATGCAATGGCGTGAAACGTGCGTATATCTCGTTATCATGTACGAACCTGTCTGTTTATTTGCAATGTATTTATCGTTAGCCATGGGCGAACGCAGAAAAGGCCACTAGAAAAATTTCCACTGTGCAAATTTTAGTTCTACGACCTGGTTTAGCTGTTCGTGACCTTAAGGCGAAAACGTGAGTTTATCATGGTAGATAACTTTTATAGCTGACAAAGGCAAAACTTTCTCTAATCACGTTACTACCCAAGATGAATAAGATAAAAATATGCTAATCATTGTAAGATAAATAATATTTTCTCTAAAGCATTGTATTTAGCAAGTATTGCCGTTTCGTGAGAAATCCTTCAATGCTATTATACCATATTATATGCAATGTATATTGCATTAAGAATTTTGTTGATTTAGATATTCCACTAGTCGTAGAACTTCTTTCTATTGTGATGTTCTATCGTTTGAATTACATGCATTCTTATGTGGACATCTATATATTTTTAAACACACTATTATCATGCTTACTTATAATAAGCAGGCCGATAACCAATGATCAAAGATCAATCATATTGATTGGTACGCAGACACTTTAGATTTAAGATTTGCTCCAGGGCATATCGCCAATTTGCCATTGTTTGGCAAATGAACTCGAGAGACAATTGCAAATGGACATTGATCCCTCGCATTACATGCTTGTCAGCCTGACAAGCGATATTTAAGAATAGCTTTACTTATAATTAAATGTACCTATTCTTATCGCGTTTGCCGACAAGCTGCTAACTTGTACACACTCAAAATTCAAAGCTTCGATATTCTTTAATTTATTCTTTGGTAGTTTACGACATTGTGAAATGCAAAAAGACTCCTTGAAGTTTTGTAATAGTGTCAATTAAATGGAATACAATTGTTTTATCATGTCAATTTATTCAAAAGGTTAAATCTCAAGGAGACAGGAGCTCTGAAATATGAAACCTGCTAGAAATACCACAGCAGACAAATTCTGAATAATTTTTGAATCTCATGTTATTCGTTAATTGTGGAATACGCATGCAATTATCAGGAACGTGATAGCCAATCTTTTAACTCGCACAATGTCACCTTCGTCTCTTTGGCTGTTTTTCATTTTCTAAGCATAATGCCGTCTCCTCATTGACAAGGAAGCTTCTATGAATCAGAGTCAGTTCTGTCAAAAAACTATACAAGTTCCTGTCCCATTCTCTTGTAGTATCATACATATAGATATAACAGTTGAACAGATTTCTACAACAGAATGGAACAGAAATTTGTAAGACTTGCCAAAGTATTTAGCGGAGAAAACTTTACAATGTAACTTTTAAGTCTGCATTATCTTTGAGACAACGTTGTTGAATTAATTCCTATTTTTTCAATTTCCAGTTAAAAATGTCGTGACGGAGGGGCAGCTCGTACCACCTGATGGAGGATGGGGTTGGCTCGTGCTCTTGGCATCCGTCATGGTAAACGTTCTCATCCCGGGAACAGTCAAATCCTTTGGAGTTCTGATGATCGATTTCCTTGAGGCATTCGAAGTGTCACATGCAACAGCTGCCTGGATTCCCGCTCTCTGTTATTTTTTCTATAGTTCCCTGGGTAATAATATATCAGCATTAAATTATTCATTATAACATAATAAGGAAATATTGTGTTTCTAAAACTAATAATGCAATCTTACGTTTTTCCACAGGTCCTCTATCAAGTATTCTTTCAGTTAAATACTCGTATCGCACGGTGACTCTTATCGGTGGTACATTTGCAGCCGTGGGAATGATGTTGAGCTACTTTGCAAATTCTATTGGTTTTTTATGTGTTAGGTAAATAGAAAAACGAAATTTATAATTTATTATTAAATCGAAACAATATATTTTACTTTTACAAATACTTTCAGCTATGGAGTCTTGGTAGGCACAGGAGCCGGATTGTCATTTCCGCCAACAGTCTACATAGTCACGTCCTACTTTGAAAGGTTGAGGGGATTAGCTAACGGACTTTGTATTTCCGGAAGTGCCCTTGGCTCCATAATCTTACCCCCCGTTCTGGGCATTCTTCTTCAAGAACACGGATACAGGTAACTTCAGTTACCATTGACAGTTGATAATGTTTGGTATGTATACAAATCTTGAATAATTTTATGCTTCAGAGGAACCGTATTAATAATGGGTGCCGTGACATTAAACGTATGGGCCAGTGCGTTACTATACGAACCAGTGGAGAAACACATGAAATTAGTCCCGGTCGTCGAAAATCCTGAATCCCAGAAAAGCATAGATGCAGTATCTATAAAAGTGATGAGTCCAGACGAGGAAAGGAAGCTAAACAGCCCTCTAATAATCTCAAATTCAAACGGCAAGGCTGCACCCATAGTACCAAAAAGTGCTTCCAGCGTAGCGCTGGAGAACTATAGGAACACACCTATCCAGGGTAGAACCAGGAAGATCAGTGTACCCAGTGGACGGGATATAGCTGGACAAATGCATAGCACACCAGCACTTTATGCAGTCCCAGAACGTGGTGGCTTTGAGAGTGGAAAACTTTCCAGGAGAAGAGCTCCAGCACAATCACCGAGTGCATCGTCGTTTAACTACATCAGTACACCATACCATGGAAGCACGCTATCAGCCCTTCACCCAGAATACGCTTCCACTTTGACTCTGAACGCCATCTCCAGCACCTTCAAGAAGTCGCCAAAGAAGACAATCACGGAGAACGACGAGCCTCAGAATAAGTTCTTCGACTTCAGTCTTCTCAAGGATCCAATTTACCTTGTTATTCTCATCTCAAATTCGACTAACGCTGTGAGCTACACGAACTTCGTCATCCTTTTGCCTGTTTACGCCAACTCTTTGGGCTTCGACAAGAAAATGTCCTCTCTACTGTTGTCAACGGTCTCTGTACTCGATCTCATTGGCCGTATAGGAGGATCCGCACTATCCGATGTGAAGATAATACCTAAACATTGGTACTTTGTTGGTGGTTTATTCGTCTCGGGAATATCTCTGGCGATACTTCCAGTAGCTACTTCTTACGTTATGCTCTCGGTCTACTGTGGCATTTTCGGATTGGCTTCTGGTATCTATGTTGGCATAACTGCTGTTATCATGGCTGATATGCTGGGACCTGAAAAGCTTACGTCATCTTACGGGATATCTCTTTTCGTTAATGGAATCATACAGCTCGTCGGTCCACCGATATGTGGTTTAATTTTTGAGCAGATTGGAGATTATGGACCCATATTTAGTATTCTAGGGATCATCCTCGTCGCCGGTGCTTCCCTCTGGGGCTTCGTGCCCTTTATAAAAAGACGACAGAACGCTATACAGACCGCTGCCAGTGTCGAGAAGTTATAGCGAATCCTTTTAGATTATTAAAATGTATTCCTTGATCTTACACTATTATCTACAGATCAATCTCCATTACATTATTTCCCATTCATTCCCAAATTCACATTTAACAAACACAAAGCGTTTCCAGTCTATAATTATGGGAATTCTACGTGTCTCTTTTACCTTGACTAAAGGACAGATCCTTGAGAATTATTTATTACCAGAAGACAGTCGGCATAAATCATTTATTCGAACCAATTACCCTGTTGCGAGTTCTACTATAATATTAGATAAAGAAGAGGGACAGTTAAGTGAAAAAGAAATATATAAAAGAACAAAAAAAGATAAAGTCAAGATCTCATTACACGATGTCACGATACGCTTAAGAGAGCAAGAAGGATTTTATTTGTAAACAATGTGAAACAAGGAATTTACAAGTCTTTTATGCCAGAGATGTACTCTGCAATAAGATTTGAGACGAAGAGTTGTTCGAATGTAAAATGAAAAGACATAGATTGGTCGTATCTAAGAAGAGGCCTTTCTTGAATGCAATTAATTCATCTGCGTTAATATTATTGCCAGTCAATTATGCTTAAAGAATCCAAATTTAGTAGAAAAACATTGGCCCAAGTTTTTTTTCACTTAGTAAAACCAATGACAAGCTTGTTTTTTAGACATAATCTTCATCGACTTTGTCAAAAGGACCCTGAATTATTAATAGGGATACTCCAAAGAAAAAAAAAATGAAAATGGATAATTGAAAATATGAAAATGACACTCTGTCGCGGACCGACGAATTCTCTAGGAAAAGTATTCTTGCCTTATAAAATATAGGGATATTTAAAAAAGGAATAATAAAAATGACTGCGATTACCACAGTACAATCAAATTTTCGGCTGCGGGGCATGCATAATTTTTTTTTTTTAAATGTACTTAGTATTTTATCAGCACAAATGGTACCGCACCGGTAATCGCAGTATGATTCTTTAATTATTACATACGATTAAATAAGTTACTTTTGTAAGACTATTTTCCACTGGCAAACAAGGTGGGATGGTTCTATGGTTATATGCAATGTCAAAAGTATATAGGAGACAAAATAATAGAGGATCTGGAATATCAGGATTGAACGTAAAAGAGAAAAAGAGAGGGACAGTATCGTTATCATTGAATGTGAGTCCGTCGGTGCAAGAGCTCTAAATATTTTAGAAAATGCTCTTAGTACTTGGTGCGAATAGTAGGACTACAGTATTTTATAAATTATTTTGTATCACGTAGTCACTCGGTGTATCATAATATTGAAAAATGAGATAACGGTATTAAGGAAACTTATGTATTCTTTACCGTATTTCTATCATCTTCATCTTATAATTAGGGTCAATACTTCAAGTAGGCGATTCATTGTCGCATACATGCAATATTGACTGAAGATATCAGAATGTTCTGGATTGTAGACATTTACTTGTATGTAAGGAACGAATCGTGCAGATTTGCGAATGAGAAATATACACTAAAGAGAATTAATTATCCTTTATCACGTTTATTAACTCCTGCTTATCATTCGTTTGTATCCTCTTATCATATACAATTTTATATTCTAGCTAATTTGTATCAGTGTGCAGGTAATTTTTGCATTCGCATCGCTTGCAAACTGTTTTGTAAAAGATATATTCGTAATTACAGGATATTGAGATCTGACACAGCGACACAGAGTCTCAAGACCATAAGGTAAAATAATTGTGAATGAAACAAAGAAAAATAAATATTAATTTCTAGACATCGGATTAGCTAAGAGATAAATAAAGAAACAGAAAAATATTGGGTATGCTTCGCAGCAGTTTATGGATTCGAGAAATTCATGACCGATGAATGCTTGAGGAGTTAACATTTATTGGAAATATCACGAATTCTTTAAGATATTAGTTTGGCACTTTGCTACTTCATATCTGTGCACGAGGATATTAAATTTGCTGCAAATACTGAAATTCTGATTTGGACGATTAAATCATTTCACTTTGCAGTTTCGTCGCGCACTTTTACAAGCGCAAATTACAAACTGTCATTCCTGGTATATCTACTGTCATACGGGAAACAAATATACAGATGGTAATAGAAGTGCTAAATATCACATTCAATATCATAGCACTAATTTATACGTGGGTATTTCTAAGTACCACGACTGTAGGAACACCTGAATCGAATAGACTTGCTAAATGCGAAACTGTCTACCCAAGAATTAAAGTTATGAACTGCCCTTATCTATTATCGACAGGTTGCAAGCGAGAGGCAAACACGTACACTCGTCCCTAAATATTTACACAACTATAATAAGTCACAGAATCGATCAATTAACCACGGATAGTAACGATATTCGCAAATTTGTCTAACATCTTAATAATAATTACAGCAAAGTACAATACAGCGTATCGTCGTCAATGTCACGAGAAATTCTAATAGACATTTTACATGATAGTTTACTTACAACATTATTCAATTTACGCGAGCAATTTTGCAGAATAATACAACGGACTCAGGCTGGTTTCCAGGCAACGATGCCCATCTTATTATTCAGTTCTTGTAAAATAAGAGAACACGTAAGCTGTTTGTCAGGAGATAGTCCACTAACACCTTCCATTTCATCGTCATCATCCCCAGCACCGCTGCTACCACCACCTTTGCCCTTGCCCTTCCCTTTCCGCTTCTTCTTCTTATTTAATTGTCTACAGTCAATGTCGTTTCCAGTTTCAGCAGCTCTTTTTTTCTGACACACAAATCATCAGTTACATTTGATGCTTAAGAATAAGTATGGAATAATCATGAAGCAAACCTTGGCACTTTGTTTTGTTTGTTTGTCATATTCCAATGCATCATAGTAATTTGGTTTCTCCCGCTTTATGCGGTTTGTTCTTCGAGTCTTCATAACACCACCATCGGGGCTTGGTGGACTCTTGATTGAACTTCGTCGAGCATTGAAAAATGAATGTCCGCAAGGACAAGCCTTACAAGCTACAGGGACCTGCAATCATAACATACAGCTATATAATTACCAGTTCAATGAAAAACAAGGAAATAAGTGTATTGATATTACTAATATCAAAATATTTCAAAGTTTTACTACAATCAAAGCATTGATAAAAGAAAATTTAGACTTAAAAAGGGTAACATTATCACTACTAAACGTCAAATAGTTGAAAAACCATTTTCCGCTAAACCTAAACTCTTGCTATTATATAGGTTAGAGAAGCAAACAAGTGCGTTAAGCATTACCTGCTGTTCACACTTTGGACAAACTTTACTGATGGTTTTAGTTTTCGCCATATTGAAGTAAATAAATTTCTATTGTATTCCACTCATTGTTTATTAACAAACGAAATTAACTCTTGATAATTAAACAATGATACAAAATTGCTCTTGAATTTCAGAATTACGTAGAACACATAGGTATATCACAGCTACTAATGAATGCAGGCGTTATCATTTCAAAATACTGTACATAGCATTGGTCAAAATACTTGCAATTGCGTTCATAAAAGTGACTAAAATCGAAAACATTGGAAAATTATAAGACGTTTAAAGTCGACTTACCTAACGGATGATTTCTCCTCCCTTACGGGAGGAGAATCTTCTTCCCTTGAGAGTTTTCTTTCGAATGAACAAATCAGAGCAGATTCAAAATCACTTATCCCCCAAGAAGCCTAAATCTTCACAAATCCTACAACCGTTTACAGCGCCAAGGACAGTTTTTATAATTTTAAGATTGTACGATTTCATTATACTAAATTTTGTTTACCTTATTCACATCACAATTAATATATACGGACTATCTTTCTATTTAATTCAATTTCGCTTATCCTACATTTCAAAGGATATTTGACATTTTCTATTTCGTATACAGATATCAAGAAAACAATAAGTCTCAAATGGCGGTTAAACTAAATCTCATTTAAAAGTACACTGTATGAAATATACATTAACAATTAATATTACAAAATATACATTATTTCGCGGATGAAAAAATTAATATTTTTATTTATTATGTTCCTACATTCATTATATTTTAATAGAACCTTGTCAATGATTTCTTTTTTGAGCAGGGAAAAAGAATAATTCAATGACTAATATTTGATATAGCCATTCATAGTCATTATAAGAATGTTGATCAGCAATTTGTCATGTCAATGAAAAATTGCAGATTATATAAATTATTTATTACATTCACTATCTTTATAATTCATGGACAAATCTAAAAATTTATTCATAACTTTGCCAATCAAAGATTTTTTAAGTGTTACTAAAAGTCAAAACAAGTGCAACCAATGCAACAAGATGAAGAAATATAAGTTATTAGAATCGTTTTATATCTAAAGGGATAAGAGGAAATAGAGAAGAATACCCCATATCAGAAGAGTAATAGCGAAAGCGTCGAAAATGCGCAGCATCCGAATGGATCAATGAGTTTCCTAAGCGCACGTCTCTACCGCTCCTCTCGCACTCACTGTTTCTGTTCATCTTGTTTGGGCTTGGCCGCTTTTGTCATCTCCCATAATTGATAAAAACTATCAAAAAATAACGCGAGATGAATTGTGGAATCTAATATGTAATTGCGGCTGCAGGATCCTAGGGGTTGGAGAACAATGGTAAGAACATCATCTAGTTATGTTACTATAGTTAAGAAGTGACATATATTTTCTACATTTTTGAACGTCATTCTATTTGATATTATAGAAGTTTAATATATTCACCCAATATATCCATATATTTGAATAAAAAATATATTTTTCCTTACCCTAGGGTGGAGGACAACACCCCAGAATGGATTCCTTTAAAAGAATATTACTGTATAAATTTGCAATATTGCAAATATACATCACCATCATTGCAGCAGACCGTTCCCCTTCTTACGAAAATCCTAAATACTTCAATATCGGTGGAGTCCTTTCTAACAACCAGAGCGAAGCACACTTCAATGAGACCATCGATGTAAGCCATGAAATATATCATTCTTTGAAGTTTATTAAGTGCAAAGCAATAAACTTTTCGCTAAGAAAATTGTCTTATTTTTACAGCATCTAAATTTTGATTCTCAATATGTTAATAAAGGAGTGACATATTATCACACAGTCATAGAAATGGATTCAAATCCAATAAGAACTGCACTGAGTGTCTGCAATTCTCTAATTGCTAGAAGAGTCTATGCAGTTGTAGTATCCCATCCTTTAACAGGGGATTTATCACCAGCTGCGGTATCATACACAAGTGGATTCTATCATATACCAGTCATAGGGATATCATCGAGAGATTCAGCATTCTCAGACAAAGTATGTAGTAAATATTATTCATATGTAAGTACCCCACTAATTTATTACAAAATCATTACAGAACATTCATGTCTCCTTCCTAAGAACTGTACCACCATACTCGCATCAGGCTGACGTTTGGGTAGAATTATTGAAACACTTCAACTATATGAAAGTCATCTTCATCCACAGTTCAGACACCGACGGCAGGGCTTTACTTGGTCGGTTTCAAACTACCTCACAAAGTTTGGAGGACGACGTGGAGATCAAAGTACATGTGGGTTGCGCACTCTCCTTCGCATGAGTTCAGATTTACAATGTCATAGATCGTTTGCACGCTTTATGCTGTTGTGGTGGCCATTGGATATCCACTCCTTTATTTTACCTGTTATGAAAAGATGGTTTAATTTTAAAAACCATCGAATGACTAACAAGGAAGTGGATGACAATTTGGTGCAACCAAATACGTTCGTTACTGGCGATTGGCAAGTAAGTTTCTAAATGTTTGATTTAAAAAAAAAAAGAATACGTAAACTTGGCTCTTATCGGAGTAACGAACGATTCTATCATATTTCTGCATGAAGCAGCTGATTGGATTTAGAGTGATGATACGAGTCGTGAATGAAAATTATCAAATTTTGTAAACATGTCTTTCTTCTCTTGCCATTGGTCTCATGCTATCATCTCATAATGTGTAGTACTTAATGACTTCTAAATCTACCGAATAATCGAACTTCCTAATATTACCGGTAAGTATGCTACTGATAAATACTACCTTCTAAAGGAATTTATTAATTTAATTAAACTGATACACTAACAGCAACTGTCTTGATTTAGTTGTCTGTCCTTAGAAATATGTTGGTAAACTGTGTTGTACGAATGTCTATTGTTCTAGCAACCCTCTGAAAAAAATGTGCATCCATAATCAAAGTCCAACTATTCCTAAAAAGTTATAATCAATGGTATATAAGCTGAAACTATTTTAAAGTTTCAAACAAGCATGTAATGTCCAGTGCATATATAAAATTAAAAGAAAACGACTAAACAAAAGCAATTGTAGAACTTGATCAAATCCTCCATATAAAGTACTTGTATATTTTCTAGGCAATTACACTGTAAGAAATAAACTAATTCTAAGTGTTCGGGTACAGGTGGAATCCGTTATTGAATTCGAACCAGGTTTGGAGAGTTTTACAAAACAACTCATGGATATGAAAAGTGCCCAAGCCAGGGTCTGTCTTATGTATGCCTCGTAAGTATAATAGCAGAGTAACAAGGAAAAACTATAATTTCCATTATAGAATGGATATCAAAACAATTGGATTTTCTATTGGCAGGAAGACGGACGCCAGAGTCATCTTCAGAGATGCAGCTGCTTTGAACATGACTGGTTCTGGATATGTATGGATTGTGACTGAACAAGCTTTGGAAGCACCAAATGTTCCAGAAGGGCTTTTGGGCCTGAAACTAATAAATGCCACAAAGGAAAAGGCTCACATAAAGGACAGCCTGTAGGTCTAAAAATATTGAATGAGAGAATTTTTTCAGAGGATATGGTATTTAATTTTTCAAATATTTCAAGGTACGTTTTGGTCTCTGCTCTAAGAGATATGAATGAAACGGAGCACATTACTGAGGCACCTAAGGACTGCGATAACTCTGGTTCTATTTGGGAAACTGGCAAGAAGCTCTTTGAGTAAGTTCAGAAATTAAAAAGACATTGTTCGTCAGCTTCATTACAATATTAATTTTCCTTTTAGTTACATAAGACGTCAAGTTTTACCAAACGGAGCAACTGGCAGAGTCGCCTTTGATGACAACGGAGACAGAATTTTTGCAGAGTACGACGTTATAAATATTAAAAATGATGAGCAAGTATCTGTTGGCCAGTACTTTTATTGTCCTGTAAGTATACACAGTGAGAAATAAGTTAATTTGAATGTTTACCTTATAAATAAATATTCCTATAGAATATCAGCAAGATGCGATTGCGCCTAGAGGAGAACAATATCACCTGGCCAGGCGGTTTACGAACCAAACCAGAAGGTTTTATGATTCCAACACATTTAAAAGTTTTAACCATAGAAGAAAAACCATTTGTCTATGTCAGAGAACCTCTGGACAATGAGTGGTGTCAACCTGATGAGATTCCTTGTCCCCATTTTAATACAACCCAGTATGAAAGTCAGTAAATCAATTACAACCATAGCACGCCTAAACAAACCTCCTATTTCTAAATAACAAAAACTACTCAATTTTTATTTTAGACACACGTATATTTTGCTGCAAAGGCTACTGTATTGATTTACTAAAAGCATTATCAAAAACCACAAACTTTACATACAGTCTTGCCCTGTCTCCGGATGGCCAATTTGGAAATTATATGATCAAGAATAGTTCTGGTAAGACGTTACTCTATACAGGATTGAAACAAAGTATCTATAAAGTCTAGTGGAGATTCGAAGAAATAAATTACAGGTGGAGGAAAGAAAGAATGGACTGGCCTCATTGGTGAGCTCGTAAACGAAAGAGCTGATATGATAGTAGCACCATTAACAATAAATCCAGAGCGTGCCGAGTTCATAGAATTTAGCAAACCATTCAAATACCAGGGTATCACCATCCTCGAGAAGAAAGTACATAGAGAAAACACATGATAAATAATCACTCAATACTTTCTCTATGTAATAATTTTAACTATTTAGCCGTCTAGGTCATCTACTTTGGTCTCTTTCCTGCAACCGTTCAGCAATACTCTGTGGATCTTGGTGATGGTGTCGGTGCACGTGGTCGCACTAGTTCTGTACCTCCTCGACCGGTTCTCGCCTTTCGGGAGGTTCAAGCTAGCCAACACTGACGGCACCGAGGAAGATGCACTGAACCTGTCCAGTGCGATATGGTTCGCCTGGGGAGTTTTACTCAACAGTGGAATAGGAGAAGGTTTCTATGTTTAGAAATAGTCTTTTTTCTTATAACTGATAGGCTTTATATAAAGTGTGTTAAATCGTTATCATATTCTATATTAATTAAAGGAACACCCAGAAGCTTCTCTGCTCGTGTACTCGGTATGGTTTGGGCTGGATTTGCTATGATCATTGTGGCATCTTACACTGCCAACTTAGCAGCTTTTCTCGTGTTGGAAAGACCTAAGACGAAATTAACTGGAATTAATGATGCTAGGGTAAGTAAAATAAATGAATTCACGCTATAAATTGTTAATTGAATTTTTATGATTTTAGCTAAGAAATACTATGGAGAATTTAACTTGTGCTACTGTCAAGGGTTCTGCTGTAGACATGTATTTCAGAAGACAGGTGGAATTGTCAAATATGTATCGTACTATGGAAGCAAATAACTATGATACTGCGGAGGAAGCTATTCACGATGTCAAAATAGGGTATAATAATATTAAAAATTTGATCTCATACCCTTTGATCTCATATAAATACGTAAAATTTGTATTGGATTTACTTATAGGAAGCTTATGGCATTTATATGGGACAGTTCGCGATTGGAATTTGAGGCTGCTCAGGATTGTGAATTAGTAACTGCTGGTGAATTGTTTGGCCGTTCAGGATATGGAATCGGTCTACAGAAAGGATCGCCCTGGGCGGATGCAGTGACTTTAGCTATACTGGACTTTCACGAGAGTAAGTCTAGCAGAAACAGTTTCAAGATATTAAATATAATATATTGTTTCGATGTTATTAGGTGGTTTTATGGAAGAGTTGGATCATCACTGGATATTACAAAGAAATGTTCAGCAGTGTGAACAGAATGAAAAGACACCAAATACTTTGGGATTGAAGAATATGGCTGGAGTATTTATACTGGTCGGTGCAGGGATAGTAGGTGGTATAGGACTGATTATAATAGAAATGGCCTATAAGAAGCATCAGATTCGTAAACAGAAAAAATTGGAGTTAGCAAGGCACGCTGCTGACAAATGGCGAGGAGCTATCGAGGTAAAGCAATTAAAAATAGTTCTTCGAAAGAATTTCTCCAAGATCCTGATTTTTTTTTAAAAGTATTACATTTCTTTCTGGCGACCAGGGTGACGAGGTACTCCAGTAACATTTGATTCACAAAGCTATCTTCATAGCACAGAGTAGAAATGCCATTCTAAGCACATTAGCTAATCGATTGATTCTCTTTATTTATTAATTTTATGAAAGTTGTCTTTCTAGGATTTTCCCTTTGCTAAATATCCAGTAAATCGATTCTAATATGTTATTAATTATTAACTTAGTGCCATTATACTTTGAGTTACAAATAGTAAATCTAGCAAATTAATTATGTACATGATATTATTTTTCTGGCTTGGCACAGCACTGCTTGCTGTACTATTAAAAATAATAGTAGGGTAGCATTGATTTTATAATACAACGAAAAGACTCGTAACAAAAAAAGAAATAATAGAGCAATTACAAGATGAGATTTTAGCAAAATCTGGTTAAAGTTTCAAAAACAAAAATAATGCTGAAAGACTATCGCGAAAGTATATTTGAGTTTTTTTTGTTAAAACGAAGCTTTGCGCTCATTTCGCTAAGCGTGTCATTTTTTAGAGAGCTAAGAATGAGAATGAAAAATCATACTTCCTTCTCGACTAAGCAGTCTGTAAATACATTTGATTCTAGAAACGCAAAACATTGCGAGCTTCCATAGCAGCTCAGCGAAGAATTCAAAGCAATGGCTTAAATGATCCTACAACAGTTAGCTTAGCAGTTGACACGGTTGCTAGGACGAGTTTGGCACCAAGAAGTCCTGGACGGGCTTGGCCTGGTGATAGTGACATTAGACAACGACCTTTGTCAAGAGCTGATGACATTAGATTGTCACCTGCTGCCTACACTGCCGACGTATCACATCTTATTGTATAGAGATTCTAAACTTTTCTATCAAGTAACTTATCTCATTATCACTACTATGCACTCCCTTATTATATTTGGTTTTCCTACAATTAAGAGATAGACGTAAGATATCTTTCTTTCTTTATGAAATCAGTTTGGCATTATAATGAAATCAATGGGACTTACCGAACCAGTATTATGAGGCTTTGTCAAACTGTTGACATTACGACAGTGACAAAGCTCGTATTTAGTAGTAATAAATTGTGCCAAGTGTTTAAACTTAAGAAGACACATGCTTGGAATGAATGCATAATAATTTCTAGTCTAAGAGATAGTTGTGATCTCTTAATTAATCTAATTATTGAACAAAAGCTAAGAATTAAATAGGAATAGAAGGAGAGAGTCCTATGTGTTGATAGAATCAGGCTTTTTCAGGAATATAAGACGAAGACGATGAATGAGTGACACTGTATGACAAGTATCAATATTGAAAATGTACTATTAAGCTAGTCGATACAATGATCTCATAGTGTTAATAATGAAAGAGTGACTATTAAGGTTATATTATGTTAATGAATGACAAAATTGATATATGCATATGATAAAGGAATAGAAATATACAGTACCAGTGTCACTAAAGGAATATGATATTTCTAATCCTATGGTTAACCATTAAGAAGTTAACTACTATGTACTAGAATGCACAGCGAATAGTTATGTCGTTGTTACCTGTACTTCGATTGTTTATTGTTTAAAAAAAAATAAAAATGATATAAGTTAAAAACGTCTTCAATATGATAATTGCCTTAATTTTTTTTTTTTAATTCTTTATTGGCATCTTATGAATCAGTAGTTGATTTAAGTTCCAATCCATGAACATTTGTTCCATTACATCAGTTTACGGTATTCCAGAAATTAATAAAATTCACATTATCCCATATAGTACATTAAGAATTCGTGATTATTCAAGACGTATGTATAATTTCACGAAATACATTTGCGACCCTCAGAAAGAAAATATGTATAAATATATTTTTAATTGTTTCTTTTGTAATATGTACAAAACGAATTCCTATTGTCAAATACCACTAACCAGATTGGAAATATATCTGTTGACATTTGCTTAAATATTTTCACTTTCTTTCAAATGTATTTAGAAATTGATAACGATAAATGATTATAAATCATTAGAAATTACTGCTTTTTACTGGGAAATTGAAAAACGGTCGAAGTTATGTGAAAGTCAATCGCGAATGTTTGTACAAAAAAAAAACAGAAAACAATGGATATCCAAGTAGAATCGCAAGATATTTTTCATATTATATACTGTAAATACCTTAACGGTATTACCTGAGCCGTGCCTGAACCTCTGCATTTTATTCCTCCAGGAAGAAATATTGTCCTGCTCTTTTCTGCTCCAAGTCCTATAAGAAAAATATTCGCAGTTGCTCGTTAACACTCCGAATTAAAAACAAGGCTGAAATATTAACAGATAACCTCGCTCTCACCTTCACCGACTGATTCTTATTGATTCGTGGCCTAAAGTTGTTCGGATCTCTCCTAAAGGTAATACCTAGAAGCTCCAGGAAGCGATTCATTCCGTTCAGCAGAGACTGAGGACAGTGTGCCGTAGTCTCCAAGGAAGGCGTACCAGAGAATACAATGACACGGTCAGCCAAATAAGTAGCCATGATGAAATCGTGCTCCACTACAAATCCAGTCTTTTTAGCGTGTAGGATAAACCTGCAATAAGAAAAATGATGATCCAACATGAAGATAATCTTCGTTGTGCACTAAGGGTTGTTTTCGGTACATTATTTCTGACTTGCCTTTTTATTACTTTAGCAGAGACTAAACGCTGCTCGGAATCCAAATAAGCAGATGGCTCATCAATTAGATAGACATCAGCTGGTTTTCCGAGGCAGAGCGCCATTGCTACACGCTGCAATTCACCACCAGAAAGATTTTGCACTTCTTGATCCATGATATCGTCGATTTTCAATGGTTTCATTACATCAGTGATAAATTGAGGATGAATGTAAGCGTCTCTTATTTTTTCGTGCAACAGTTGTCTAACTATACCCTGAGATTTTGGACTGATCTTCTGGGGCTTGTAACTGATGTGCAACTGAGGAATATTGCCTGTAGAAAAATTAAGATTTTCAGGATAGAAACCTAAGATTATTTTTCTCTTATTTATTTCCTACAGAAAAAAATCCTGTGGAAAGGGGTTAATTACTGTTTGTTGGATTTAGAGTAAATCTTACCAGAGCCGTCATCGGGAGGAAGATTTCCAGCAAGCATCCTAATGAAGGTAGTCTTTCCAGTTCCATTTTCTCCAAGTAAAACAAGGATTTCGGAATCCGTAAATTGACCTTTTTCCACATTTAACGTAAAGGATCCCATAGTCTTACTCATTGCTGGATATTCATAGTGATTCATTCGTTTTACTTCTTCCTCAGTAGCACTCTCTGCTACCTTGAAGACCAGAGATTCCTCGCGGAAGCGCAAATTCTCAGTAGGAACGAAACCGTCGAGGAAAATGTTTATACCTTCGCGAACAGAAAAGGGCATAGTGACTACACCATAGGCACCAGGTACTCCATACAGGCAGCAAATAAAATCCGACAGGTAATCCAATACTGACAAGTCGTGTTCAACGACTATGATAAACCTAGTAAACAGAGACGCAATAGAAGTAAACGTAGTAAAATACGTCTTCGGGAAGTAATTTATTAATTTCATGTGATTTACTTGTCTGGATGAATTAATGATCGAATCGTTACGGCAGCGTTCAGTCGTTGCTTCACATCCAAGTATGAAGAAGGCTCGTCAAACATAAAAATGTCGCCATTTTGAATACACACCATTGCACAGGCGAATCGCTGTAGTTCTCCTCCAGAAAGGGCCTCGATACTGCGATCGCGAATATGTGTCAAGTCTAATAGACAAATACAAAATTTAGATTCACATTTGATATAAATTCATTAGAAAATTCATTGTTAATAATTACCCAGCATCCTACAAATATCTTTCTGATTGTCGCACTCATCCTTCTTGTCCAACAACTGTTGGACCGTACCTTTTACAGCTTTTGGAATTTGGTCAACATACTGAGGCTTAATTAAAGCCTTCAGATCATCTTCAAGGATTTTAGTGAAATAGTTTTGTAACTCACTGCCCCTAAAGTGACTAAGGATCTCTGTCCAATCTGGAGGATCCTGAAAATTTGAAGACATATTTATTGTAATTAGATTTATGTTGTATGAGTATTTTGTAAAAAGGATGACTCACAGTGAAGCGACCCAAATTTGGTTTCTGTTTGCCAGCAAGAATCTTCAAAGCTGTGGACTTGCCAATACCATTGGTTCCTACCAATCCAAGCACTTCACCTGGACGTGGGATAGGAAGTCTATGCAACTTAAAAGAATTCTTCGAATAACGATGAGTTGTTTCCTTCTCCAAGTTGCTTGGAAGATTAATGATAGATATAGCCTCGAATGGACATTTCTGTAAGAAAAATACAATTGTATTTAAAACATATATATAATTACAATAGAAATATACAAGCACATGAAAAAAATAGAATTCAATTTTGTACCTTGACACAAATACCACATCCGATACATAGCTCCTCCGAAATAGAAGCTATTTTACTATTTGGAGTGACCTCTATACAGAGCTTCCCCATTCTCACCACTGGACACGAACGTTTGCATTCTTGCCTGCATCTTTTCGGTTTACATTTATCAGAATTCACAATGGCTATACGAGTGAGCCTATCGGTCTCTTCTATTGACTTCTTAGGAGGCATTTTGATAAGATTTTACGCTGGCTCAATCTATTTTCTACAAACAACATTAATGTTCATAAGTTGTCTATAGGAGCATAAGAATAATGCTAATGCGTTCGTCGCACTGAATGTTGAATACATGTACAATATGTTACTATTCAATTGATACTACAACAAAACCCAACAACAATAATAACAATAATAATAATAATAATAAAAATAATAATAATAATGGAAACATAATGATAGCTAAGTATTTGTTTAAAATATTCTAATAAAAAACATAAGGAAGAAATTGTAACATAACAAGAAGTACAATGAATTTAAAAAATGAAATAATTGAAGTAGCAACGATATCATTACATTTTTATAACCATAGTTTTATCAAAGGCCCTATATGTTATTATAATTGTCAAAAAAAGTATTATTTATGAGCAGTAATTGCACAAATGTAACTTTCCGACCACAAATTTAACCTCCATTCATAGTTTAACTATGCTGTGAACATATGTTGAGATTTTAAATATACCACTTTATAATACTTATGAACAATGCTTACGTTTAAAGAGATTAATAACATTATTATCAGAAATCACTAAAAGATCAATATTTATAAGAATTTACCTGTCAAGAATAAAAACGTGGAGGTGATTCTTTCGTACCGACCTCGTTGTGCACGTCCAGCTTTATTAAAGGGCGGCCATTCCCATTGGTGTCAAAAAATACTCTACTTACTCCAACATCAGCCCAATAAGTTATTTTATAAAAAGTATTAATAAAATGTTGAACTAAATAATTCTATATATATAATTGCGTAACAATCTAAGAATTAATAAAAATTAATTTTAAAAATTATTTAAGAAGGGAAAAATTCTACTCTAAATAATTTTCAGAGTTCAGTCACAATTCTGTTTATGAAATGCTGAATACATTTATTCCTATCAAATAAATATTGCTTACGATTAAGCACCGATCTCATTGCTATAGATTATAAAATATTAATTTTTTAAAGAATATTTCAAATTGTTGCCAATTTGTATGTATCCCGGTTATAGATATGTTTCTTAAGTCCGTTGTACAATGCGACATTTCTAGAAGCGAATTATATCAACGAAAAAGGGGAAAAAGTAATTTTGATTGGCTTATAGAAACGACTTTATGTAAGTAAAATAGCAAACCGGACGTCTCATTTGTTAAGATCATTTCTCGTATAAGATTCCGCCAATGTGGAGTCTGTTATTTTAGTCGTACGACACATGAAACAGAGCTGGAAAAGCTCCTTAAAATATGAACTCCTTTTAAAAATATAGCAAGATGTCGGCCGGGGTATTACGAATATCTTTAACCAACAGTAGTGCGTTAATAAATTTTTATAACCATATATATACACTTTATAACAGGTATACTTTACGTTTATTAATGTATTTTATAGTGTTGACTGTTGGGAATCTTTTGAAACCATTTGGAGCTTGTTCTCCTCAACGATTGAAGCTGTCAACACAATCCCAACCTGAAATCCAAAGCAGAGAAGGTATATAAATGTATATTAAAAATGTTCCCTGGAGTACATTAGGTTTTAATAGTATGTGGAAGGTTAATATCTGTATTGCAGAAATTGAAGTATCTTCGATAGATCCTCTAAAGCATCCTGATTTCTTTGGAGTACATCAACTTTTTACAGTGAAAGACTTGTTCGATGCAAAAGTACATTTTGGGCATAAGAGAGGATCCTTGGATGATCGAATGCGTCCTTTTTTATTCGGTTCTCGTTTTAGCCACCTGATCATTGACTTGGATCAAACAGCAGAGTTATTGAGAGAAGCATTAAACTTTACAGCACATGTTGCATTCAGAGGTGGTATTATACTGTTTGTCTGTAGAAATCCCCAATTTTCTTATCTGGTGGACAAAACTGCTAAAGAATGTAAAGAGTTTTCTCACACAAGAAAGTGGAGGGGTGGAACGTTTACAAATTCTACGATGGAATTTAAATCTACGACGCGACTTCCTGATCTATGTATATTTTTATCAACGCTCAATGGTGTACTGTTAGAGCATGCTGCAGTGCGGAATGCTGCAAAAATGTGTATACCCACTGTGGGGATTGTAGACACCAACTGCAATCCAAATCTGATAAGTTATCCCGTTCCAGGGAATGATGATTCACCATCTGCCATAGAACTTTATTGTAAATTATTTAAGATGGCAGTTCTTCGAGGTAAACAAGGGCGACAAAAATTATTCGAACACTATCAAGAGTGAAAAACAAATAGTAAACTTTTTAAATTTATGTTCAAATATATACAAGTCTGTAAAAGAAGTACATAAACGTACAAAAACTTGTAACTGGTGTTTAAACAATGATTATACCCTGGTCTCAGTTTGCATCTCTTCAGCAAGTCGTCTCTAAAACTTCTGTATTGTCATGAATTTTTTTCATAAAATTAGCACCCAGGATCTTCATTAAACTACAAAGAGAATTAACGTCATGGTAATAAGCGCAAATTAAGTGACAATTAAAACCTAAGCAGTCATATACTATACATACAATTTGTAAATATTGGGATAGTATACTTTCATGTATGTCAATTGTAGAAGAAGTGGTGGTGAGATCCATACTTCATGAAGTTTATTTGCCAATGCAACAGCTATTAGCCTGCTGCAGCATGCAGGACTTATTTTATTCTTTTCATATGAAGATGGTTTATTATTTACCTAGTAATGATTATTTATTTAGTAATGAAGTCTAACCAAAGGTAGGTATGATCCAAGTGAAACATTACCAAAGAAAACGTGACTAATACTTACTTCATCAAGATTGTCAATTAAAACTTGAGATAATATATCAGTCTGTACAGAACCTGGACAAATTATTGTTATTGGAATGTTAGAGTTCATTTTCTCCATGAATAAACTCTCAAAGTATGCCTATGAAAATAAGTGTAGGATAAGTTTCATAAGAGATGTATTAATTTATCTTCGTTCCACGAGTAAAAGACCTTTTTTGGGGGAATCATTTACTTTAAAATTCATAGAACATGATACCTGCAAAAACTGTTTTACTCATGGACAGACTATACTCCTCTATGATGGTAAAACTAACATGTAGAGCACTCTTGGATGCAGTATATGTGGCAGAAAATGGAGAGCTAGTGAGTACATCCAGACTAGAAGTCACTGCAAGGTGGCCATGGCCTCTGCTAATGAAATAGCGTAACACAATGCGACTTAAAGAAATTATTGAAAAAACATTCAGATCAAACATTTCTCTATCAACTTCAAGGTCTATATTTTCCCAAGCACCTTGTTGACTTTTACCAACATTGTTTACTAGGATATCAATCTATAAAACATGGAGAACTCATATAGATTTGTAAGTCTCTTTAAAGTATGACATGGAGTACCTGTCCAAATTTCTCGATTACATGACGAAATGCAGGCTTGTGTGATTCCATCTTAACAACATCCATTGCTAGTACTTCTATATCGTCTTCCTTCAGATATTTAAATCCTGCAATTTCATGGAACAGTTTTCATTTAAAAATATGCAGAATTCCAATACCATATTAAAGAAGAATTAGTTCATGACGATTCTTACTATTTAAACAACTGTTCTTAACTTCCTGTAATTCGACTGGTTGATTCGATGAGATAATTAATTTGCAACCCACTGAAGCCAATCTGTAAACCAGAGACTCTCCGATGCCACTAGATGCTCCTACAATCCACACTACCTTTCCACGCAAGGTTTCTGAAATTATATTCAATGATATATTTCATTTTAACTTAATGCAAGATATTTTATACATACCAATCGATTTCCCATATTTATTCATTAATGCAAGCTGCAGGTTACAATTCAGAAACCAAGGAAATATCATGTAAAACAGATGGTAAATAAGAACAAGGAAACCAAAGATTGCTAAGAGATCCATTCTGAATCTTCACTACAAAAAAGAAAAATATTAAACATCTTATAAGTACATTAATAGGCTATAACAGTAAAATTATGGAACAAGTAGCTTATGATCTGATAATTTTAATACTACATACCAGTAAACATATAACGTTTTATGTAATATGTATTAAATGTATTTTACAGGCTAGTTATTATTTTTTACTCAAATATGTAATTAAATTCTTCACGTATAGATGAACAGAGAATGTATTGAAGTATTCTTAGTTCATAAGTAATACTAACAAGATAGCTAAGAAAGAAAAAGTGCAGATTACACCAATAATTTAATTGGACAGTGTAATCACTAAAATTTATATTATTATTATTCATTATACTGCTCTCAAAGAATGATTTAGGGATCTTTCACATTATCATTGGACTAGTCACTTTTCTGAAAACTAGGAAAACCAGAATCTTGAGTAGTAAAAATGGTTTGACATAAGAATTTGTTAAATGTAGGGTTTGATTTTTTTTAGTCATACCACTCCATTCACAGATCTTTCTATTCATCCAGCATCTGCTGCATTTATTTTTGTAGTGCAGAGAAAACAGTTTTTTAGCGTGACACAACTTGACAAGCTATTTTAAAAACATTTGGTTTTTGTAAAGGAAATAAAAAAGTATGAAATACAAAAGTAAGGACACTTGATAATGTATAAATGTAGTAAATAAATGAGGTGACAGTTTGTTCTTCAGTCTCATCTAATTAAGTGTAATTCGTCGACTATTTCAGAAATACCTTAAGTATAATGCAAACATAATAATAATACTGCATTATTTATTCGCACTGATTTTACATTATTTTTGCAGTCAGCATCCATCATTTTCATGGTGAGTGTGTAAATATATTTTTGCAGAATTCTATATAGCAGTGCTCTAAAATCATTTATCTGTGTCTTTGGAATGGGATTAATTTTTTTATTGAAACGACACTTGAACACTCACCATTACTCAGTACACAGATGAGACTTGTCAAAAATTCATAGAATTCATTTAAAAATGACAGCACACGTACCGCCCAAAAATCCGCGTAGGCGGAAAGTTTGTAGACAACTCATTTAGAATATACCGCAATGTACGATTGATCATAAACGGTAATAATAACAAGGGCAGACTGGAATACGTGAAATAAATAAATAAAAACGTAAAATACGTTGCAAAGAATATTATCCTAGTGTCTTCAAACTCGAGGTTTCTTTGAATATATTTCGTCAACTGGAGAATTGTCTCGCTGTGCTCCAGATTTACTATTATTGTGGCCACTTCTTTTTCTGCTAGCAGTGGGAGACATTTGCTTCAGACACTCGACATCATTAAAAACTACCTGGGCGCCTCCACCACTTGTAGGCATAATGTTACCCTATGGATAGAAATAAGAAAGTAATTTATTAGATCTTGTTATAGATCATTATGAAGATAGTTATCTATTTATAAGTACCTTGTATAGCTTAGTCTCAAGTTCACCATCGGTGTCTTGTTCTTGAGCTATTAAGCAATATCTGGATACTCCGTCAGTGATTTCTTTAGGATCATTGAGACGTGACACACTACGTCTCCGGTGCATGAGAGGTTGCAGTATAGTTCCCACAGGCACAAGGGTGCCAGGGCGATGATCCACCCACCTGTCTGCACTTTGCGATCGCCTATGTCTTGAATTTGCTACAGAAACTTTGTCCTACGGTGTTAAGATTATGTAAGGATGAATGTCTTTCGCTTGCTTGCTATAGTTTGTTTATGAGCAAAATAGCTTGTAAAGGGGCCATCTACCTATTACTTGTAAAGTAAATGAGTCCCCTTGACAAGAGTATTTATTCGTGGAACGTCTGTAGTTCTTCGTTAATAGCAATAGCAACATGGAGATACATTACCCTCCTGGAACGGGCATCTGGACCAGCAGGAGTCCGGCAACTGACCATATCACCGGTGTCACTCGTAGTAGAGGGTGGTGGTGAACTCCTGGGTACAGCCGTTAATTGTGTGCTTCCTTCATCGTCTATCAAGATTTTCTTAACAAGTTTTAATTTATTTTCCTTGTCCTTCATCTTATTCTATAGGTGAACAAAGGGTAAAAAGTTGTTTTATAAGGATAGTATAAGTATCTTAGCAAAGATATTCAGGTAGATAATTTTTTTTTTATTGTACCTGAAGATATTGTTGTTCCTGACGATGTTTCATTTGAAGTTCTCTGTATATCTTATCAGTCTCTTCTTGTATTTTGGTATTGTACTTTTGTTTCGTTCGTTGCTTCTCGACCATACGTTGATTCAAAAACATATCTTTATCCTTTAGCTATTGAGACACATATTTTTAGATCATTCCTTTACAGATCATAGAGAGTTATTACAGACTTAAGAAAAATTTTAATTATCAAAAACTTACTTCTCGCTGGAGACTTTTAATCGTTTCGTTAGCCCCATTCAACTTTCGAAGGAGACTATCTACCTGAGATTCCGTTTTGCATAAGTGAGCCTCTAGAGCTGTTACCTATAAAAGTGGAGAGTGCTGTCCATTACATTTTATTCTCATTGTTTTATTAGAGGTATTTCAAGGATGATCACCTTCTTTTTCTCTTGCGCATTGGCAGCGTTTAGAGATGCATTTTCAATTTTACGTGACATAAGTTCCTGTTCTGCAGTAACGAGCATCTTCCTGAACTCATCCTCTGAAAATATTTTGTTTTTTAGATATTTTAAAATGTCTCACACTAAATCAAAAAAGTTAGTAGGAATAATTTACGTTTTTTTTGCAAATTGGCACGCAAAATATTTCTCTTTTCGATGCGTTGTTCCAAAAAACGCATCAACCTCGTAATGACTTGATCATTATGTGGTCCATTGAGTTCCAACTCTGGGAACGGTCCACCAAGACTGTAGACTAAACCTAAGTCAACGTCGAGATCAGCAGCATCCGGTTGGCCATGTTTTTCAAGCCTGGCACGAGCTTCCTTGAATATCTGGTGAAAAGCCAAATGTGGAAATATGTAAGAATAAAAATGAGTATGTCGTTCTTATAGTAAACTGTATTCTACTTACTCTATTGGCCTGTCTTCGACCAGGTGTGTAACCCAAATCCATTTTTGGTGCGGAAGGCTTCGCTATTTGTACTTCTTGGGTCATCTCTGCGAATTTCATAACTTGCTGCAGGATTCACAATTAGATGGTTAGTTAATATTAGCAAATTGTACTAAGGAAACTTATGAATAATATCTATATGAAAATATTTACAATCGTCTCATCGTAGTCGTCGGTTCTTGGATTAGCACAGACAATCATCCTGACCTGACCCTCGCCATCAAAGTAATTTTTGAACAAATGAGTCAACTTTGAGTCCCGATAGGGCACGATCTTATTAGTACCCTGAGATTGATTCTCTCTTAGGATCTCTAAGCAGGATCGAAGTGTCATGAGGGAATTATTAATGTTTCCTGCTTCGCGAAGACGCTGTCCTGTATTCTTTGTACGATTTGTACGTTCACTCCCAGCCAAATCAACTAGGGACAGTTGACTTATACAGACGACACGTTTATCTTGAACGACCTGCTCGCCTTGCAAATCCAGTGGAGCCTATGGAAATGATAAAAATGTTTTTACATATAACACATACATTAGAATCATGGAATAACATGTCTTACCTGAACGAGTCGTACAGTAAAGACACTATGCGATCGGCTTGATTCAGTATTCAGTGCTGTGTGAGCAACACGACGTCTTCTTTGTCCCCGATAAAACACATCGAAAGCTTCATCAGCACTTTTAACCTCAGTTTCTGTTACAGCGTGGACATACATGTTTTTGTATCCATCCTCACGGACAATTTTACTCTGCAGAGGCCTGCAAAATTTTAAGAAATGAAACTATTACTCGTATACCGAAATAAAATATTCCAAAGTACTCACTTTGATCTGACATCCTCATCATCCAGGAGATCGTATACACTGTTATTATAAATTTCCACATATGTAACAAACACAGCATATACGTTGTCCTGATCTACTGAGAGAATACATGACTCGTCAGTTTCTCTAATGGGAGTAATGCTTTCTCCATCACTGTCATGTTTACATCTGCAAAGAAAATATATTAAAAGAAATTATATGTTAAGACTTTATACTCGCAAGTATATAAAAGTATTACACTTTGCCATTCTTCCCATTACGTTGATTCATAAGACCAGTATGCAATTCAGTTTGACGATCTAACATAGCATCTGCGTCACTTTGCACATCGAAACCATTGAGTTTGTCTGGCTTGAATACAAATTTTTTAGCCTGATAATTAGCAATGCTATTGAACAAAACGTCAAGACATCGAGGCATTATTCCACCATCCCGTGCATCTCCCATCATTGTATATGTTTTGCCACTGCCAGTGACACCATAAGCAAACAGTAGACCATTCCTTCCCTGGATTAAATTTTCTACCAGAGGAAGAGCAACTACATTAAATACTTCTCTTTGAGAAACATCGGCAGTGAAGATCCTGCTAAATGTTGTTTGTATCTCCTTTGCAACACCACTCCGAAAGTTAGTGGCTGACTCTGGAGGAGTAATAGCTACAGTCATATCAGAGATAAGTCTCATACATGAAACATCTGTACAATGTTGCATAGGCCTTAAACGGCAATACACTTGTACCGGTTCTTTGGATGCAGAATTCTGGAATCTTTGACGCGCCGTTGGCTTGCGTGTTGACGCTGGTTGTTTCACCCTCCTGAAAACATGAATTATATGTACTGCAAAATTCAAAAATACTAAAACAACTACGATAATCTTCGCATCTACACAGAGCTGCATGATCTTCGATAATAATATTTTGTGCCTTTAACAAGATTAATTTCCTAATCGTAACCTGAGTTGATTTTGACATTAACTTACGATGATATCATTTTTCTGGCTGGAAGAAAGATTTCTTGACAAATAACAATTGTGACTCCTGGAGAAACTCAAAGAAACAACATTGATTTAACGTTCGATCAATTATTATTCAACACATTGCTCAGAAAATTAAAAAGCACAACGAAACTAAGAAATTCCGTTACAAATGCTGCCATTCGCTCAAATTTGAAATTGTATCCTGTTGACACACGTGACCCATTAATTGACCAATAGCGTTCAAGGCGCAGGTTCATTTGGCAAAACACTTTTGAATGTAACTCTCAACCAATAACATAACGATAATTCCTGTGAACCTTTAATCTCGACTTTTGACCATTAATAGAACATGAATTCCTATGAACGAGTTGTACCATTGGTCGAGTGTTCACGTTTGAACGGGGATTTAACGAATGTGACTGAATGCCACCGCTGGACCTATTTACCAAATTCTGCACCCTCTTGTAGGATAAAGTCATCCCCCACCCCTTATCGGACATAATTAGACGACAATGGAACTGTTTATTTTTCAAATGTATTTCTAATTTAATATGAATTTCATGACATAAAATGATCCCCGAACAGGTTGCTGAGTTTTGCTAGATTTAGAGAAATTGATTTGAATAGTTGATTAGTGATATGTATTTGGTTCAATATAATGCTGTGATTAAAACTAGTGTAGCGTCAGTGTGTATTGTTGTTTAGAAGGATGACCTTATTAAAGTATGAATAAGATTCCTGTGGTATTTGGACTCTTCTTCTTGTTTAAATCAGAAAATCAGAATATTACAGGAAAAAGGGACGACTCTTCCATTAGGCAAGTTATAATTGTACAGAAAAAATGTTGGCAACTCCTAAAGGGAAAAGTCAGTTATTTTTGGCGTCCTCTCTTTGCGATGGTTTAGAGGATAATAATATGAAGTGAGTTGTTTAGCATTTTCTTTTTCTTGATTTCTACAAGCATTTGCAATTGTTTGAGAGTGGTAATTTATTCTGTTTTATTTATTCTTTTTTTTTCTCTGATAGGCAAGTTGCAACACTGTTACAAGTCAAAGAAGCAAATCCAAATGTGTTGATTCCATCGCAGGGCATTACTCCCTTTCATTTGGTTATTGGTAACGACTGTGAGACATTTGCAGAAGAAGTCACTAAATTGTTTTTACGTCATGGGGGGAATCCTAATATTAGGTACATCCTTATTTATAATTGATGCTTATTTATTATGTATACATTATGCAAATTTAATTTATCTTTGTTAACAATTTAAATTAATTATATAATGTTCCAGATCTGTGGATGGTATGACTCCAGTCCATGTTGCAGCTGCATGGGGTCGAATTAAAGTATTGGAAATTTTATTAGCACATGGTGGTAATCCTTTAAGTTTAGATGACGATGGGTGTAGTCCATTTCACTATGCCTATGATGGAGCATATTACGATGCAATTGCAGTACTTGGAAAGTACTGTGGTGACGAGGATGAAATTGACAATGACAAACCAAAGTATAGGTTGACATTAGGTAAGCATTCAAATATTGAGCCTATACAATAAAAATAAGATCGTTAAATAATGCATTATAATTTTTCTGCTTAGAAAAAATTCGAATTAATAAAGGAGACATTGTGGAGGAGTACGTCGTCTCTGATACTTCTGAGGATGAAGTGAAATCTGCAACAAATATGACAAGCTTTGTTTCGCCTCAAGATGCGAATAGAAATACTCATGACACAATAACTACAGACGGCGAAGCCTCTCCTGTCAGAAGCTTTGTCACTCTTCGACGGCATCAATTATGCCTTCCAAAGACTAAAGAGACGAGAGTATCTAAGGCTATTGACATGACAGACATTGATTTCCATCAGGTTGACCGAAGCGTCGAGGATGAGAAACTTCTAGTCAATAAAATTATAAATCGACTTTCAGCATCGTTTACTGACAATTCGCCGATAGTCTATGATTCCTTTGACGTCCCCGTCAAGGTTGAAGGAGAACGAATGCCAAGGATCAGTTCTCCGAAGAATGATATTTATGTTCCTCACACAAAAAGTGCAAAAGTCCCAACAAAATTAATAGAAACAAAAAGGGTACAGACACCTCAATCTGTTAGGAAAAAAACTGGGACTCAGTTTTCTCACAAAATTCCACTCAAAATAGAGTCCAGGAAGAAGTCTGAGTCCGTGCAGAAGAAAACGCCCTGCAGCATCTCTTCAAATCTCCGCACTCCACGTAACAAAATATCTGTCAAAAATTTGACAACAACTCCTAATAGATTGCCAACGAAATTGACTTATTCGCCAGATTGTTCAATTGTCAGCAAATCTCCAAATTTTAAAATAACTCCAAGTCGCGAAAGGAAAGTAATAGCTACGAAAACGCCATCCTTGCAAAAAAGGAATTCCCCAAAGGACGCTAGAATGTGTTACACTTCTGGGCAACAAAGAACCCAAGCCAGGATACCTTCGGGATCAAATTCACCAAGATTCGTGAAGAATTCTAATTTACGATATCAGACTCCAAAATCAGTAGGAAGATCGCAACTTACACCAAAAATTTTGAAGGATCGACAAACTCCAAGAAGTGGTACTTCAAAGAAGACACCAAACTCTGTAAATTCTAGAAAGAAACTTGAAAAGGTGACGCCACTGAATAAAACTTATTCCAAAAAAAATCGAGTGCCATTCTCTCCGAAGCTTGGTAATGCTGTTTTACCGAAAAGTTATAGAAATTGTATGTGCAAAGGAATAGCCATCAAGCTAGAGGAATCTATGTACGACGAAGATGTTCAGACCAAGTGTCCACCTTGTCATATACAGGACAGCACTATAGATAGATATTCAAATAGAGAATGCGGAAAAATGTCTGAAATTCTTGCCGGTCATTTGAACTCCTGGGGAAATATTGAACCGACCAATGTGAATGAATCTATGCAACAGATACCTCAAGATAATGATAGTGATAGAAGAGTGTCTGTGCAAAATAATTTATTACCGGGACTAAATAGAAACCATATTCAAATATCAGGAATTAAATCTCTGTTAACCGAGGAGAGTTCGATGGAGAGTTTAGTGGGAAGCAAACTTTTTGGAGTAAATGTAGTATCAAATGGGAATTCCGATATTTGTGATATAAACTACGACAAGAAAACAGTGAATAAGTTACAATGCAAAAGTAGAAAATCTCCAATTAATCGCGTTTTTCATCGGTACAGAAGTTCTACAAGTAGTGATACAGATAGACAGACGTTATCAGATTATGGAAGTGGGAATTATTCTTGGTCCAGTAATCAATTCTGTGATGAGGAGAGCAGCTGTAGAACACCTTGGGATCCAAAAATTATATCTGAAGACTCGATGCAGAATGAGGAAGATCGTCAATCCACCGAATCGGCTACATTTTCGGGTACGTTCATGTCCTGTTATGGATCATTTATCAGTGTCGAGGAAGACTATAAATATGAAGATTCTGAGATGGGTATCGTTCTCTGGGAGCGCAGACTTCGCATACCACCTCCTTGGTAATTTGTCAATTTCATTTAAACACTCCAATAATGTATATTTCCAATACGCTCTTCGAATATCCTTAATAAGATTATCTATATTTGATTGATCAATCAAATCTATCTTACATTATTTGTATATAAATAAACTAGATAAGAATATAGTGAAAATTTGATATAAATAACTAGACAACTAGTATTTTTTATTAACATTTGATTACAAACTTTACTGCATAAATAATGTCAGCAATATAACGTTGCGTAACTAGTATCTCGGTTATCAATGCATGGTGATTCATTTCCCTTTTTATTTTCTAGTGTGTTAAGCAATATGGAGCCAAATAAGAAGTCAAAACCTAAATCTAATTGTAACACTAATTCGGTAGACGAGATAGCCGATTATCTTAAAAGAGAATTGAATATTGAAGAAAAACCTAAAGTAAAAGGAGTCAAGAAAAAGAGCTCTCCAGCTTCGAAAAATGAAAATTTAAAGAAAGGTGCAAAATACAACCCAAGAGAGGATGATAACAATGCCACTTCTGATTCAGTGGAGTATTACATAATAAAGCCTCTCAAGAACCTGGAGATGGGTCGCAAACTGGAAATGGAGGCTTTTCAAGGCTTTACAAATCCGAATGAAAATTCAAAGTTTGCTCGTGGTAATCGGACTGGTCAAGCACCCAAGAAGGAGTTCTTTAATTATCTTCTCCTGGACTCAAGAGTCACTCAGGATCTTCCTCGCCGGGGTAGAAACTTATCGTTTGCTGACAGGTGGAATATATTTTGTGAAGCCATCTTCTACGTGGGTAAAGGTAAAAGCAATCGGCCTTTTTCTCACTTTTATTCAGCCACGCCTATGTACGATAAGGCAGTGTACACACAAATTGCGGGTAAGATCCGATATATTGTGGATATATGGAAAAGTGGCAATGGGGTAATTTCTCTTCACGTTTTTCAAAATACTATAGAGGATGAAGCATTAACGCGTGAGGCTTGTATGATTGATGCGTTGGGTTTGCAGAATTTAAAAAATGAAATTTCTGGAACGTACTACGGTCCGGCTCTTAAATGGAGCAGTAAAGATAAGTGCAAACTGGGCACATTTTTATTACAGGAAGCCTTGCATATTTTTATGCATGAAGGGGAAAGACAGATTCATAGGAAACACGTCTAATTTTAGTACTAGAGCTTAATATATAGAATTAATTATATCAAGATTTTTTATCGGTATGATTGTGATAGAAAGTACAGATACAGTATATTTCATGTGCCTTGGATGTAACTGTACATAGTTTGTAACAGACAAGAATAGCAATTATTCACTTGTGCATGTGTAAGCAGAAATATAATAGTTATTATCATTGATACTTGTTATACTAGATAATTAAATATAATAACGAGAACGCAAGTACTGATCAAATTTTTAATATTATAAAAATGTATTATAATTAAATCTTGTGATACTGTTGAGTTGATTTTAAACGTTCTAAAAGAATGAGCACCAGACTGTGCAGTTTTCATATTGTAAATAAATAATTTTATCAAAAAAAATATATATATATTGACTGCTACATGGTCTTTTTATTAATCTGACATGATTATGTTTATTGTATTAAAACTATTTCTTTTTTACAAATATGGACGATCCATGGGAGTTTTCTTAGCTCTGTTATCCCTACTTCTTGGATACCATCTGTGTTTAGTAGTGTAAGTCAAGTTAGCAAGCTCTTGAACGACTTGCTCAGGTTTTTGCTTTTGAAATACACTAGCTACATCAGCTTCTCCAATTTTCAAAACAGATTTAGATACGACTTTTGTTTCTGGCAAAGATTTGGAAAATTCATAAGGAAATGTTTGCTCTGGATGCCAGCACACTGCTGTTCCATCATCGGCAAACACAATTACGTCTTTTGGTAATGTGCTAAATCTTGCTTTGGGGATACTCCATGAGTTTCTTACAAACCAAAGTAACCGAGCTGTAATATGCATCTGAAAAAGTTATAACTGAAGAATTCATTTTATATCTAAGTTACTTCTAGTATCTCAAAGAATATTATACATACAATTACTTCCTATTACAAGTGTACTCGAAAATGCTGCACAAGATCGCAGGTTAAGTCTGCAAAATTCAATTTGGTTGGCATAAAGATAAACAAGAAAAAATCTGACACACAGTTGTATGTCAGTAGTACATACAAATTATAAATCAAAATGAAATTTACCGTGACAAAATGATCTTCCTTGTTACTTTCTTATTTTAATTAAGTTACTACATGAACTCCAAATAAAATGTTGATCCTCGCGATTGCGGCTAATGCTTGAAAACTCAAGTCTTATTTCCACGTAGCGACATGATTTGAAAAAAAGAAAAAACATTTACAACCGAACTGTATACAGCTTTTGATAGTAAATAAAATAAATATTGAGGGAAAGAATTAATGAGCCAGAAGTAATTATCAGTGATTTAGTTCATTAGGACAGTTTATTTGATATTTCAAGAAAGATGTAGTATCTGCTCTATAGTCCAAGGGTACACTTCATGATGACCATGAACGACGACTATTGTGCCGAAATCCAATATGGAGTGCATTTGATGACTGGACGTCTATTGTGAAAGATTTATTGTTTAATCATCGCTCCGGATTACAACTGATTCTCAACGAAGTCAACCAGTGCATCGAGAGTCATATTATTTTGCAAGTTCCAAGAAGCTCTAGAAGGAGGCTAAACGTATAAATGAAGCACTTAAAGGAGCTGAAAAATCGATCCTGTTAACCTTAGAATCAGGAAGCTCTCTCAAGAAGATAAATCATATTTCATATCATTGATATATTACAACGAAGACTTCAGACAGAACGTTAAATTATTTTCCTACAAGGTGAACACTACCTTGTTGCGTAGTTCAAGATGGACCTTAATGGGAACTAATGTATTATAGGTATATACTTGGGAACCTGTCGAAATGGTTTCTTTTATAAGAACAATAATCTCAAGGTCTTTGTTCACTACAAGATTTATAAGACGAATTGTGTGTTGCTGTCAGATCTAGACTGTTGGATAGATAAGCTCAGACATTCTTAATTTTCTATCAAGATTTGTATTATTCTATACTGGATCATGTATAGTTTTGAAGGTGATTATCGCCGCAAGCCACAGCAGAATTTAGCTGGTGCAAGCCGTAGAGATGAGAAGGCTGCTTTATTGCAGCATGCTCAATTGGAAAGGCTCAAAAGAGAACAGCAGCGTAAGAAGCATAATTCAGCTGTTAAAGTGCAAGCTCATATTAGAAGCTTTGTCACACGTCAATCAATCCACAAGCAAGAAAGAAGGAAATTTGATGAGATGCAACAAAAGTTTAACAGCAGACACCCTGATCTGCCGGAACTGGTTCCATTCATTCAAAGGGTTTTGTTTTTTTATGATCCAGCAGAGGATGCAACCAGGCTTCTCTGGGTTCTTCAACGTTTTTTAAAGTACCAAAAAGAAATCAAGGAACTTTGTGGAAGCTCTATCGAGTGGCTGTGGAGATTACGGTAGCTGAATTCTTCAAAATATCAGTTTCAAAGATTTCAAAATACAATTTCATTGACCATTTAATTTAATTTAATTTATTATTTATTTCAGTTGGATTCTACGAGTTTGCATGCAACACACTGTTGCAGCAATTCCTCCAGACGCTGTACAATCTCTCGCCATACCGCTACGCGTGCTGGAAGTGTTTACTGTGCGAGAAGACACAGAAAAAATTTTAAAGGAAAAAACAGATCAACATCTCGAAGGAATATTTATTTACTTAGCAAAAAATAAATATTTCGAGCAACTGAGGAAATTAATAGATCTAAAGGTTCCTCCGATGCTCGACGCCAGTCCTGTTCCTCCAACACCAATGGCCAAATGTCTCCTAGATATGATAAAACGTCCTCTTAACTTAGTACACCGTCTGGAATACAACAATGAATTTTCCATGTTGGTTCTACGCGAACTCTGTGCTAACATTCTCTCCCCAAGGATGTCAGAACCCGTTAGAATGCTTATTGTACCAGCACTGTCGGAGTTCAAAGAGTTTCCTTACTCTCAACTCATCGACTATATAAACCGACTAGGTACTGAGCCAACTATCAGTCTACTATACTCCGTTCTCTCTTTGGAGCCGGTAGGATTTAGTAAGTATATATTTTTAATACGTATTAACTAGTCATCAGACTCCTAATTACATCATATAAATAATTACAGCTCCTGGAAAATCTAGAGATGTACTCATGAACTACCTTCAAGTCCTGGCATTACTCAGTTCCACGATAACTCCTCCACCAGCTGATCAGAGTATAGACACAGCCGGTGATTCTGATAGTGAAACGGATACGGAGATGATTGATCAAGGTCAAACAGATATTTTACATCAGTGCATAGAAATGTTGAACGGACAGCATCGCGTTCATGGAATACTCGTAGCCGTGGACCGCAGTGAGGATCCCGTTGTTCTTCAGCCGTTGTGCCAATTATGCCATAACCTCCTCATCACGCACAAGCTAGCTATCCACAAGTACAAACTCCTTTACATGCTGGCATTTAAGCCCGCGTTTCTAAGGCACCTCTGGAATGCTCTCTTGACAGTTTGTCAGACTTCCCTTTTCGGCGGAGCCACACCGCTTCTGCAAATCATATCTCGTGGTATAGCACTTTCTGCAGAAGATACTAAGAAGATAGTTCCTCTACTGGCCGTCTTTTGCTCACTGTTTAGCCTCCTTATTGCGACCCTCCACGATACTGAATTTTTTACTGAGGTGCCTGTGGATAAGCCGGATAATGGAGGCCAACAACCGATGCCTTTTTCTACCTCGGCCTTGGTGCCACTCTCGACGCATCTTAAAGGAGTTTGTCTAGGTCTAGTGGAGTTAGCCTTCCCAGACACAAGACCCACAGTGCGGGATGATTACAAGAATGCCGTCCTAGGAGCTTCTGGGTCGGTTCAGACACAGCAGAACACTCAGATGTGGGCACATCTCTTTAAGGTCACTGTAGGACTTCTACGACAACTCCATACTCGTGATCTAAGGAGACAATTCTGTCCGGATAATCACTGGATAGCGTCAAACATCGTGATACCTATGGACAAGCCCCAGGATTTCACCTTTAGACGCAGAAGACTTAGAGGTTATGTTCCTTTCCAGGGTCTACGGGCTTTTACAAGAGAGGAACTTGAAGAAGGCCCTCCTTTATCGACTAAAGAAGTCAGAACGCTGACTCTTCTCCGTGAAATACCTTTTGTCGTTCCTTTCAACGACCGTGTAGTTGTCTTTCAGTCTCTTATTTATAGAGATAAATTGGAACAGCAGAGTGAACTTACTCAATTCATGCAGGGTCCCTCGATACAGATTGCTGTTAGAAGGAATTATCTCTACGAAGATGCCTTTGAGAAACTGTCTCCAGAGAACGAACCTGAACTGAGATTGAAGATGAGAGTACAATTAGTGAACACAGCCGGGCTGGAAGAGGCTGGAGTAGACGGAGGTGGACTCTTCCGTGAATTTCTCTCTGAACTCCTGAAGACGAGTTTTGATCCCAACCGTGGTTTCTTCAGGCTGACCAAGGACAATATGCTGTATCCGAATCCTACAGTTCATCTGCTAGTCGACGACTTTCCTAAGCACTACTACTTCATTGGCAGAATTTTGGGGAAGGCCCTTTACGAGAATCTTTTAGTAGAACTACCTTTTGCAGAGTTCTTTTTATCAAAAATCGTCGGTAGGCAATCTGATGTAGATGTGCATCATCTTGCTTCACTAGATCCGATTATGTACAGAAATCTTCTCTACTTAAAAAGTTATAAAGGTGACGTGACGGATCTGGGTCTTGACTTCACAGTCCTCTCCGACGAGCTTGGTGAGAGACGCGTCGATGAATTAAAATCAAGCGGTGCCAATATTCCTGTGACGAATCACAATAGGATTGAATATATACATCTGATGGCTGATTATAAACTCAACAAGCAAATCAGAGCTCAGTGCTATGCCTTCAAACAAGGTATCAGTAACGTCGTCCCCTTAGACTGGCTTCAGATGTTTAACAACAAGGAACTCCAAGTCCTAATCTCAGGAGCTCAAATACCGGTGGATGTGAATGACCTAAAGCTTCATACCAATTACACTGGGGGTTATGCTCCGGATCATCCGACCATCACTGCATTTTGGAAAGTTGTCGAAGAGTTCAACGACCAACAGAAAAGTCAACTACTCAAGTTCGTCACAAGTTGCAGTAGGCCTCCACTACTTGGATTTAAGGTGACTAATGCAGTTGAAGGATATAATTTAAAATTCAATTATCCTTCATAACTGCTTAACACAATTATTTGTCTTGTCTCGTAGGAATTGGATCCTCCTTTCTGTATCCAACTAGCAGGCAGTGTGGATCGACTTCCAACTTCTAGTACCTGTATGAATCTCTTGAAGTTACCAGAATTTCCAGATGAGAAGACACTTCGTGAAAAGCTACTCTACGCGATACAAGCAGGAGCTGGATTTGAATTGAGTTAAACACTAAAAAGAAAAACGAGGGGATTTAAACTGGTGAAACATGTGACTGTGAATACAGTAAAATATCACGTCCATACTCTAGGACTTAAAGGAAGCTACTTTTGAATATTGGGAAAATTCTAGACAGACTTCAATGACGACGTTTTTATGATGTTCTTATTCCGGTTTGGGTATTACTGATTTAAATGAATCCATCACTCCCAAATATTACTTAGAAATGTCTGATTTGTAAATTCCATTAGGTCAGTACTAATTCAGCCAGAATAAGAAAGCCATGGAAATGTCAATGAATAATCCTATTATTCCAGAGGTAGGTTTATTCCTGCTTGTCAAGGATGACCCTAGGCACTTGGACTGTTCCATAGGTATTTGGTTGTTGGAAAACAATAATAATTTCCAGGACAAAGGAAACTATGATTGTACCGAGGGGCCAATTATTTAGAGAAAACGTGTAGCAGTGAGTACTAATACCGTCGCTGACTTAAACTGGAGACTTGTAAAGATAGGATTGAACACGTAACGAGTTCCTCGTCGACTCGAGATGAAGGATATATCAGGATAAAATGATAAATCCTGTTAACATAAAATAATATATTTTTCGTTGCAACTTTCAGCCTGTGGCTCCCATGTACCCTGTAAATTCTGTATAGTTTTATGTTTTATATTCGCCATGTGTCCATCTACCTATTGTTTACTGTTATTAATGTAAGTTACGTAAAACTGTAAATGTATCTATTTATGTAGTAGAAGTTATATCGGTGTATATAAAAGCTAACACATGGATCGTTGAGATCTTGAGGGTATTAGTATATGGGATTATCCTTTAAATTTAATTTAATGCATCTACCATGATTTTTACGTATAATATCCAATTGGTTTACGACAAAAAGTAAAATTACAGAGGAGATAAAATTTCATATATTGAAAATCGCCCGGCTCTTGGATCCTGATTAAAAAATCAGTTGGAGACTGAATTGAGATAGTCAGATTAATCTCAAGTACCTTCTAGAGCATCGGGTTTCGAGTGACTCGTTCTTCCGATGTGTTATCCAACCAATTACCTATCGTGAGGATTAGTCTCTCTCTCTTCTGAATACTCGGCTTTGGTTCCTTATTAGGAACAACTATCAGTCATGTCTTCTGTATTTCGTCCAATTCCTGACGCACTTCCTTTTATTCCTTTATCCCGTCTCTTATTTCTAACCCGGGACGAGCTTCACTCAATTAGATCCAATCAGCACCAACTCTACTGGACATCACAAACAGACATCCTTATAGGATGGACCTTATAGGACTCAGTACAAACTAACAGATAACTTACAATACCCTAAAAACTAAATCCATATCTTTTTCTCTGATACTAATAACAATTTCACATAGCGCTTTTAATATATCCTTATTCTTGGAGAAGGCCAAGTTCCCTATTTCGTGTGATGGAAGTACACCCATTCTTTTAAGTTTAGAACTAAATATTTGTGACTACTTTTTGTTTAAGACGCAGTTTAATAACGCATGATTGAAATTATGCTTGTCAACCCCGCAATCACATACCGGAAAGTCAACTATGCCAATTCTGTACATGTGTTCTCTGACACAGCAATGACCTGATCTTAATTTTTTAATAATGCACATATTCCCTCTTCCCGTCTTCATATTGAGTAACCAGGGCTCCTTCCCATCTACTAAAAAAGTATTTTCCTTTATAATTCGATTCGTTTTTTAATTTATTCCAAGCCTCTACACTGGCCAGTTGTTTATACTTCTTTGCATACTCTACCCAAGTACATTTTAATTTACAATGTTCACCACTCGTGCCCCTCTTCGCCATTTCATCTGCTAAATAATATCCCATTATCCCAATATGACTTGGTATCCATATGATTTTCAACTCCTTTCCCGACCTCTTTATCTTAGCTGCCACAGACTTAATTCTTCTGATCAGCGGATGAATTTTCTTATCGTATTCATTGTTGTTTAGTTTGTTTATCACACTTAAGGAATCTGTCAGTATTACCATTTTCTGCCAGTTCTGTCCCTCAATTATTTCAACCGCTCTAAGGATCGAACTTGCTTCCGCGAAAAAGATCGTTACTATATCATTGAGTCTCACTTCCCAGGTCCAGTCTTGCTTCATTTCCACCACACCATACTCCGACAGGTCACTTCCTACAGGTTTCGTTCCATCCGTGAATATCCACCTAAAGTTCTTATATTCCTTAGTGAGGATTGCATTCAATTTTCCTTGGAGGTCGCTAGCATTTTTAACGTTGATACCACATTCAACATGTATGTCTATTCCCGAAAAATGGCTTACCCAGTCCAAAATAACATTATCTGGTAGCTATATCTTAAAGATGTTTTCAGAGTCCTCCCTAATCTCTTTCCACGCTTTCAAAATCATATCATTTCTACAAATTTGCGTACTATTAAATTTTCCCACTCTGTTACCAGAGATGAGTAGGGAGTGGTAGGGAGATTGCCAATGGGCCTGTTATTGGTGGTCTCCAGTGATCTCAATTTTACTCTGGTTTCGCCGCGCCACCTTAACGGAGGGCCCTCGAAGCAGTTCCACGTTTTTGACTGGTCCAGTATATATAGTAATACCGTCGAGTGCAGACAGAGCAGAGATGAGTGGGAAGATGTACAACGCTCCGGTTTTAGGCAATACCAAAAGCATGGCGCTAAATCGTAGCGGCGAGTCCAGGAGTAGGATTTCGTGACCATCGCCTCTGTCGATGTTACAGATTTCGCGTAGCCGCGCGGGTCATGATCATCGTTCCAGCCGATATTGCAGTCAACGAAAATGAATGGATTGCTCGGTGGTGGGGAAAAAGTTGCCGCCCCTCACAAACCGTTCTTGACAAACAGGCGGAACAGCAAGATCTTCGGTCCAACCAAACCCTAAACATTTGTATGGACGTAATGCGCAAACAAATGTGTATATAATAATATGAGTTCTGCACTCAAATATAAAGTTTTCCAGTCTTTCCAATTGTCCTTTTCTCAATTTCTCATACTTTCAGATATTTACACGCGTCATGTGTGTGTGAAATATAATGTAAAATAATTGTTGTAATCATCTTTAATGAAGAAACTTTATATTTGAGTGCAGAACTCATATTATTAAGATTTTCTAATCGAAACCTTTTGATATCCTATTGCCATTCGTTTATACTTTAATTACTTAAATAGATCGTTTGTGTAATGTTGATATCGCTGATTGTAGTATAGGCCTAGTGGGGACCCGCGACGTTAAATAATGCGAACGTATCGACTGCGGCACCTCTTGGGTGACGTGGAAGCCCGCAGGTTGTCGTTGTTTATGCCTTTATTGTAATAAGATAAATAAATTAATTGGATATACTCTTTAATCTGTTAATCCCATTTGCAAAAGCACATTTTTTTTGTAAAAAGAAAGTGCTCTCCATAGAGGGGTCTAGAACCATAGACCTCCCAATTCGTAACCGGGTGCACTAGCTATACGCCAAAACACGTGTATGTTTTACTTGTTTCGGAAGTCGTATTTCTAGAATTTCATCGTTTATTCAACTGCTTACTATTATCGTTTCGCTTACTTTACATATAAGCAGAATAATATGAAGATGCACTCCAGTTAAAAACTTTCGCGCCACCCTTTTCCACGTGGGCGAACAAAAGAGTTTAAAATAAACTATGGGCAACCTAGAAAAGTTCAAAGAAAGGAACCTTGA